ATCTTATCGTACATTTTCATGCTGTAGGTAATAAGTACCCATCGGTGAAACATATTCTTGTGAAAAACTTCAATCTATTGTTTGCAATATCCCCTTGGGGTAAAAAGTGGAAGAACAGACCAGTTCAGACGGTCGGGGATAAGCCTGCGAGCGATCTCAGACGGCTGGCCGATAGACACGATATAAACCAGAAGGCCGTGTTACACTCAGTGGCGCGGGAACTTCTTCCAGACTGGGGGGGCTGAACCATAATAGAAATCAACCTAGGGTACCCCCAAATCTAGTTTTCTCACCGGTTTTAGGCCACTTATTTTTCAGACCTTGGCCTTTTCAACAACAAAAAAAAAAAACGAAAATATTTTCAAAAAGTGAGGTATTCCGTCTCAGCTGAGTGAAGAAACTACCGTTTTGGCAACCTGGAGTAAAGGTTTTAATCTGCCAAATGAGTTGCCGAGCCAGTGAAATAGGTGGATTTTTTACTTACATGCTTTCTTCCTTTGTGACCCACAACCCCTAATTTGGGGAGGACAAGCTGCCCGACGGTTCCTGGCCTCATGAAACGTTGTGGGGCACCGCCCCCACGGCCGCAGAGTTGTGGGGGCAAGCTTCCCCCACTGCCCCCTCCCCCGGTTCCCACGCCTATGTATGAATCTATGAAATTATGTTGGTAGATTTCCGATTTCGATTCCTCCAGCTGGGGGGCTCAAATACATTACGAGCCCCCCCCAGCCGAAAAGCTGGGGGGGCTCAGCCCCCCCTAGCCCCCCCGGTTCCCGCGCCACTGGTTACACTGCCGAATTTTGGCCACGATCCTGTCGCCGAATCACGTCGTGTAGGAAATCGGCGAACAGTTTACCGACAGAGGCGAACAGTTCGCCGACAGAGCCCGATTTGCAGAAAACGGGTGGGGCCCCCCTAATCGTGCGCGGGTCGAAGCTGATCCATGTTTCGGCGAACATCGCGAATGAATGGCGAATCTGTTGCGAATAGTCGGCGATGCCTTGGCAACAAGTCGACGCACGCAGCGACATGTCGGCGGGGACTCGGCGACTGTTTGGCGATCATGTTCGTTTATTATAAGTTCGGCGAACGGCCACGACATTTTCATTTTCATGAAATATTCGTGGCGGTCGTGACGAACCGTAAAAGTCACGCGATGGACACCGGCTGGTCTGCGAAATGCCAAGACCGTGGAAGAAAGATCCCGAATCGGTCCGCGACATAGGATGACTTGCATATTCGTGCACATTCGTGTACCAAAATTCCGCAATGTAACAAGGGCTTTATGCGTCTTCACGACCGGTATGATGCTTGCAGTCACACATCTGACCAGTCGGACGAATTTCGAACCGTTCACAGTCAGCGTTCCAAAAATTTCTCATTTGGGCTGAAGATGACACTCAAGAATAAGAATGGATAATTTTCCACTCTCACATTTTGGGTGGCTAGAATTTTCCACTCAGACACCCAAGACGAATCGGAAGTTTGGAACACTGTTCAGCGGAAGTGTACATAACTTTTTTTTAAAGAAAATATTAGGGTGCGCACTCACGCGCAGTGCGCTTGGGCTTTTGAGTCAACTCTTTTCCATGCGACACCAATAGGCTTAATGACCATTTTCAGAGATGTTGGGGTTGCTGCTACAACCCACTTTATATATAAAGTTGCACTCGTGCTGTTCACAATTCCTCCCGATCCACCCGACAACGCCCGATCTCTTCCGACCGCTTCCGAATCTCCGACTAGTCGGCGAGCGATCCACTCAGGGCTCGCTGATTTTTAGCATCCGACCGGCCGTAAGTTATCGTCCAAAGTTTTATAGTCTGCGTCAATATTTTGTGCATACTTCTGCGATTTTATGTGCACTGCCGGAGTATTACCGCTGAGAGGTTTGTGGGTCCCTTCTCTCTCTCCTCTCTCTGAAGAGTCGGGGGGGGGGGGGGGGGGAGGTCGAGCCCGTTTTTTACATTTTTTTTAATGCCATCCTGACTTTTTTTTGCAGAATAAAGTGGCCGAAATCTGGGGAGAAATCGAAAATTGGGGGTGGGGGGTGGGCTATGGCTATGAAGGTCAGTTCATGTCGCTGCCCAAGTGGCCCACCAGTCAAAATTCCTTAGCCGAGGCCCTGAGGAGCCGTCTTCATTATATAATGCATAAAACCAAATAAATTATCACTGCTCAAAAGTGGAAGAAATGACAAATGAAAAAAAGTTTTCCTACAGCGTTGCAATCCAGATTTCAGGATAGTGATGGGCGCACTAGAAAGCAAGTAAAAGTACTCCACAAGGTAAAAGTTAAGAACAAGAATATCCTTATACTGTTTCAGATTTCGGTAACAAACATTTTTTATGTGTTTTGAATACCCGAATAAATCGATTCCAGAATCAGTCTTGATGATATTATATGGTTTTTGTATGGTGTTGGTGGTACTTGAATGACCAAAGTCAGTACATGTCCATCACCTTTCGATATTTCCGTGGTGCTCGCTCCCATTTCATAGCTGCTCACGGTGTTTTCTGCTGACGTCATATGGTGCTGCTCCACTAGCGCCACCATACGGCGTCAGCTGGCGAATTATCCAGTTAATACCAGAGCCCGATCATTCACGTGAGCACGGGTCATTCACCATTTGAATTAGTTGATTTCTTCAGGATGATAAACTTCAAAATGTGACCTACTGGCTACTGCCTACTTGCTAGAAACAGCGTGCATTCTTTAGTTGACTTGGTGTGCTTGCTAGAAAAACGCGAGTCGTTGACAAATAAAACTTATGAGTAGGTATTTTAGCAAATAGCTCAAAAGGCACATGACATGAAAACATTACTTTTGGATTAAACAATCTAAATATGTAACAAATAACTGCTTTTACATGGACTCTTACAGATGGAAAAAATAATTCACAAATTTAATGACGTCATTTACGTTGTGATAAAATGTGGTGCAACAAATCACTAGCCACTATTTATAAGAATCGCGCCATAATTGTAGCTGACCCATCGAACCCACCGGTATACTCACGACATGGCCGGCCATTTTCATTGGCCAGCAGGGATGTCGGAAGCTGGTGGACGCGTCTGCTATATTTTTGCGTGGTATGATTTTAACGTGACTTCACATTAGGATATATATTATGCTTTGGAATGAATGTGAATTGTGAGGGATTGCGGACGTGATGACTGTTTATAGCTTTTCGTTGTCAACTATCAATTTGACAAGCCGCCAGCTGTCTCATCAAATGTCATAAGCTGTCATCTGCGTGCGTCGGCGAGTCGGAGCTTTTTTTCACCCCTGCCCACCAACCCCGGCCGGCAGTGTCCGGAGCGGTGACCCGGGGCTTTGACCAGTCAGGGCAGCCGGTGTCGCTGATTGGCTGACGTTCAAGGTCACTGCGAGGCGGCGGTGCTCCCGTCGTGCTTGACTGGTTACTGTGCTTGGTTGTGTGCGGAGCTCGGGTAGGTGATGGGCCGGCGCTGAGATATAAAAACAGTCATGAAAGTCGGTACATAGTGATGGGAAGGTGTCATGGGCCTTCTTGATGGATATAATTGGAACTAGGCGTGGTAAGTCTGCTGATGATGCTACTTTATTCGACGTTGTCGCTCAACTCCATGCTTGACCATGACGCCACACGATGTTGATGTCCGAACTCCGATGGTCGTTGCTTGTATAGCGAATCGTGGACGTGACGAATCTAGGGGAAGGTGGGGTAAGACGGCCCAGCGGGGCAAGACGGACCACCAGCCCTCCCGGCTGAACCGCTGCTGGTATCTACTGCTTTATGCACTCACTATGTTTGTTTTCCTTCGTAACAAAATGGCCACCTTGAGCTCATGCTGCTAGGATGCATAGCTTTTGAGTTATTGAGAAAAATGTTGTTTTTCGTCAAACCGATCTAATATAAGAGGTCTACGGGTGATCCAATTACGGCGCCTTTCTTGCATGATTAGTTTTTATTTTGCACTTAACTGTGAAGAACAAAGTTATAAACTTAGTTATCGTCACACTTTAGGAAAGGCAAGGTTTTGCAATGTTGGGCTATTTGACATATACGTCATGATAATGACAGAATTTAGATTTGGGGCAAGACGGACCACTGTGGTCCATCTTACCCTGTGGTGGTCCATTGTACCCTGCATATGGAAAGTTCTTTTCCAAAACATTGACACAAGTTTAAGTAAGCTAATTTTTCAGGAAGGAGTCTTTGTTGCATGTGAGCCATGCATGCAAGTGCTCAGTTAGCATGCATTCATGCCAAACGACAATCAACACACATGTTCCCAGCTTTTAGCTGCACTTCCATCACACATGAGTAAAGAATAAAGGCTCATTTTGTTATTTTACCATTCTGATTACTTTTTCTTACAAGAGTACAGAGTAGAAGTGTAACACACATGAACGGATAGCAGGCACTGCTGGGTGGTCCGTCTTACCCCACGTTTTTTCTTGTCTGAGTTTTTGACATGTCCCTCTTTAAGAGCATTCACCACCTAGATGTCTTTAATTTGAAATTTAGTCTTTACACATATCAACAGAGGAAGGATTGAGCATTCCGAAGACTATAAATAATATGAATTACGAGAGCAGTGTAGCAAGATATGCGGCCTCAAACCTTAGCTGGTCCGTCTTACCCCACCTTCCCCTACACGTCTTGCAGGCATAACGAATCTCTGTCACCGATGGCAGCTCGGAAGTCAAAACGACGCCATTTTTAAAAAGTTATCTTTATAAAAATGAGGAAGGATGGAACGGCCTACATCACCTATTGAGGTAAGTAAAGACGTCAAAACCGCATGTATATTTTGTGTGGATGGGGCAGTTATACTAGACTGAGGCGTCGATTGTGATTTTTGTGGCATTGAAAAGGCCAACCCCCGACGATATGTATTCTGTCAGCGTTAATTCTGGCCCAGAGCAGCGCGAACCGTACCGACACTAATGCGCTTACGCCGTTGTTCTTTTCTCCATTCTTACGTCCACCATCCGCCAATCAAGAAAGCCTCCACATCAAAAGTCATTATATTCGTTCTGACTGCGAGCGCGGACACACCACGGGCGGCCAGCCGGGCGCGATCCTCTCTGTTCACCGGCCGCCGCCGCCGCTCCGCGCCAGGGTGCAGTCTGGTGCGGGCGACGGCGGCGGCCCGCCGCGGCCCACCTAGCTAAAGTCGACTAGAACATTCCCGGCGCTGGCCGGCGGCCCCCACCGCGCTGGTCTCGTGTCTTCCGACGCGTCCCGGCCGGCCGCGGCGTGCCCCACACGGTATTATCCGCAGCGTATATACAGTCCCGGCGGGCGCCGCCTCCGGGGCGGGCCCGCTCCTGTCGCGGCCTGCCTCCTTCGATGGCCAGGCCCGAGTCGGTCAGTCGTGGGGACGGTCTGCGAAACGACGGCGAGCGTTAGGTAACGTCAGGATCGGGCGCAGTGGATGCTGTGCCGCAACGCACGGCTGTATTGCGGCACAGCATAACTCACAGGCACTCGTCGTAGGGCGGGATAGCGATCTTCGTAAGATAGTTATACGTAAAGCGAGAGAAAGTGATGCATTCGGATGAAATCAATCACATGTGGCAAGAGAGAAAGCACAGTGGTCTGCCCCAGGCATCGATAGATCATTATGAATGAACATGAATCACAAATGTTTCTGAAGAACCAAAAACCTCCGTTTACCTAATATCACCTCAGCGACACTAGACTCACCAGTGAACATTGGCAGCTGTCTGTGGCGCTCGTTGGCTCAGTTTCGGCCGGTGACGTTCAGTGAGAAGTTTGCAGTGGTGTGGTCGGCGCCCGACTCGGCCTTGACAGAGTACTGGCCGACGTCGTTGGCCGCGCACGAGGTGACGTTCAGCTGGTGGCTGGTGCCCTCGCCGCTCAGCTTCAGACGGCTGCCGGCCGACAGTGGCGAGCCGTCCTTGTACCACGTCACTGGAACAGAGGCAGAGCGGTCAATGGTATGTGGATGTCACCATATCAGAGCTATAAAAGTGGGAGACTCAGACTGAAACAGGAGAGCTGCTACTGAATCAGTGTCATTTTTTGCCTGGTTCATGTATGTGGGAAGACTGAACTGTGACAATACTTCTTCTGCTCCAATTTCCGAATTGCCGTCCGTTGGCTTCAATTTATCGTTCTTGTCACAGTCTACGTGAACACTTGTTCAGGCTTAGTTATTGGAAACGAACTCGTCGAACTAATCGAAATGACAATTTCCAGGCACCGACGCACTAAGACGACGGCTACCCAGTTGGCGTACCTTTGGTGGCTGGCCGCTCGAGTGTGAACGAAAAGTGGGCCGCCTGCCCCTCGGACACCGTCGCAGACATGGGGAATGTCTTGAAGGCAGGCTGCTTGCGATCCTCGTTCGGAACTGTTGGACGTACAGAACGGAAACGTCAGCGTTGAGGCCATCATATGATTCACTATGATTCGCCGAGGTGACACTGGCGGAGCTGCGGGAGGTGGTGTTCTCCATGAAGCGTTCCGGTACGTGTGGACCTGACGGCGTCTGTATTCGCATCCTGCTCCTTTCTTTCGAAGCCATTGGTCCCATCCTGCTCCATGTTGTCAATACCTGTCTTTCCACGTGTGACTATCCCGATGCTTGGAAGACTCCCTAGTCCATCCTATCTTTAAGTCCGGTGATCCTGATCTGGTCTCCAACTACCGTCCTATTTCGATCGTCCCCACCATAGCCAAAGTTGTCGAGCGCTTAGTGCACCGACAACTTTCCGCCTACATGTCTAACAACCACCTTCTCTCTTCATCCCAGCACGGTTTTCGTCCTCTTCACTCTACCGAAACCGCTCTGCTCTCTGTAACTAATCGCGCTTTTTCCAACATGGACCGTGGCCTTATCTCCCTCCTCTGCCTTCTGGATCTTAGTAAATGTTTTGATGTCATTCCTCACTCACTGCTAGCTTCCAAGCTCCAGCTCTATGGCATCCACCCGACCTGGTTTTCCTCCTACCTCACCGGTCACACTCAGTCTGTCTGTATCTCTTCTCTTTCCGGTGACAGAGTGGTTTCGAAGCCCCTTCCTAACACCATGGGAGTCTTCCAAGGATCAGCCCTCGGTCCTCTGTTATTCACCATTTTTGCCAACGACCTCAGTCTGCACGCGCCGGACGCTCATGTGACCCAGTACGCTGACGATACCCAAATCCTTATTTCCGATACCAAGCGCAATCTTCCTTACCTCATCCAACGCATGGAGTCTACCCTCACCTCCTTGGCATCGTGGTTCCATGCCCACGGACTTAAACTCAACACGTCCAAAACGGAAATCCTCCTCCTTGGCACCCGACAGAATACCAGAGAGCTCCCCCCTGTCAGCGTGCGGGTCGGTGGCGGGACCGTTCGGGAGAGCCAATATGTTAAAAACCTTGGTGTCATTTTCGACCGCCACCTTACGTGGGATGCTCATGTCAGTGACGTGGTACGTAAGTGTGTCGGCCTCCTGATCGGTCTCCGCCACCTGAGGCGCCTCCTCCCGCGGCGGGCGCTTCTTGCGGTCGTGCAGGGCCTGGTCGTCTCGCGCGTGAGATATTGTCTATCTGTGTACGGGAACGGCTCCGCGGCTAACAACGAGAGGCTACTGAAAGTTGTGAACTTTGCCACCAGAGTAGCAGCCGGTCTCCGAAAGTACGATCGTGTGTCTCGCGCGCGGGACGACCTGGGCCTGCACACACCGCGCCAGATGTGTGATGCGCAGACCGCTATCATTGCGCATAGAATCCGTGCCCTGGGCGAGCCCGAGGAGCTCGCCTCACTGTTTGTGACTTTCGCCGACGCACGGCAGTGTAACCGCCCCACTAGACAAGACCGTGACCTGCGCCCGCCAGCTACAAGAACAGCGGTCGGGCGGCGAGGGTTTGCATACCGAGCAGCCTCGCTTTTAAACTCTATGCCTAGTGAAGTGACACGGCTCGAGCCAGCAGCTTTTAAACCGGCAGCGAAACGTTTCTTTTATTTGGAGTGATTGTGCGTGTGTTAGTGTTGTGTGTGCTGGGGCATTCCATGTCAAATCAAACACCGAAATCCGTCATCCCCTTCGATTTTTCTGAAAATTTGTAGGCAGACTGGGCATGGTTCAAAACTGAGTTACGTATAATATTTTCGAAATTTGATAAAGTATCGCTGAGATATGGGTCATCGAATATAGCCAAAAATACCACACATCAATTTTTTAAATGTCTATAACTCTGGTTCCTTTTCTGATATCAAAATGATATTAACAGGTTCTTGTAGGCAATTAATAAGGCTTTGATTTTTAATTATAAAATTAAATTGAAGTGACCTTGAAATGCATTTGACCTTGAATTAAAACAGAAAAATTTAAATAGCAAAAAACACGTCACCTTCGATTCGGGTAATTTTTAGATATTATGTCCGTCACAATGTTCCTAACCATCTGTGAAAAAATTGGAGTGGGCCATTCATAAATCTCGCGGCAAACGCCGTTTTCATGCATCAACATCACGCAGCCGCGCGTGACCTTGAAAGACAGTCAAGACATGCTTGCTTAATGCTTGTGTACACTTTCTGAAATGAATGATTGCTGATTAGTGATATCCCAAACTCTGCGAGAATGGAAATACATAGTCATCGTAGTCAAGCATTTAAGTTCCATAGTAAAAGTGTCTCAGGCAAACGGTATTATGCGGTGAATTTTGAGCCGTGTGGAAATGCACCATGAAGCCAAAAAATTAACAAAAATATTATCACGCAACGATATCTTCACGTCTTTTATCTTCACTATACGAAAGAATGTACATTTTTGAGTATGTATGGGGAATTTCTAGTTAATCCAATAATAAATATGGCAGTTAGAGACATGCTAAGAGTAACATGTCGCCGGCTGAGGCGGGATCGGCCGACGCGGGAAACGCAGTAATAACAGTTTTGTGTTTACACGCTCATATTTCAATTATTTACCAACCGATTTTCAAAATTCTTACACCACAAGATTGCCTGTACATTTCTTAGTCTTCTCACAAAATTTGACGCGAATCGAACGTAATCAGCGGTAAGGAGCGCGATGTAAAGACGGAACCGTTCCGTTCAGTCCCGGCACAGTCTACAATTCAGGCGGCGGCTAGCGGTCGGCGCCGGCTGCCGAGTCGCCGCGTCGCCGCGGCGACAGGATGTTCACTTTACACCGCTATTACTAGACCAGTTGTGAACCGATTTTCTTCTTCCTTGCACGATGAGATGTGCAATTCAATTTTGGACAGGTAGCTATAATTAATTTCGCATTAATACTATGAGATATTGGCGAAAAACAGGAGGGGTGTGGCGAAATTCACTCTTCCCCCTCCACTGCGCGTGCTAACATACGTTTGCATATGTGCCATTTTCTTCAAAACTTATGAATGGCCCACTATAATTTTTTCACAGGTTGTTAAGAATATGGTAGGCAATAAAATATATGAAAATTAGCCAAATCGAAGGTGACGTGTTTTTTGCTATTTCAATTTTTGTGCTTAAGAACAGAGTTAAGCAAATTTCAAGGTCATATATTTAAGTAGGTGCAATTCTAAACACATGCTTAAGAAATTACCTAAACAGTAAGGTTTATTTCATTCAAATCAAACAAGTACAACCAAAGTTATGGTCGTTCAAATATATAAAGATGCAACATTTTGTAAAAATTCGATGCCCTATATTTAGAAGACCTGTGGTCAGAATGTGCAAAAAACATCAATGTAATGTTCGGGGCGACACAGGAACTCGCTCACAAATTTATATTGAAATCGCTGATGGTAAGGTGCAAAACAGCCGATTTTTGTTCGATTTGACGTGGAATGCCCCTGCTGTTGTTTCAGCGGATGATTGTTGTGTGCCGTGTCCCATTTGACTTCCCCAACCGTTTTATTCACTGACAATTGACACGTAATAGCCACCGTGTTGTGGAGTGTCTGCTGACGTAAATAAATAAATAAATCAATAAACACTATGATCGCGGCAGTATTTGGTACACAAGACAAAACAAACGACAAAAAAAAAAACATATATGAAAATCGTAGCAACGTTATTATAAACTTCTCCGCAGTGCAAAACCAATGTCCGCCTCGAGATGTCTCGGGGTGAACGCCATCCATAACACCACGTAGTTTTCCCTACCCTTTCCCCAGCCACGGCTCGAGCAGCCCACTCACCGAGCACGACCAGTGTGCAGGAAGAGAAGCTCTCGCCGGCGTCGTTGAACGCCTCGCACGTGTAGCAGCCCGAGTCCTCCGGGAAGATCTCGGCGATCCTCAGCGTGTACTGGTCGCCGGCACTGTCGTACTCAAAGTCCTTGGACGGCTTGATTTCCTTGTCGTTGTGAAGCCAGACCACCTCGAATTTGGAAGGACCTGAGGCAACGTTGTTCGGTTAGAATGAGTCGATACGCGAGTAGTGATCATGTCTGATGACAGCGACGAAATTTGCCAGTTACGTGAGTATTTACAGCACGGTCCACCCTCGTGGTAAAACTGGCCAGGACGGCGAGGCACGGGCGAAAATAGGAGGTAGAAGCAAGCAGGGATCGGTGACCCGTGAAAGCACGTGATCTGAGAAGAACCTGGCACTCACCGGTGACCCGACAGGCCAGAGTGACCACCTCTCTCCACCTTGGACTGCAGAGGGGGGTATATTTACACTATCCGGTGACCCGACAGGCCGGAGTGACCGCCTCTCTCCATCTTGGACTGCAGAGGGGGTAGGGGAGTGTATTTACACTCACCGGTGACCCGACACGCCAGAGTGACCGCCTCTCTCCACCTTGGACTGCAGAGGGGGTAGGGGAGGGTGTATTTACACTCACCGGTGACCCGACAGGCCAGAGTGACCGCCTCTCCGTCCCGCCCATAATTGGAGAGGAGGGTAGGGGAAGGTGTATTTACACTCACCGGTGACCCGACAGGCCAGAGTGACCGCCTCTCCGTCCCGCCTTGTATTGGAGAGGAGGGTAGGGGAGGGTGTGTTTACACTCACCGGTGACCCGACAGGCCAGAGTGACCGCCTCTCTCCAACTTGGACTGCTGAGGGGATGGGGGGGGGGGGTATATTTACACTCACCGGTGACCCGACAGGCCAGAGTGACCGCCTCTCCGTCCCGCACCACCTTGGACTGCAGGTGACCGGCCACCCGCGGCGGCTCCTCCACCTGGCCAGCGCCCTTCACGGGCACACTGTCCTTGGCTGCGGCACGGACACGGGGCACGTCAGTCAGGACACAGCTGGGAACTTAACGGGAACTGCCAACTAGCGAGGCACAAATTAAACGTACAGATCTATAAGAACTAGTTACCAAGTGCGTTCGCTTCTACTTGGCAATGAACTCAAAATGTACCAATACTAACTCTTGTCATGAATATCAGTTTTAGTTTGAAAACCCTGAAGTCGTAAAACTCTGGTTGAACGGTGGATCGTAATACTGTTTTCATGCGTTCTTACCTTTGACGGGCGCGGGCGCAGCTGAAAGTGAAAATGATATATCAGTAGATATCAGTGATACGCAGATTGATCATAGTTGATCTACAAGAAAACTTAGTGCACGGCATGCATAAAAATACACGTACTACAATATACATATATCTGTTAGATGAAAGGAAACAATTATGAAAGAAATATTGTATCATCGATTGAAAGAGAAGAATAAGCTTACAGAAGTCCATGTTACAGAAGATATGCTTGACTCGATTTCACAGAAGCCTTGCAGAATGATGACGTCTGAGTTTCTTATCTCCCGTAATCCATGCGAAAGTTTTACAGATGAGAGATTTAGAAGCAGTACTCAAAATATGGATTAAGAGAGACAATGTGTTGAAACGAGTCCGGCCCAGGACCCTACCCTCGTACAGCCTCCGTCTAACCCCCGTCCTACCTGTGACGGTGACCTTGCACTTGGCTGTGACCTCTCCCATCGAGTTGTAGGCGCGGCACTCGTACAGGCCCTCGTCCTCGGGGAACACCTCCGCCACGGCCAGCGTGGCCACGCCGTTGCGGTACTTGAGGTCGACGGCGTCGGACGAACTGAGCAGCTCGCCGTTCTTGCTCCAGGTGACCTTGGGGTCGGGGTCGCCGCGCACCTGGCAGTGCAGCGACAGCGTGCCGCCGTCGCGCACAGTCAGCGCGGCGGCCATCTTGTCGTCGAACACGGGCGCGTACATGAGCGAGTCGTCCGGCGGAATCTCCAGCTCCTTGGTGGCCGAGCGCGAGCGTGTCGAGCTGCCGGACGTGGTCTTGCCGTACGGCTTCAGCACGCGCTTCTCGCCGGGCTTCTGGGCCGGCGTCGAGTCGACATCCAGCCGCTGAAGACTCGCCTCCAGGCTGGGCCGCGAGTCGAACGGCCGCGTCGACTCGGAGTCGAACCCGGACCGGGAGAAGCCCGAGTCAAACCCCGACCGTGAGATGGAGGACGACTCGAAGCCGGACTTGAATCGGCTGCCGCTGGAGGACGACTGCTGCGGAACGACAGGGGACGGCACGTCAGTGGCCGGTAAACAGACGGTGGCGATGGCTCAGTACAAGCGGCAAGTAGATGTAGGAAACCTTAATCGATGAGAGTGAAAAAGCGTAGCCGATTTATTGCGCTTTTCTACACATAAGGCTGGCAAATGTCTTCCTAAGGTGCGATATGTAACATGACGTTTCTGCATAATTTTTACATGACCATTTGGAGCAGTTTACCAAGCCCATATTTTCGAATAGCAAGGAAACTGAATAGCACTTGCCATGAAGATTACAAACAACCGTCGGTGGATAGAATGCACTCCATTATTCTTTATTTCAAGAGCTCGATCTGCCCTGACCTCTGTCCCTTCACTGACCGTCATACTGCTGGACTGGAAGGAGGAGCTCTGGAACGACGAGCTCTGATGTGACGAGCTCTGGTGTGACGACGAGTAGGACGACTTGTACTCGGACGAGAAGGCCGACTTGTAGCCACCCGAAGAGCTCTCCGTGCGGTAGGACGACGAGTACTTGCTGCCGCCGTAGCCGTTGGTGGCCGAGGGAGGCGCCGTCGTCAGGTAGCGGCGATCTGTCGTGGAGGTTGGGTCAGGTCAGGTCGGGTCACCTCGGGAAAAGGAAGAGTGGTCGGAGGAAGAGTATTTGACCTAAAGGAAGAGCACGACATCAATGTGAAGTATTTACTCAAAACAGTACGGGCACAAGATATTATGTCGCATGCCAACGGTGACCAGAAATAAGACAGTACTAAGAAAATTGTATTGATTTGTGGGTGAAATACCGCGGTAGCTCCATAAGCGAGGGAGCTATCGTCGAAACAGTGACAGAGAAGAGTCGATCCACGTCGACGATCAGCACTCACCACTTGCGGGCGGTCCCGTGGCGCCACTGTTAGGTCAAACGGTTAGCGTTAGTTCAGTTATACATGCGGCAGGTCACACAAACACGGTTACAAAATGATTTGAAAATTGTATCAATAGGTAAAATGTTATCGAGTAAAACATTATAATGCAGTTAACATCCACGGTTTTGAACTGCCTTGGTTGAAGGTTTTGTATTTCTGGGATATTCAATTTGTCAAGCATCGTAAAGGGAAAAGGGCAGAGCGGGCTTTTCTTATCGATTCATTTGTGTTCTTTACCACCACATGTAAGCACTCTTCTCTTCAGTATCTACTATCTAGTATTCCTTTATTTCCTAACGTAATAAAATGAATGGATTGAAATATCGGACAGTAAACCCAAACAGCAGGACTGAGACAAGTTCACTATCCAAGTAAAATATGTGAACGCTACGCGATTTGGCAAAATCATAGTAACTATAATCACATCTTCACAGCAGGCTAGCTAGCCGTTCATGGCTTACGAATGTATCATGGTCTGATTGTAACACCTTTAGCACAGTAAGCCTAAGCACATTCCACATGCATCGCGTAACCACATACATATCCTCCGAGGCCGGGCTAGAGCGCTGTATTCTACGGGTGGAAGAGGGGTGACAGCTATAACTAGCAAAATCTATTACTCCGATCTCGTAAAAAAGATACTTCTAATCTACAATGCAACGTTTTTTTTTTATAAAGAATTACTACAGGAAATGAAACCACACAATCCATTCTCAAAGATCGGTCATTATTCGTGCCGAATTCTTTCAAAGTTGAATCTAGACTACAAGCGCTATACGAACCGAGGAGATCTAAGCTACACCACTTTAATCTAATGTCTTATAACGTTTACCTTTTTTACTAAAACTATCGAAGATTTTCCGAGACTGTTCGTCGGAACCACCTGAGAATTTCGAGGGGTGGGCGGGTTAGTGGTCATTCGGCTGGTCTCACAGCTTTTCACTCATCAAACATTGAATCGAGACAGAACCGAGGACGAACTAAAGCACACAGCACAGACAAGTCGATAACATAAGCTGAAACAAAAGCATAATTGCACATGGTTATTCTGAAACGTAAAGTGGGGTGAGATAACGTGACGTTTGCAAGTGAGATGAGCGTGTGAATGGCCAGGTGCCACTGAAAGTGGTGGTATGTGTTCGGAGTCCGCACTAATTTAGAACATCCTTATTCGATTTGTCGTGAAACCCCTATAATCGAAGCCCGGTTTCCGTATTTTGGCATGGGTGAATAATAATATGCATCATCAATCGCCCGCAGGTCATGGGATATTTTAAAACTTCGGTGTAGTTTACGTCATATTTTAATAACATAACATTAAATTGGCGAGCAGGTCATTTTACCGTACCCAGAACCAACGCAATTCTACTGAACCGCTTAAAATCTTCTGTTACCGAAAAGGGAAATTACGGTACAAGAGTTGTACTCCTAGGAGTCATTTTTAGCATAGTCCATGAACCTGATCTCACGTCGATGTCATGCTTTGATAAGCAGTCCTATACATAAAGATGCAGTATAGTTCTACGTTTCACGTAACTCTACGATTTCCTTTAGCTGAATGAATTCCCTGAGCAGTTATAAAGAAAAAGTGCTGTTATGTGCGGGTGATAGGCACGTCAGTGTACTGTGCTGTGATCAACACCTGTACTTATATGTGACTGAGGCCCGGCAGACGGCCGCTGTGTGTCTGCTGTCTGTCTGTTGTGTAGCTTAGTGAGCTGAAAACCACGGCAATCGGTTGTACACGCGGCGGCGGCCGCGGCGGCTCGGCAGACGCCACTCACAGGAAGGAGCTGAAACACCAGGGTGAGCCATGGACACAACGCTCCGGTACAGAGCCAACAACGAACAAACGTGCGACGAGTGACGGGCAGTGAAACGACAACATCGATAATTCGATAAGGTGAATGGTCCAATCGGACCGCAACCAGACGGACAACTACACATGACATTCTACGATACGAGACCCGCCTGACATTGAATATGCTTCTATTTTCTTTTTTTACACGGCACGTTAGACAATGAGCGTAAAATCCGCACAAAAACTTTAATTTTCCATGTAACAAAGTTCTGACAAAAAACATGCATTTTAGCACGCTAGCTCCCTGACAAGACATATTTACACAACCCCCAGCCACTGCGTCCGTTTCGACGTCCTCATGCTCTGTAACGTTCTATCGCCTTGTCCCGTACCTTCGACGATGATGACACAGCTGGTCTCGGCCTCTCCTAGGGCGTTGGTGGCCACGCAGCGGTACTTTCCAGAGTCCTCTGGCTGACAGCTGCCGATCTCCATCGTCACCACGCCGTCGGCGTTGGTAATGTTGTACTCGGAGCGCGACAGCTCCTTGTCGCCCTTGTACCATTTCACCTGGGGAAGCGAGATTGGGGGAAGGGTTACTCGTAGTTGTCTGAAACTCAGACTGAGGGAGGGCAATAATAAACATGTTGGAACTAATAAACGTATTTAATGACAATTAATACATACTTTACGGTGCGTTCACTGGAGATTAACCGTGCGTTAATTCGAAGGTAGCCGTGCACCAATTTAAATTGGTGCACGCGCGTGCAGTGATGACTTTCTCGGCTGAAATTTTTCGTAAGGGTCATTGACTTTATTCTAAGATTTCCCATAAAGGGCCCTTTTTAGTGGCATGGACTAGGTTTAATTTTAATTTAAATTCGCACCGTTAAGCATGTATTAATTAGTTTAACACATGGTTTCCGTGCATAAATGGTTTTAACGCACTCGTGGATGGAATGGAGCACTTGTGCGTTAATGCACTCGTTTCACTCGTGCATTAACACACTCGTGCTCCAATCCATCCACGTCGTGCGTTAAAACCATTTACACACGGGAAACCATGTGTTAATATATAATAATACGGTCTAAGACGTTCATTATAATTTGAGAGTTCATAAATCATACATATCTGGTCAATTTCTGCATTTAAGTTGCCCTTCTTCTTCGAAGTCGACTGATAAAGCAATCGTAATTCAATCTACACGGTAACTAAGGCCGTGGCTCAATACTGGAAGAGCAGCTCAACTACGGAGAGCAAGTCACAAAGAAATCAGCGCTCATATTTTAGACGGAGGTCGATACTACACGCTTTCCGCTCACCGTGGGCGCCGGTTTTCCGCTGAGACAGCAGAGCAGCTTGCAGGTCTGGTTCATCTGCATGACGCGCGGCCTTAGCTGGAAGCTGAACACGGGCGCGTGGTCGGCCTCCTTGTCCCAGACGCGCTGGAAGCTCGGCTGCTGCTGGCGCTTCCGCACCGGCTCGCGCGACTCCTGGCGGCGCGGCATCTCCTTGGCCACCGACTGCACGTTCAGGAACACCGGCTCCTCGCGGAAGCCGTAGTGGCTCTCGGCGCGTATCATGTACTCGCCGCGGTCGGACATCTTGCACCGGTTGATGATGAAGGTGTAGTCGTCGCCGGCGTAGCGGCGCATGTATTTGACCGACTGTCGCAGCTCCATGTTGTCGCGGTACCAGGTGACTGTCGGCGGTGCCAGCGAGATGACCCGACACGTGAACTTGGCCGCCTGGCCCTCGTAGGCGAACGCCGACATGGGCCGGATGACGAACCGCGGCGCCGCCTGCAGCCGGTCCACGTTGACCTCGTGGATCTTGTAGCGGTCCATCTGCAGCTGTCGGAGACTGGAGTAGTTGGCCAGCCGGCCCAGTGGCACCGGGTAGCGCGACCAGTTGTCGTAGCGCGCCCGCATCCGGTCGCGCATCGGCACGTAGCGCGAGCTGGCGATGGGCGCACTGAGGTCTCCCAGGTCACCCTTGAGCCAGTCGTGCTCCAGACACTCGTGAGCGGTCAGACGCTTACTGCGGGGAAGAAAGCGTGTGGTGTTAGATCGGGTCAAGGTGAAGGAACCTCACAGAACCTCATTATAGTGCCTGCAGCCTATTGTCCTGGTTCGACGGATATTATCGAACGGATCGAATATTATATCATAAAGTAATAATTCACTCAGAAATGTTTCAACTGATGTTCCGTTCTATTAACAGTAATTTCTCTAAGACAGTAAACGATGAGCATTCGACTCACTCCTTGTTCCTGACGAGCAGTTTTCGGATGAAATCCTTGCCCTCCTTGGACACGTTCGAGAAGGCCTCGGTGTCAAAGTCCCAGTCGCAGGCGCGCACGTTCTTCAGCGTCTCGATGTCGTTCTCACCAGCGAACGGAGACAGACCCGACAGGCTGAAAACGACAGACAAGTAAAATAATGTTTCAAGCTGTTACTATGAGCATTTCAGTAATAAATGTGTCGAGACAATGCAAGCGCTCATTCAGAGAACCATGAAAATTTGTCCTTCCGCTACAAGTATCTCGGTTTCTTATCAAGCATAAGAAAATGAGACATAAGATTTAGGATTGTACCACCAAAATGGTCTAAAAAATGCACGCTTGTAACTTGTAAAAAATACTATTCATGAATACTACATATACTATGACTGTTTGGTCATCATGCTCCTTTCCAGCGTTCCTCCACCCTCCAACCTCCCTATACTCACAGGACGTAGGCCAGGACGCCGACAGCCCACATGTCCGTGTAAAAGCCGACCGGCTCCCGTTCCACAATTTCGGGCGCAGCGAACTCGGCCGTGCCAGTCGAGATCTTGACCAGCTCGTTGGGGTTCAGCTTGGTGGCCAGTCCAAAGTCGATCAGCTTCACGTTGGTCGACTTGGACGTCTGGCACATGATGTTCTCTGGCTTCACGTCTGTCGGAGGTGAGCACGAAAATGAGGGGCGTTGGTTTTGGAAACAGCACAGGGAACATCAGGGATAGAAAGAAAGCGGAAATTTAACACTTAAGACATTAATGGTTTATTGAAATGGGTGGCTTGTATGGATCATAAGTATAGTTGATCACAATTTTACGGTCAAAAGCAAATAATCAAGATAAGCAAATGTGTTACAGATTTTAAACAAATATAGTGAAGAGCAATGCTCTGAAATAAATTGACCGTCAACACGATCAATGATTTAACGTTATGAGTCGTTAACTTCATCAACGAGCAATAAATCTGTGTTAAACCAATCCACGATGTTTATCCCCAATCGTCTGTTTCACTTACCGAGGTGGAGGATGTTGTTCTCGTGCATGTGTTTGACGGCCTCGCACACCTGACGCATGTAGTTGATGACCTCCGCCTCGGACATGGTGTAGCCCTCGGCGGTGATGCGCTCAAACAGCTCCCCGCCCGAGAGGAACTCGTAAATCAGCACCATCTCGTCATCATCCTCGAACGCATCGTGGAGATTGATCAGCTTCGGGTGGTGCAGCTGGTTCATGATGTCGATCTCCTTCTTGATCAGCTCCTTCTCGATCGGGTGGCTGATCGGGATGAACTTGGCGGCGAAGATGTGGCCCGACTTGAGCTCGCGGCAACGGTGCACGACGCCAAACGCGCCGGTGCCGATCTCCTCGAGAATCTCGTAGTGGTCGTACACGTTGTCGTGCTTGATATCCACTGGCTGCGGCACGAACTTGGAGTGCACGTCGAACACAAACTGGTCGTAGTTGTCCTGGGGCTCGGCGCGGCTGCGGATACGCTTGCCGGTCTCGTCCACTGAAGGGAGGGAAGGGTCGAGTCATGTAACCATTCGAGGAAGAACACCAATGACTGACTGTGAGAAGATAAGTATTTTCTGCCACTTAACATATTCAATGTCAAGAGGAAAATGAGCTTTTGCCTTAAACTTTTTATACTTTAGTAGCGATATCCACTATTCAGTATGTTTTTATCGTTTTTTTTTTCGCTGAATGACTATCCAGTATGTTTTTTATCGTTCTTTCGCTGAATGACAGAAATTAAATGCATCTCCAAACATTCCTTTTAAGCATGACGCAAGGAAGCTTTCCTGGAGGACATTGGTACCGTCTATAACTGACCTTCGTAGGTCCTCTTCTGGACCTTCTTTTTGGTGGTCTCCCGGGTGGTGACCGGCGCCGACTCGTCGCTGGGCGGCGACTTTCCGTAGATGTTCTCCGCGATCACGCGGAACGAGTAGGTCTGCCCGGGGGTCAGTCCACTCGACTCGTGCACCGTGAACCGGGTGTTTCCACACCGAATCCAGGTGGCCATCGGGTGCTCGCGCCGCTCGATGATGTAGTTGGTCACGTTGCTGCCGCCGTCCCAGGCGGGCGGCTTCCAGGTGACGATGCAGGAGTTGGGTGTTGGCTTCTCGGCGATCACGTATTTGGGCGCGTCGGGGTGGTCTGGGGGAAAGAACGGTCGTTATATGGGTGCGGAGGTGTGGGACGAGAAAACACACCTTTCATGTGGCAATTCATCATTCTTGTGGCCTTTCGGTGACACGTTACACATTCGGCGATTGCAGTACACCAAACAAAAATGTATTTCATAAATGGTAAAGCCTTTTCTCCCTGAGAACAGCAATTACGGCTATAGTTATGATCCGAGCATTTCGATGGCGTGTCACTTACTGGCGACCTGGACCTTGATGATGCAGGAGTCGGCCCCGAGCTCGTTCTCGGCACTGAGTCGGTACGGACCGTTATCCAGCTGATCCACGTCTCGGATCGTCAGGATCGCGTGACGCTCCTGTAACGCAGACAGAGGGTGTGACTACGGTCAAAACAAGCCCGACTGAAGTCATGGCACAAGACAATGCTTATCCATTCTTTCGGACAATGCCATTATAATGCCATTTCATGGTACTGTTTTCTCCGTCTTTTATACTGAACTCCCATGAATAATTGCTAACTTTGAATTGGACTCCATAAAAAATGGCAGACATTGAAACATTTACCGTTCACACATTAGTTGATAACCTCATTACCGGTATACCGAGCCCCAGATACAATTAACCTCCACCAGCCCGTGCTAGCTGCCTACCAATTCCGTTCGATTCGTACCGTTGTCTCGACGTCGAAGTGGGCGCCCTTCTCGATCACCTCGCCGTCCTTGGTCCACGTGCAGCGCGGTCGCGGGTTACCCGTGAACGGAATCTTGATGACGATATTCTCGCCCTTCTCGAAGAAGGCCGTGTCGCGGAACCGCGGCGGCACGTTAATCTTAGGTGCAGCTGTAAAGGTACAAAGAAAGAAGTTTAGTGAATGGGTATCAGAAGAAAAACTTTTCGATTTTGGGAGGGTCAGTATCTCATGACATGCGTCATAAATCAAACAGAATCATTGAAAATATGATTTACTGTCATGAAGTTAAAGAACGACGAACTACTAACAAACCGCTGATGAGTATCGTCCTAAACTTTTTCGCCGTAACCTACCAGACAAATCCTTTGCTATCCCCATCCGCTTCTTCCCGTTCCCCGCTCTCACTTTTGATGGTGAGGGTGGCGCGGGTGGACTTGTGTCCGGCGGCGTTGTGCGCGCGGCAGCTGTAGTCGTCGGCGTCCTCCCCATACACGTCGCGGATATCCAGGTAATACGTGTCGCCCTCCTTGTCCATGTAGTACTTGTTGCCACTGAAGATCTCCCGGTTGCCCTTATACCAGGTGATCTTGGGTTTGGGCGTGCCGGTGATGACGCACTGGAGCGTGACGGATTTGTTCTGCAGCGCCATCACGTTCTTGAGCGGCTGCACGATCTCCGGCGGCGTGGCGGCTGGAAGAAGGGAGCGGCGGGGCCGCGTCAGTACAAATATGGCGTGCGTGTCCGTTACGATTGAAATCTATCAAATCTGAAGACTGAAGGGAGACAACAATAGACATGGCTCATTGCCAGCGAGTAACTTCTCCTTCCCTTGGCTATAGCCTCGTGCTAGCGGGATGCTAAATTAAAATCGGCGTTTAGCGCAGCTAGGAGCTTTTTCCAATCGTATACGAGCGAAAAATTTTGTGGTACCATGACTTCTCTGTTTGGCCCTCTAGGGGCAATGAACCAGCGCGCGGCCGCTGCGCAGCCAAGACGTCCGTCGCGGTCACGTGACTTAGGCTAGGGGACGCGCGCCCGCGATAACGTTGTGTCCCATTTCTGCCTGGTCTGTCTGGCGACACACGCGTTGCCGTCCGCCTCCCCGCCGCCGCCATGTCATGTTATTCGCTTGTCGCGTGTTATACCTCATCGGGCTGTCACCTCACCCAAAGACGCTGTTTTCGTGAGAATATAGCCCCGGATCACTTTCGCACCGTCTTTGCTAGCGCGTAGGAGCATTGGAAAAACAATATCATGCTTTCCGCATTCAACCAATCTCTGATTTCTGACGACATTGGTCCCCTACGTCACCGCCCCCTCCCAGTCCCGCCTCAGACGCTTACCGTGCGGGTCCCGGATCCTGACGGAGGTGCTGGCGGAGGACGGCTCGCTGGTGCCGGCCTCGTTGACGGCGAACACGCGGAACTCGTACTGCCGGTCCTCCACCAGGTTCGAGATGTTGATCTGCGGCGGCGAGCACAGCGCCTGCGGACGCACGCGGCACGAGGCACACGGGGTCAGAGATGGTTGGGCCTGTATTTAGGGCCTTGGTTGGGCCGCTGTCAGCCGTCTTAGCTGTCCGTCTCTTTGACGAAAGCAGACACATGATAGATTACCAGCAAACGCTTCCAAATCAATTCTGCTTAAAAACAAACCCTGGACAAGAAGAATACCATATGACAGGAATCTAAAGACCAAGTGTGTATTTTCATGACGTCTAGTGACATAACAAACCCGCTAATCTATCACTGGATTGTTTCTCCATGCTAAACCTATGTAGAGTCCACCATCCCCATAGGTACTCACATGGTTGACCTTGAGCCAGTTCTCTGAGCCGACCTCGCGCTTCTCGACCCAGTATCCGATGACTCTCGCGCCACCGTCCTTGAGCGGCCGGTCCCAGCTGAGGTTGACGAAGTCGCCGCCGACTTCCTTGACAGTGGGCACGCCGGGCGGCGAGGGCGGATCGTACGGCGAGCGCGCCTTCACCGGGTTCACGGCCTCGAGCGGCGGCCCGACGCCGTTCTGGTTGGCGGCCATCACCCTGAAGAGGTACTCCTGGTTCTCGGTCAGGCCCTGCACCAGGAACGTGGTGTCCTTGCACGTAGTGGAGACCACCACCCAGTGGCTGTGGGCCATGTCGCGCCGCTCGATGACGTAGTGGGTGACGCGCGAGCCGCCGTCCACCAGCGGCGGCTGCCACTGGAGCGTGCACGTGTGCTTGTTGATCTCGGTCACCCCCAGCGGGCCCTGCGGCGGGCCCGGCAGGCCGGTGATGTACACGTTGAAGGCGGCTGTCACGGCACCGCTGTCGTTCGACACGGTCACTTCGTACTGGCCGGCGTCGTCCTTCTTGATCTCGCGGATGAAGACGATGAGATAGTCGTCGAACACGGTGTACTTGATGTGGTCGTTGTCGACCACCTCTCTGCCGCCGTGCGAGAGCGACACGTTCAGCGGCTGGTCGCCGGAGAAGTAGATCTTGAGCTTGGCGTTGTCACCCTCGGGCAGGTGCAGGTCCGATGGCAGACGGTCGATCCTCGGCGGCGCTGCGGGGTGATGGGGCAGAGGTCAGACACGACAAGCGGGGAAACTTAGGCACTACAATGCAGCTAATTGGATGCCAACAGGTGACAAAAGTACCCCACAGGCAACAGCTAACGCTACTATAATTGTGGCCGTATTCGCCTGGATGTTTACACCTCATTCGAAAGTGATTTCCACAAAATCACAGTAAAACTAGTGACCGATTTCATGCAGTAACTATTTGACCCGTCTCCCTGCCGGCAGCGTCGCCACTCACTTCCGATGCGGACGCGGCAGGTGGTGGTGGCGTGACCGACCGCGTTGGCCGCCTGGCAGGCGTACTCGCCGTCATCCGACGCCCAGGTCTCACTGAACACCAGCTGGAAGGTGCCGTCATGCTCCTCCGCCTGCACCCGGTCCAGGTCCGTGTTCACCACGCGGCCGTTACGCAGCCAGCGCGCGCCAGGAGTCGGTGTGCCTGCGGACGGACAGAGAGGTGGTGTAAAGACAGGATGGCTTGGGTAATGATATGGGCTGATTTAGCAAGTAGTGAGCTCATCTAACTCAGCTGAGTTAGCTGAGTTAGCTCGTAAGTTATTGTCGGGTGTGGGACAGCTGCTGCTGTAGATATTGAAGTGATACAAAGATTTTCATAATGCTTAGCGTTAGTAAATAAAGCAAATTTGATCATAGCGAGACAGCGGGGCCCATTCTACGGTCTAACCTCGCATATGTCCCCACCTTTGCCTCATCTCCGTCCCCACCTCCACACCACCCTACCACTTACCGATGGCCTTGCACTCGAGGGTCAGCGGGCGGCCGAGTCCGGCGCCGGTGTTCATCAACGACTTGACGAACTCGGGCGCGCGGCCGCCGGTTACCTCCTGTACGCGGACGGGCGCGATGCACTGCGCCGGCTCGCTGCGGCCGGCAGAGTTGACGGCGCTCACACGGAACTCGTAATCGCCGCCCTCGCGCAGATTGATGGCCGAGAACTCGCAGTCGGGCACGTTGTACTCGCTGCAGCGCACCCAGAACGGATGTCCGAGCTCGCGCTTCTCCACCACGTAGCCGGTGACGCGGCTGCCACCGTCGAACGCTGGCGGCTCCCACTTGAGGTCGACATAGCTGCGCGTCACCTTGGCCACCTCCGGGGTACCCGGCGCGGCCGGCACGCCCTTCTGCGAGCGGAGCCGGGCGCGCGAGCTCGGCGCCGACGGCTTGCTGAAGCCGGCCGCGTTTTTGGCCTTGACGCGGAACTCGTACTCGCGCCCCTCGGTTAGGTTGTTGACCTGGTGCACCGTGTCGCGCACTAGGTAGTCGTTGCAGTCGCGCCACAGCTCGTCGGTGACGTCTCGCATCTCGATCTTGTAGCCCTGGATCTTGGAGCCGCCGTCGGCCAACGGGCGCTCCCACATGAGCTTCACCGAGTCGGCCGAGCAGTCGAGCACGCGCGGCTGGCCCGGCGCGTCCGGCGCAGAGAACGGGAACTTGGCCGTGATGGGCTCCTCCGAGTCCAGAGGCTCCGAGAGGCCGTACTGGTTCTCCGCGCGCACACGGAAGAAGTAGCGCTTGTTGGGCTCAAGGCCCATCACCACGTAGTTTGTGCCGCGCACGAAACTGCACGCCTTGGTCCAGACCTGATGACGAGAAAACCGAACGGAGTCATTCTATTGAAGGCGAGAGAGCAACAATTATCTTCTCAAGCCACTTAGGCCCTGTCCCTCTTTTACGACGATCATCATAAGCACGGTCCCCCAAAACTGAAACGAAACGGTTCGATGGTGGACACAATTACTAGTTAAAATTCCAAAATAAAGTCTAGATCCCCGATAGAACGTCTTCTAATAAAATCAAGACGCTCTGAATGCGATCGCTAACTCACGTCTGTGCTGATATCCATCTTTTCGACGGAGTAGTTAGTGATGGGCGAGCCTCCGTCGTCCATGGGCGTCCTCCAGGACAGCGAGCACGTCTCGGGCGTGATGTCCGAGATGTCCAGCGGACCCTGTCGGAGGATGGCGACATAAGAATCAGTGGAAATAACTACCGCTCAAAGTAATGCTTAACATTGAACGAAGGCAACCCCGACTAAAAATAATGGCGGTAAATGCAGATAGCTAAGTCGTATACGCTTGCACCGGAACTGAATTTATTCATATGAAACAATGAAAAGAGCTTGACTGCATTATTTTCAAATCCTATTTTCAACTCGACGTTTCAATATCGTTCCTCCCACATTCTTGTATTCAGACATCGCTGCACACAGTCTGAAAATGCACTGAATGTGAGAGCGTGAATGTGAGAGCGCGGTCGCTTCAATGCGGTATGGTAACTGACCAGCGGCGCGGTCGGCCGGTCCACCACTGACACGCGGCACGTGGCCGTGTCGTAGCCGACGGGGTTCGACAGCTTGATCTGGTAGGAGCCCTGGTCCGAGCGCTTGGCACGCTTGTTGGTCAGGATGCTCTCAGTGTCACTGAAACCAGACGGGGAGACGAAAGTTAGATGGTGCCGGGAGGACGATATACGGCATGAGCTCGAATATGCTCAGAGCACTGAAAGGTGTAAAGAAACCGACAGAACTATGACACTTTAGGCTGTTTATTTGGTGTATTATCATTATTTGTTTAATAACACCCTAATTAGGAAGAGAAAAAATGAGGAGATGCGTTTGTAGCTTTTGTCCCGTCCCAGTTTTTCCTCAATATAACACGAGCAATACAGCCTGAGCCCGCCACCCCGTGATACCCCATCCATCCCATATTCCGCCCACCCAGTGTCCGTCGATCCGCTCGCCCTCTGACCTGGTGTCGAAGCGGATCCTGTCGTCGGGGAAGATCTCGTCAGTGCCCACGGACCAAGTCGGCTGCGGCCGCGGGGACGCGTAGAACGGCACACAGATAGTGAACGGTTCACCAGCGCGCACCGTCAGGTCGCGGATGGTCAGGTCCGACGTGATCTTCGGAGAGCCTGAGACAGGGTGGGCAGAGTTAGGGACAGCAAGTTCAGCAACCAGCAACAGCAACCGGCGTGACGCACACATATTTTGCTCGTCAATTAGATTATCTGGTACCATCGCTTTTTCAGCGAAAATAAGCTTATAGTGGAACCCAATAGGCTTCACAAATAATATGAAAGTAAGTAATGCAGGCGGCACAATAATAATAACGCCAATCATTCTCGTTGGGATCCACTTGAGAGATAAAGCGGCTCACAGAGCACATCATCACACCCCTCAGCCGTCCCCCGGCGACATCCGCTCTTCACAGTGCGTATCACTCACTGGGCGGCGCCTGGGCCCGGATGAGGTCGGATGGGTTACTCCACGGACCCTGGCCGGCGGCGTTCTTAGCCGCCACGCGGAACTCGTACTCGGTGCCGTCTATCAGGTTCATCACCCTGTGAGAGCGAGACGGAAAGGTATGTCAGACTAGCGAATTGTGCAAAAAAAAAAAAAAATGACCAAGCTTGTCACATTGAGGGAGCAAAATAAAAGCACACGTCATAGACTAATACCACGGAATATATAGTCTACGACATGTCGTAGACTATATATTCCGTGCTAATGCCAGGTAAACAGCTGAAGGCAGCAATGCTAGGGTAAAAATGTACACTAAGTAAAGTATGTGCACTATGCTTATCACCGCCGTACGGTTACGTCACATCTCGCACATTTATTATGCCCACGCCCCCGTCAAAACTATTCCGCCGTCCTCACTTGAACTCTGCTCCAGGTATGGTGGCGTGGCTGGTCTTCACCCAGCCCTCGCCAGCCACGCGCTTCTCGAGCACGTAGCCGGTGATGGGCGAGCCACCGTTGTGTTTGGGCGTCGTCCACGACAGGGACACAGAGTCCTCAGAGGTGTGCACCGCCTCCGGCGCTCCCGGGGCGCCCGGAACGTCTGAGGGGGGGGGGAGGAGGTCAGGTCAGTATCGCTTCTGGGGCTCCGAGGGCGCCCGGAACGTCTGAGGGGAGGGGAGGGGTCAGTCAGTACCGCCTGCAAGGCTCCGGGGGCGCCCGCACGTCTGGGGTGAGGGTAGGATCGTCATTTCGTCTCCGGCGCTGCAGGATGAAGTTTGATCAGAAATACGTCACTGCTCAACAGTGCTCTCATTTACATCGACGAACAAGCATGAAACCAAATTAATTTAAACATCTATACTGAAAATAAAACAAACTGTTCGACAATTTCTTTCATAAGTCATTTAAGAACACATGCAGACCAACTATTTCATCAAACAACCACACCAAAGCAGAACCGCTCCCGTGTGGCACTTACCGAACGGATGTCTGGCCTTGATGGGTTCGGTGGTCTCGCACGGCTCAGAGGTGCCGTACTGGTTCTCTGCCCGCACTCGGAAGTCGTACTCCTTGCCGACGCTCAGGTTACGCACGCGCACGCCGGTACCAGAGACAAAACTGGACACCTGCGGGCGAGGTGAGAGTTGTGAGGTCGTGATGTCCACTGTCGTGATACGGGCTATTATGTGATAATTGCGTGGCATCGGATTCTCTTGAGGAATAGGTTAGAAAGATAATGGGGTTCCCATTGACTTTTTTTTAAAACAATGAAATAGATATTCGAATAATAACGACATATGTGATTGCACTAAAATATGATTCAGTTCCAGGTGTAGCTGAACCAACTTTGAGCGCGCACCTCCACGTCTTTTATGGTGTTCGTACCTTGCACCAGTCGGCCTTGCCGTGATCGCGCCGCTCTACCACATAGTTTGTGATGTCGGCACCGCCGTCATCCTTCGGTGGCTTCCAGAACAGCGTGAGGCTGTCGCCGCCGAACTCATCCGCGCGCAGGTCCCGTGGTGGAGCGGGGCGGTCCAGAACCTGACAAAGGGGTCAGAGGTCAGAGAGCAGGTCACGGAGCGGAGCGGGGCGGAGAGGGCGGTCCAGCACCTGATGCAGGGGTCACAGATCAGAGGTCAGAGCTCAGAGGTCAGAGTCAGGTCACGATCCAAAGGTGTTGATACATTTGATATTTACGGAGAAGCTGAAGCAGCAGCTATACATGATTGATGAGAAGTGAATGACTTGATGTTCATGTAACAATATTTAGGCCGACCCATTAGCAAAAAAAAAAAAATCCTCTTTGGCATTCTCCTCAGCCAATTGTCACCACCAATGCCTCTGCTCATCCTCCGAACCCTACGACCTACACCTTCTCTCTGCTGACCTTGACATTGCAGATGGCCGTGTCCATGCCGGAGGTGTTCTTCAGGTGCAGCCGGTAGGCGCCCGTGTCGCCACGCTGCGCGTTCGTCATCACGAAGCTGGCGAAGTCGTCGCCCAGCTGAGTGTGCACGCGTGAGTCCGAGTCGTCCACGGCCACGTCGTCTCGAGTCCAGGCGGCTGTCGGCCTGGGGAAGCCGCGGTACGGCACGTGGATGCTGAAGTCCTGGCCGGCCTTGACTGTGATGTCGCGAAGGCCGCTGACGTCGATGTGAGGTTTGTTGGGCTGCTCCTCCACCTGTCAATGAGCAGGGTCGCGACGGTTAGGATAAGACAGCTCTGCTGTTGATGTGAGACTCGATAAGGATACTTCTCACCAGACTTTCTTTGGTAATTGATTGTGATACTATCAACTACACGAAGGAAATGCATGATTTTTTTCACTTGCTTCAACTTTATGGAGTTTAATACTAAAGTAACAACGGTGTGCCCATTTCCGCTACAAGTTCCACCAAATATCTCGCCAATATCTCGCTTTTCCATCATCCCATCGACCGACCTTGACGAAGGGGCAGGGTTTGATGGGCGTGTACTGACCTTGACTAGCGGCACGGTTTGCTGGGCGTGTACTGACCTTGACGACGCGGCACGGTTTGCTGGGCGTGTACTGACCTTGACGAAGGGGCACGGTTTGCTGGGCGTGTACTGACCTTGACGAAGGGGCACGGTTTGCTGGGCGCCGACTCGCCGACGTCGTTGACGGCGATGACGCGGAAGGCGTACTCCTCGCCCTCGGTCAGGTCGGGCACGGTGAAATTGGAGAGCGGGTGCGGCGCCTCGTTGACCGGCAGCCACTCGTCGCTGCCCTTGGGCTGCTTCTGGACCAGGTAGCCGCGGATCTTGGAGCCGCCGTCCTTGGGCGGACGCCAGGAGAGCGTCACCGAGTCTTTGGTGATACGCTCCGGGCGAGGAGCCTCCGGCGCGCTCGGCTTGTCTGTAGCAGGGAGAGCGACGGTCGTTTAATGATCGATGCAGACCATCGCTGGTTTTATAATTGATGAAAGTAAAAATAATCAGATTCTCTATATTTGCGTATCAAAAACATGGCCGAAAAAATATTTCACATCTTAAATTATCATCAATGATCTAAAATGAAAAGTTAAGCAAGCACTCTAGCATCAAGTTAAAAAACGTGAAAACAAAATAGTCTACCAGCATTTACCCTCCTGTACCCGAAAATAAGCGCGTGCCGGCCGCCGGCCAGCCCCGCCTCTATCCCCACCTCTCCATCGTCCGCACTCACAGATCATGACGCCGCAGGTGACCGACTCAGAGGGCCGGCTCGGCTTGCCGGGGCCGGCGTCATTGACCGCCAGCACGCGGAACTCGTACCGGCCGCCCTCGGACAGGTGGCTGACCGTGTGACTGGTGCCCGGTACCAGGTACGTGTTGCACTTGATCCATTCGCCGCCGCGGTCCCGGCGCTCCACCAGGTAGCCTGATGGCAGAGAGGTGATGCAAGAATTATCGGAGAGTTGAACGGACTTAGCGAACAAAATTGATAAATGCTTTTTTTCTATGAACGAGATTTATGCAGGTTTCACAACCGTATGCATGTTTCACTGAATCACATCCCTGGTAACCAGTCGTCGACAGTCGACAAGAAATCAAATCACTATGAAGTTGTCAGACTAGCGCATTACTTGTTCCAACGGCATTGTCACCACCAGATTGCTGCTCGATTCACTACCTATGAGTGTTCTCTCCCATTTCCCTCTGCGGCCACCCACCTGAGATGGGGTTGCCTCCGTTGTACTCTGGCGGCGTCCAGCTGAGGCTGACGCTGTTGGGCGTGTAGCTCGTGATGAGCGGCTGGCCCGGCGCATCCGGCGCGTCGAACGGATTCTTGGCAGTCACCTGTTTGCCAGTGAGCGGCTCAGAGAGGCCGTACATGTTCTCTGCGCGCACGCGGAACGTGTACTGGCGGCCCTCGGTGAGGCCCTTGACGGTGAAGTTGGGTCCGGGGATGTATCCGGGCACGGGTCGGAAGTTGTCGGAGCCGCCCTCTGCCACCTCCACCTGGTAGCCGGTGAGGTCGCAGCCGCCGCAGTCCTCGGGCGGCTTCCAGGAGAGCGTCACCTGGGTGGCCGTCACCTGGTCGTAGGAGAGCGGGCCGCGCGGCGCGCCGGGCTTGTCCACCACCACCACCTCGACGTCCGCAGAGTCGGTGCCGTACGCGTTGCTGGCCGTGATGGTGTACTTGCCGGCATCCTCCCGCACCGACTTGGGGATGTGGAACGTCGTGTACTCGGACGTCGTCGCCATCTGGGGACGGAGCAGGACAGTGTGTCAACTGTCAGCAAGTCACTTAGACAACTGAAACAGAGAAGCGAAACGGCAATCCAGTTTACAACTTCGCACCTTCATGGACAAGTCTGCTACAAGCGCTGGCTTGATGGGGAGTGCTAATCATGGAGCTATCAGTCTTTGATATCGTATTCAAGTTGCAGGTTCCTAATTATCATTTTCCCCGTGGTGGTTTTCACTTCACTCGTTATTCTGATCATTTTTCTGACACCCCCCTTCCTCTCACCTCCGCCCGGCCGCCGGGTGCCAGCGGTTTGCCGGCGTGTGCCCACTCGACGGTGGGCACCGGGGCGCCGCTGATGGGGATCCGGATGTCGATCGGCTCCCCGGCGCGGACCCGGATCCGCCGGCCCAGGATACCGTCCAGGTTCAGCTTCGGGGGCTCTGCAAAGACGAGGGATGACCGATCAGAAAATAAAGGATACATAACAGCGAAACAGAAAAACCAAGTAGGAAATTGCGTAACTAAAAGAGAGCGCTACTGAAACCAAACTGGAACAGTCTGAAACTTAACTGAAAGCATCAGTGGCAAATGCTCAACAATAAACAGATCTATGAACACAGGAACTCAGCTGTTGTCCTCATTGTGAGTACCTTCAATTTGACCCCGACTGATCTCGCATGGGTTTAGCGGTCTGACCCCGACTGACCTTTCATGGGTTTGGCGGTCATGGTGAGGGACGGGTCCGAGGGACTGCCGTGTCCGGCGGCGTTGATGGCCGTCACGCGGTACTCGTACTGGTGGAACTCCAGCACTGAGGTGTCCGTGAATTCTGTGTGCTGTAGACACATAGAGGTTTATTGGTTAGCATGGCAGCGAAATGAGAACAACACAAACAAACTTGTACACATAACAAATTATCGACGCATGATCGCATTGCATTTGCATTGCCCAAGCATTGGGCCCCCGCCCCTATGACCCATCCGGGCCGACCTGGGTACGCCCGGGCGGGCGGGGCGCCGGCCTGTCGGGTCGGGTCGGCGCTCCCCTCGCCCGGGCGGTGATTAGGGGGCACCCCCGGGAAAGATGATTTTCCGGGGGTGCGGGCGGGGGCTCGCGGCCCGTCTGGAGCGCCGGGGAGGTATCCACCAGATCTCCCCGGCCCGGGGAGGTATCCCACAGCTCTCCCCGGGGCCGGGACGGCATATGCCATGGAACGGCACCGTCCCGGTCTGGCCAGACGGGCCGCCGTACAAAGTAAGGTGGAGGCCGCAGGCTGGCGGGGCGCGTGTGGTCCAGCTGTAGTGGTCGGAAGGTCTGTCGGGGCGGCGGGGTTGCGCGTGGGACCTGGTGTGTGTGTGTGTTTATTTCGGTGATGCTCTGTTTCGTTTTGTTTTGTTGAAGAGGTGCCTCGTAATAAGTTTATGCTTTTGCACCAATTCAACTTTATTTCTGTCTATTGTCCATGCCCATAATCATGAATAAACGACAAACAAACAAACAAATCGCCGGAGCTTATCTGCTTTCCTCTGTCCGTTTTCTGAATTTCGGCTGTTGCCACAATTATTGCATTTCAAAATGTCATAAGACGTGTGTGAAAATGGAATGATGCACAGCCAAATCCAACATCACGCAATATCTCAGCAGCCAAATGGCTAGGTATTGTTAACACTCATCCCTCAGCGCCCCATCCCCGCTCGCTCACGTACCGGCGCCGGCGCGTTGGGTCGGGTCACCAGCTGCCAGCGGCCGGTCATGTGCTCCCGACGCTCCACGTCGTAACCAGTGATCTTGCTACCACCGTTGGAGCGCGGCGCCTCCCAGCGGATGCGGATAAAGTCGCGGTCAGCATCCACCGCCTCCGGACGGCCCGGCCGGCCCGGCACGCCTGCGGAGGAGAAGAGGTGTCAGAGTCCGGGTGAACGTGTGAGCGTGCTGAAGAAGATGGAAGTCAAGAGACAAATGAGGCTAGACTGACCTCCTAGGGTGTCACTAATGCAGTTTGCCGTTATTTAAAGCTCATTACTGAACGCTGTTTCGTTTTTTACAGATGCCTTGTTCATGTTGTCAACAGCTGTCTCAAAAATACGTACTCAAACTTTATCTGTTGCATGCTCTTAACTTTAGAACGCTCACGTTTCCAAGCTTCACCCAACCGACACCGTATATCTTACCGAACGAGTTTTTGGCGACGACCGGTTTGTCTGTTGTGAGCGGATCAGAGACGCCCTGCAGGTTCTGCGCCCGCACGCGGAACTCGTACTCGGTGCCCTCGTGCAGTCGCGGCACGAGCGCGTGTGTGTCCTTGGGGTCGACGTATTGGACGGCCGGCACCCACGGGCCGCGGTGCGTCTTGTCGCGCTTCTCGATAATGTAGCCGCTGGAAAAGATATTGGAGTTCAGTAAGACAGGTGTGTGTCTCGTTCCACATGCTCATGACCAACATGCAATCCAGTGCATTATCACGACCATGGAATCGCGAAGTCCTCGGCCATATTCATAGCCATTAACCAATGGGCCCAACGGCACAGCAGCTCTGACTCGGTCTAACGGCCTCTCGATCACTGGTCCCTCACGTGATGGGGCTGCCGCCATCGTCGCTCGGCGCCTTCCACGACAGGGCCACGCTGTTGGCGGTGACGTCGTCGTACTCGAGCGGGCCCTCCGGCGCACCGGGGCGGTCCAGCACCGTCACGTTCATCGTGCCTGTCACATGCGGGTTGGGTGTCATGGTCAGGTTGAGGCTACCCTGATTTGCATGTAAGTTATACAAATTTATCAACACAGACATAAACTGTGGTAGAAACGCCAAGGTAACTTGCACATAATATGAGCTTAGCTCTTCGGGCCGTCCATGATTGTGTGAGCAGGAATTTACTTTTAGCCGATCGAATGACTAGATCACAATCCGTACCATTTCATTATTGTCTCACCTTCATCTGTTCCGGACTCGTTTTCCAGTTTGAGCCGGTATGTGCCGGACTTTCCGCGGTGCGCGTTCACCGAATGAATCACCGTGTGGTGGTTGATGGAAGTCACCGTCGTCCTGAGGGTAGGGAGGGGCGGCGGTCAGTATCATTCGCCAATAGAGGGTGGCATAGCATTGGCAAAATATTTAGAAAAGCCGACTGTCAAACATATAGCAGGCATGCGTGTATCACTGACGATTGACGAATGTTTTACTCGACTGCCAGCCGATTATCTGCAAGTGAAATACAGATGCACTCGAGATGACGACAAAAATGATCAGAGAAATCACTTGTCAGCCAGTCCTTCCTCACTCTTTCCAAACCACGTCCCTGCCCCTCTCCGTGCCCCTCACCTTTCTGTGAACGGCAGCGGTTGGCCGTTCTGCAGCCCCTCGACGTTCGGGCCCTCCTCCTGCCTCCCGCCCCGTGCCCCCTCCCTCCCTCCCTCCCTCTCTCTCTGTCTCTCTCTCTCTCTCTCTCTCTCTCTCTCTCTCTCTCTCTCTCTCTCTCTCTCTCTCTCTCTCTCTCTCTCTCTCTCTCTCTCTCTCTCTCTCTCTCTCTCTCTCTCTCTCTCTCTCTCTCTCTCTCTCTCTCTCTCTCTCTCTCTCTCTCTCTCTCTCTCTCTCTCTCTCTCTCTCTCTCTCTCTCTCTCTCTCTCTCTCTCTCTCTCTCTCTCTCTCTCTCTCTCTCTCTCTCTCTCTCTCTCTCTCTCTCTCTCTCTCTCTCTCTCTCTCTCTCTCTCTCTCTCTCTCTCTCTCTCTCTCTCTCTCTCTCTCTCTCTCTCTCTCTCTCTCTCTCTCTCTCTCTCTCTCTCTCTCTCTCTCTCTCTCTCTCTCTCTCTCTCCCTCACCTCTCTGTGAGCGGCAGCGGCTGGCCGTTCCACCACTCCGTTCCTGTCCCTCCCTGTACCCCTCACCTCTCTGTGAGCGGCAGCGGCTGGCCGTTCTGCAGCCCCTCGACGTTCGGGTCCCCCTCCTGCCTCCCGTCCTGTGCCCCCCTCTCCCCCCTCTCTCTCTCTCTCCCTCACCTCTCTCTCTCTCTCTCTCTCTCTCTCTCTCTCTCTCTCTCTCTCTCTCTCTCTCTCTCTCTCTCTCCCTCACCTCTCTGTGAGCGGCAGCGGCTGGCCGTTCTGCAGCCACCCGACGTTCGGGTCCGGCTCGCCCACGTAGGCGATGTCGATGTGCAGAGTCTGACCCGCACGGATAATGATGTCCGTCATCGGCGTCTTGATCTTGGGAGCCTCTGTTAGAACGAGCGGCGAGAGGGGAGGTGTTAGTAACGGAGAGACCAAGATGTCACTTTGGTAACATATGGCTATCGATTCGCATTTAGCTGAGATTAGATGTTTAGCAATGGGGACCTTGTGAAAGCATAGCGTCACATGTCTAAAGCGTGGTATTGAAAGAGCTCATCGAGGTCTTATTAAGCGCATAATATGCGTAAATGCTAGCAAATAACGATCTCGCAAAGACAAATCGGTTTTCAATATCGTTAGACTCTCATGTAAAACTCGTACTCAGCTGCGGATGCAGATACAGATTTCCGTCATACACGTCCGGCATTTAAGAAGCACATACTATGAAAATACTAATGACCTCACCTACAACCCTTCCCTTCCTCCCCTTGCGCGGACTCACGTCTCCTGGGCCGTGCCATGACCATCTCTGACGGCTCGGAGGGCTCCGACAGACCAGCCTTGTTGACGGCGATGATACGGAACTCGTACTCCTGACCCTCGGTCAGGCCCGGCGCCTTGGCCTGCGGCGGAACACGTCATAAGTGGTCAATGGATAGTTACGCATGTCCTCTGAAGAGGTTAGAACGTCATGATGAACGTGAAAAACGGTACAGGATATGTCGAACAATGCCGTTTTATGCAGTTCAATTATGTAAGCCCAACCACGTTCGATAATACGATATCAGTCGACAGTTGGCACTTGGCAGTGACTATAACGCCGATAGCAGCCTGCCTGAAAAGTAGCGTTGATTGAACACTGGATGGAACCACCCCACCACCTCTCACTGTCACATTTCATCTCCCTGTCCGTCCTATCCATTTACCTTGGTACAATCGGCGGGCACCTTGGCCGCCTCCGTCCAGATCGGAGAGCCCTTCTCCTTCTTCTGAATAATGTATCCAGAGACGGGCGCGCCGCCGTCGTTCACCGGCTTGGTCCATTCGAGCTCGACAAAGTCGCTGTCCCAGTCGGTCACCTTCGGGCGGCCCGGCGAGTCCGGCTCGTCTGTAGGCAGAGGCCAGAGGTCAGGTCACAGGTCGTTGTAAGTACGACAGCTTACACCTCACAAGTCAAACAAACCACCTACTACTCACCTTCAATACGCTAGCCGCCGATAAATCACAACTTATCAGGGAGAAGCGAACGGGCACTTATTGTTTACACTCAGCCGATTGAACAATAATGATGACACTCAAGGGCCAAGTAAATTACACAGACAGAACACTTTTCCGACGTTTCATAAACACCTAATCAAGCCAGCCACCCCATCACCTAGTGTCCCTCGCCCGTCGCCACCCTCAGCTGCTGCACGCACCACACTCGTTTTTGGCGATGATGCTGCGGTCGGTGGTGAGCGGCTCCGACTCGCCGATCATGTTGACCGCCTTGACGCGGAACTTGTACTCCTTGCGGTGGATCAGACCGGTCACCTCGCCGTTCAGCTCGTGCGCGTAACACACCTGTGAGAGACGTGTAAGAGGGTAAAGAAGCGAAAACGTGTCGGACTGTGTAAGCGAGCGTGTGCGGAGCTTACATTGTAGGCATTTTCTTTACCTCTTTCATACCTGAGAGGATGGAAGTCTTAAATCTGCTTGATTTCCAGCTCGTATACAATCGAACCGAGATATAGTTACGTTGTTTTGTTTTTCAGTCCAGTTGAAGTTTTTCAGCCCAATGCTCGGAAGTTTAAAAAATAAAGTGTTTTAATGAGTTTTTTTTTTTATAAAGGACCTCAGTAAAACACGAGTATATGCCACGAACAATGAAAGTGCTGATGGCGGCGCTGCATACTGCTTCTAATCCTGGGCGCCCGGGGCCCAGTCAGCTAAGACCCTAACCCAACAAGATCAATTATCAGGCGGCTGACCTCGACCCAGGTGCCTCGGTTGACGTCCATCTTCTCCACCAGGTAGTGGATGATGGGCGAGCCGCCGTCGTCCTTGGGCTCCTGCCAGGCCAGCTTGCAGCCGTCCTTGTTGACATCGGAGACCTTCAGCGGGCCCTGAGGCGGCGACGGCTTGTCTATGGAGACGGAGAACAGTACGGTAAGCAGAGAGACTGGTGGCGACAGTGACCGATATATCGGACAGAAATTATGTACACTGTTTCATGACAATGTGAAAATAAAGCATCTCACATAAAAAATTCATTCGTGATTGAGAACAACAAGAGCAAAGGCGAATCTGAGTTCACATCTTCTACAAAACCATCCCGTTTTTACATGGCTTGTTGTTACCTCAGTTTTTTTCTGGCATAGAAAAACTCGTTCCAGTGAGTTAGCACACTAACCGAGCACGGTGACTGTTGCGGTGGCCGAGTCCGAGCCGTGGTCGTTTGTCAGCGTCAGCGTGTACTGGCCAGAGTCGGAGCGGACCGAGAACGGAATGTCCAGTGTGGTCTGGCCGCCCTGTGTGGCCAGCTCGACACGCTCGGAGGGCTCCAGCACCGAGCCGTCCACCCGCCACTCCACCTGGAGAAGAGCAAAGGTGGGGCGTCATTCAGACGGCAACAATGGGCCAGTCACGGAGTTCAGAGAAAGGGATACTCCGGATACGGAGGATCAGCACTGGCAACAGCAGGGATGCGGAGCCGTGGAAATTTCAGACGGCTCCGGCTCCGGCTCCGGCTCCGGAGAAAAAAATCGGCTCCGGCTCCGGCTCCGGCTCCGGGTGAAATGTCATAGCGGCTCCGGCTCCGGCTCCGGCTCCGAGTAAAATGATCCGGCTCCGGCGGCTCCGGCTCCGGCTTCTACTCAGTACATCCCCTATGCGATCAATTAACCCTCGCCCGCACATGGGGGGTGGTTGCCACCCCCCCCCCCCCCCCCCCAGGTAGTCTTTCTGCTCTGCACTCAACATTTTTAGAGCTAGAAGGTTGATTTTTCGTATAGCTGCTCCTCTATCCTTTCTTGATGTCCGCTGAAAATTTCAAGTTTCTGTGATTTTTGGTTTCGGAGATATGACCTTGTTTTTCAGGTCATGTCATGACCCAAATGGCCAATTCTCAGCATTTTGCGTTTGCCATGGGCCTTGTGAGCTTTTGACACCCTGATTTCGGCCTTTTTTGCCAGTCTTACCTCCCACCTATCATGGAACACGTTGTTCGACGATGTGCAGGGGTCAAGGTCAGGGTCAAGGTCAACCTAGGTCATCTAAGATAATTGCGTTTTAGGCAAGCTGAAGTTACTTTTTGTGAAGTTTTTTGACTGCATTTTTGGTAAAAGCTTCTCAGATCATGATTTCATGTAATATGGACCCAAAAGCAATCGGTGCGCACATCAGTATACACACAGACACACACAGACATACAAACACATATAATTGACCTTGACCTAACTTGACCTGAAAAGACCTCAGCAGCAAAATTATGGTCGGGTAGTGTGACAAAGAGGTTCTAGCTGGCTTGGCACCAGAAAACAGCATCGTCATCGGTATTTGATAAGCAGCGCACTTGATATCCAACGGTGACCCAAAACAGCAACATTTTTTAGTTTGACCTGACCTGGAAGGTCAATGACTGATCTGAGAAGGTTAAACTGGGTATCATTAGATTCGTCTCTTCCCAAAGAATCTTTTTGGTCTCTACCGCTAAGCTCTATCTCCAACAGGAACGAAATGGCGCGGGGGGGTGGCAACCACCCCCCCCCCCATGTGCGTTCTAGGATGGGAAAATGGCATGTGCGGGCGAGGGTTAAATACGGGTGGAAGAAAAAAGGCGATGGGATTTATTTTATTTTATTTTATTTATACATACAACAACATTCACAAGCATCGTGGCTTTTCAGTCGAGGTGATAATGAGGTGATGAGTAAAATACTATGGCAAGGATACGGAAAGGATACGGGACGTTGTGATAGGATTGTGCAGGACTGCGAGTGCAGCTGCTGCCCAGTTGGCGCTGCGCACATCTGCAGCCTGGCAAGAAGGATAAGTATGAGGATATCACCGGGGCCCTAAGAAATGAAAACTTGACGAAAGAAAAGCTGATGAGTGCATGACTTCATGGATCGTGGTTGTAGTCGAGTTTCGTAGAAGTTCACCGATTTGTAAATCTTGCTTCCGTTCAAAAGTTCTCTCATTTCTTGATAGCGTCTTGCACTGGTCTTGACCACATGTCGCTATTTATTTATCATGGCAGGATAAATCACCGAACGTGTCTTGATAGTTGATACTGCATTATGCATCATCATATCTGTTGACACACCAGATACGCTTTTTGCCCGTTAAAATGCACTTTCTAAGCTGGTTCGGTTCATTCATTTTCCAGTCAGTGTCAAAAACAATCACGTGACTTGGAGGCTCGAGACTTGAAAAATCGAACAATAAATTGTGATGTTCTTGCCGGGCAAAATTGAAATTGTTCCATCTGAATGCCAATAAAATGCAAAATGAAATGCAAGATACCATCAACTTTGAAATATATCACTGAAAGCTATAAGGTGCATCAGAAGCACCATTTTCTTCTCAGTCTTGTAATATATAATAGATCCATCAAAAAGCTTACAATGCGCCTTAATTTTGCAATGATTCAGAGCAACGTAAAACACGTCTGCCTCGTTCAAATTTCGTTTCAATTGTCTGAATGGTCTGAATTGGTACACGTTGCTTCTGTATTTGTATAACAAGGCTATTTTGAATACCAGATTGTTTTACGCCTTGTACTGTCAAACCGAACTAGGTAAATAATTGTTTCCTCTTAAGAAAAGGAGCCGGAGTCGCCCCCTTTTTTTGACGGCTCCGGCTCCGGCTCCGGCTCCGGGCTATATTGTTTCACGGCTCCGGCTCCGGCTCCGGCTCCGGGCAAAATATGCCGGCTCCGGCGGCTCCGGCTCCGGCTCCGGCTCCGCATCCCTGGGCAACAGTAGTCAGGGTAATTGTTGATTAACGGTAAACCCGTCAACGGCAGTCTCTAATTATATAGGCATTACTTGCGCAAGATAACAAGTGTTGCTATCGAATCTCTCCATTTGCTATGCCTTACCTTGGGTTTGGGTGATCCCTCGATGGGAATGTTGTACTGAACGCGGGTGCCGGCACGAACCACCAGATCCTCCAGAGCGCTCTTGTTGAACGACGGTTTCACTGAACGGAGACAAGGTAACGTCAGAAAATTGAAGAAAAAAAGCAAATGTCACTACAATAAAGCAGCTGAACGCAGGGCGTTTTGCAGGGCAGGGCGTTCAACACGTTTTGCACGGACCGTGTGGGTAAATTGAGATAAGAGATGGAAAAAACTTACATTTAAAAAGGATCACAAAATGGAATTACACAGTTTGCCTGTGACGGCGCCACGTACCGAATCTGGGCTTGGCGATGACGCTGGAGCTGGGCTCTGACGGCTCGCCGGGGCCGGCCTGGTTGACGGCGATCACACGGAACTGATACTCCTCGCCCTCGGTCAGGTTCGGAGCCGTGCCGCGCGTCTGGTCACCAGGGATCTCAGCCGCCTTCTCCCACATACTAAGCGGAACAGAGGTCAGGTCAGGTCAGGTCAGGTTGGGTTCGGCACCGTGCCGCGCGTCTGGTCGCCCGGAATCTCAGCCGCCTTCTCCCACATACTGGGAGAGCAGTGGTCAGGTCAGGTTAGGTGGGGTCAGGTCAGGTCAGGCGCTGTGCCGCGAGTCTGGTCACGGGGATCTCAGCCGCCTTCTCCCACATGCTGGGAGAGCAGAGGTCAGGTCAGGTCACGTCGAACTCCAGTTTTGCACGGAGACATGCTGCATATTATTGTCATGGTTTGTTGATATCATGACGAGGCATTGTTTTTAACACCACATCCATCACACGGCTCAGCAAAGATACATCACTAGTTACTAGAGGTTCAGGGCCCCAAACGCGACTCACCCGAACTTGGGTTTCTTCTCGATGATGTACTTGATGACGGGCGATCCGCCGTCCTCCTTTGGTGCAGTCCATTCCAGGTCCACGTGGTCCTTGTCCCAGTCGGTCGGCTGTGAAACAAGTGAGAGGAAGGTTAGCATGTGTCAGACTCGATCAAATATATGTAAGGCAAAGCAGTTATGGGAGAAGGTTGTTGATGCAGTGTAATGGAAACAATCGATTGGTGGTCTTGTGCTTTATGGTATAACGCCGGGACTATAATGCTGGCCACGTACGACCTTATAGATAGTGGTGGTGGGGTACTCCCCATTAGCGATCGCCACAATCCATGCATCGCGTGCCTAGATTCTAGTCGAACGGCTCTCCACCTATCGTCTTCCTAACAGACGAGTCAGCGTAAGCGTCTTGACTTATAGTGCGAGCGGCCGAGTCTCACCTGGGGCTGTCCGGGTTTGGTCGGTTTCTGGAACGGATCCTTGGCCGTGATCGACTCTGATCCAGTCAGCGGCTCCGACTGACCCATCCGGTTCACGGCGAACACGCGGAACTTGTAGTCGTGGTTCTCAATCAGGTGGTCAGCCCTGGCACGGGAGGGAGTCATGGGATGTCAGAGGTAATATTACTTTTTAATCCGTGGTTAGTTACACATTATAGGTAAGTCAAATAAGGGTTTCACTTGAAGCATCCCAGAAAAGACACACGAATGGACGCTTATGTAAAATCTGTCGACTCGATTAGACGAAGTAGGTAGTTTTTTTTTTGGCTAAGCAGAGAACTATTATTTCTATAAAGACACAAAGCCTTTATGCATACTCCTTCCCTGAGACAGCTTGACAATGTCGTCCTTTTGAAACCCTCCGTCTCTCCCCAACTTCCTCGTCTTTGACGGTGACCATTTCACCCACTTGAGCTGGCACTTTGTGGTGTCTCCGACGGGCACCCAGCGGAACGTGTCGGCGTCCATCTTCTCCACCAGGTAGTGGGTGATGTCGGCCCCGCCGTTATCCTTGGGCGGCTTCCAGCCGATCGTGCACGACGACTTTGTGATGTTGGCGTACTTCAGCGGGCCCTCCGGCGCGCCCGGCACGTCTGAGAACAGGGTGACGGAATTGTCGGAATGAGAGCCGGGAGAGATGTGAAAAGCGAAATAAGACGGCACAAATAAAACCCGTGTGTGTCAGGCAAGAATAGTGCAACAGCGAAGCGAAGGCAGCGTTCTTTTGAAAACCCAAACCACGGCAAGGCGGTCCGGGCCAAGTCCGGGCGGTCCACCAAAACATACATGTGGGTAGACTGTACCGCAAGACAATGCTGTGCTGCGGCACAGTCTACCCATCCGCCAGCGGCGCGGCCGTCTCTGAGTGCCGTGCGTTTTCCATACGCACCGGCCTTCATTTTCATGGGTGACAATGACGCTGCCCGTGGCGTTGACAGTCACGCTGCCCAGCCCATGACGCCGTCACTAAGCCTACCCGTGATGCCGTCAGTCACGCTGCCCGTGACGGCACCAGTGTGCTTTAGTCCCCTGTGACACCATCTTTGCGCTGCTCACCGACGACGGTGACGCTGACGGAGACGGTGTCGGTGCCGTTGCGGTTGGTGGCCGTCAGCGTGTAGTCGCCGTGGTCCGCCCGCCTCACGTTATGCACACGCAGCTTGATCAGGTAGTCCTCGGCCGTGATCTTGATACGCTCCGACGGCACCAGGTCAGAGCCCTGAGAAAAAAGGGGCGGGGTTAGGGATGGGATGGAAACGACATACTGTAAGAACGAAATAGGAGCGTCTATAGATACGATAAGAACCAGGAAGATGTCAGCTTGTTAGAATTAACGGCGCCATTTTTATGAGTAAAGGAGAAATGAAGCACATAAAAAAAAACTTGGGAAGTCCCAAAAAAGTAAGGAATTGATTCAGCATATTTTCCTATTTTCCTTATTGCTTTGCCATCTGATGGCCCTTGTCCTGAAGGCTAGCAGCCTACCTGGAAGCTCCAGGTCTTGGACGGCGGCGGCTCCCCGGCCACTGGAATGTCGTACTCGATCGACTGACCGGCACGTAGCTTCAGTGCCACCATGGCGTTACGGTCGATCTTCGGCGCCACTGAAAACGCGGAAATGAACACCGTTAGCGGGCTGTGACGGAATTAGACGAGGCTAACCATGCACGCCAGTGTGGCCAAATTGGTTTAGCGTTAGGGGGAGGATGTATAAAAAAGTCGTACGAGGATGTCACTAATTAAAAAAAAACTCGTCTTCAGTGTCATTTTAGGTGCAGTTTTTACAAGTTATGTGGAAAAACTATATCTAACTTCAAGCTCTGGTGGAAAGTAAAAAAAAAAAATCAAATATTGTCATCAAAGATGTTAAAAAAAACATTGCAACAGTACGAGTATGACGATGCGAATCGTACATTGGAACATTTTTAGTCTTTATTCCTACACTAGGTATGCTTTCACAACAAAAACGTTGTGATGATGTAATTTTGAAATTTCTGAGGATGTCACTATACTTTTCATGGGGGGTGACTTTCCCCGCAACATCACCAATTTGGCCACACTGATGCACGCAGGTTGTATATATAATTACTGTGAAAAGAAAATACACGGTAGATTTTTGACATCCTAAATTTTGACATCATAAGTAACAACGTTATAAATCCGTCATATGGTCGCTGTTCCGTAATCCAGGGAAGCATTAGTCGTCAACCGTGTTCTCCCCTCATTAACAGGACAAATGTCCCGTATATCATGCCTCGTCAACACCTTAGTCTGTGCATCACTCACTGTTTTTGGGCCTGGCCAGGTGCGGTTTGGTGGGCTCGGAGGGCTCGCCGGGACCGGCCTTGTTGACGGCCACCACGCGGAACTCGTACGTGTTGCCCTCGATGAGGTCGGGCACGCGTCCCTCGGGCTTGTCGCCCGACACCACCACGGCGTCCTCCCACTTCGGACTGCGGGGGGGGGGGGGGGTGATCAGTACTGCCTGGATTCTGGAGTCGGTTGACAACTTAAACTTGAATATTTGTCTAGTTATCGATAAAAGCATCTATAATAAACCATGTCTTATTGCAAAAAAGGCGACACCAAATAAGTTATTAAGAGGTGATCCGCATCAATTTATAAATATAAAGTGCCAGTAAGCATGATAGATATAACTAAAGGAATAGGATAGGGCTAAGTCAATATTCGTTTTTCCACAGTCCACTAGCAGACACTCACTTCATCTTATCGCGTTTCTGGATGATGTACTCCTTGATGGGGTTTCCACCATCCGACAGGGGAGGCTTCCACTTGAGGTCGACGAAATTCTTGTCGAAGTCTTTGACCTCAGGAGTACCGGGCTTGCCGGGCTCGTCTGGTGGCATGAGGCGAAAAAATCAAACCGGACTCGAAGAAACGTTTAAGCTCTATCGCAACTGTGACAATAGGAACTGGAAAGATCAACAACTCTTTTTTAAGATCAACAACTCTACTTATTTGCAGAGTGCCACTTCATATGTACTCGTAGTACAGGCTATTTATAACGTTCAACCTAAGCTGATGTTTGAAAAACAATGGGACACTGCTTGTCTCGAACTTCAACTATACTCACCGTACGGGTTCTTGGCGTGGATGCTCTGGGTGGTGGTGAGCGGCTCGGAGGCGCCCTCCTTGTTGACGGCCTTGACGCGGAACTTGTAGTGCTTGCCCGGGGTGAGACCTTCGACATCCAGTTCGGTGGCGGGACCGTCCGTCTCACCCGCCTTCACCCACCGACCTGGGGCGGACAGGGGAAGGCAATATTACTGGCTGACTTTGCCTGTTGTTAGGTGCAAGCTCGTTGGTAATCGCTAAATAACCATCAAACAAACAACTAATGACAATCGGTAACCAAAAACGAATAGATTTAAACCGATACATGATAAAACATCAGATAGCAGAAAGTACTAATGTGTCACGTACCGGTGGACTCATCCAGCTTTTCGACGACGTATTTCTGGATAGGCACTCCGCCGTCGTCGGCCGGTGGCTTCCAGTTGAGCTTGCAGCCCTTGGCGTGAACGTCAGACACCTTTAGAGGGCCTTCCGGAGCCGACGGCTTGTCTGGAAATGACCGGAACCGTCAATCATGTTTCACTTCAATATTGCCTAGAGCGCATCCAGACAACACACTTCAACACAACTCTATCCACTTCGAGCTCATCGGCTATTTTATCTAGGCATCAGTCAACATCCACCCAGGCTAGGTAAGCCATCCTGCTTTGATCACATCTTAACTCCATCCATCCTCCTCCCATGATCGCTCTCATTCCTCTTTCCTAGTCCCGTCCTCCCGTCCTCCCCGTATAGCCGTACCGAGCACGGTGACGAGCACGTCGGCCGAGTCGGTGCCGTTCTCGTTGGTCGCCGTCAGCGTGTAGGTGCCCGACTCGGCCCGCGTCGCGTTACGCACCACCAGCTTGATGTTGTAGTCAGCGGTGGTGATCCTGGAATGCAGAGGAAAGATAGTCAGTGAAGGCAATCAGGGAATAGAATGTGTGAACGGAGGTAACCGAAAATGCTCGAGAAAAAAGAAGCACATCACGTCTTCTTTTAACATTATGTTGTTTGAAAGTCACATTGCCACTCACAACAAAATCCGATTCGAGTTATGAACTTCGCTGCAAAGAAAACCACAAAAGAAAACCACTATCATCACTTATCATGGCACTATCAACGTTTAGACGCTCTCTTCCGGCTTATCCAGCTCCAACTCACTTGACGCGGTCGTTGGAGAAGACAGGCTTCTTCTCGAGCGTCCACTTCTTGTCTGGCGGCGGCTCTCCAGACACGTTGACGTCGAAGTTGAAGTTCATGCCGGCGCGCACCTTAACCGGGTTGAGGTTGCTGCGGTCGATCTTGGGCGGCAGGTTGCGCGGCTTGGCCACGATCGGGCCGGTGGTCTTGCTCGGCTCTCCGGGGCCGGCCTTGTTGATGGCCCGCACGCGGAAGTCGTAGGTCTCGCCCTCGGTCAGGTCAGGCACGGTGGCCGTTTGCTGATCGGCGGGAACCTGCAGAAACGCGGTGGGATAGTCAGTCCAACAGCCCGTCAGTCATGCACCCAAAATGTCAATTTAGGTCGGCACACCAAACAAGGTACCGATCGACAAGCAGCGACAATGGAAAAGTAACATCTGTCGTCAGTTGTCAAAATGTGGCAAACGACAAAAAAAAAAAAACGTTAAATTTCCCATGAGAAAATGTAACGGAAGTCACCGACTGACAGTCTGACCCATACCAATAACTTAGCAGTCATCTCAGACATAACCGGGCTATAATTCAAGACATGCTATTCACTGGTTGTAACATAAAGCTCTGCCCTCAGTCCATCGCACCTCAAACACTGGCTGCCAGCGGCCGGACTTGTCCTTCTTTTCGACCAGGTAGCCGGTGATGGGCGCGCCGCCGTCGTTCTTGGGCGGCTCCCAGGCCAGGTCCACGTGGTCCTTGTCCCAGTCGGTGGCCTTCAGGTTACCCGGAGGACCCGGCTCGTCTGGGAAACGGGACAGTCGATGTAGGTCAGAAACAGTAAAGCATTACCGGGAAGAATATGTAGCTAAGCGCTACATCGAAAATAAATCATGAAGCATACAAACTTCAAAATTTGTATATTTTTCCGAGTATCTTGTTTAATTTTCTCTTGTCCAAACTGCAAAGATCGAGATAGATATGCCGAAATATACATAAAAAAATCAGCTCAGCGAATAAGTTTGACGAGAAGTTTAAATCTGATAGCTCACCGAAGGGATTTTTGGCAATGATGCTCTCGGTTCCCTCCAGCGGCTCGGAGGCTCCCTCCGCGTTCACAGCCTTCACACGGAACTTGTACTCGTGGCCGGGGGTGAGGTTGTTGATCTCGATCTCGGGTTTGTCTGAGCGACCCGCCGGCATCCAGATGCCCGTCTCTGGGTCGAACTTCTCCACCTCGAAGTGGTCGATCGGGGTGCCGCCGTCGTCCTTCGGCGGGTTCCACTTGATCTTACAGCCGTTCTTGTGCACGTCCGATATCTGATGAAGGCAGATGAATCGTCAAACACGCTTAATTACGGTACACTAAATGGATGCCCATCGCCATTAAATTTCAACAACGACAAAGTTTTTCGACGTAGAGTAAACACATGTGACGGCGATAACTGTCAGTCATGTAAAAAGTGAAGAAGAGTAAAAGTAAAAAAAAAAAAAACGATGAATGCACAAAATATCAGATGAAATTGAAGCCAAATAAAATGGCACGATCCTAGCAGTTAGCACTATATAATACTGAACGAGGCCGGTGTAAATAAATTTTCAAGACCGAGGTCCTTACTGGATTTTTGAACGAGGCCGAAGGCCGAGTTCAAAAATCAGTAAGGACTGAGGTCTTGAAAATTTATCACCGGCCGAGTTTGGTATGTATTTTACTGTATGCCAACGATGAATTTATTTTCTGGACCGAAGCTCTTAGCCGACTTAGGAACGAGACCATCCCAAAATGTTGGCTTAAGTGCATTCTGGTAATGCATTTTTGACCGTGGTCAATTTGCTTACACCAGTTATTACCACACCCCTCTGGCTAATGTATTTGAATAGGCCAGGCAGTAAAATACATACCAAACTCGGCCGGTGATAAATTTTCAAGACCTCAGTCCTTACTGATTTTTGAACTCGGCCTTCGGCCTCGTTCAAAAATCCAGTAAGGACCTCGGTCTTGAAAATTTATTTACACCGGCCTCGTTCAGTATTATATATTACTAGACTGCAGGTTTACGCGATAACTGTATGTTTTGATATGTATGATTAACGGATGCAACTTAAGAATAAATTTATTTTATTTACTGGCGAATTCCCCTCGCGAGAGGTGCCTTCCGGTACAGTTTGTTGTCAAAGGTTCAATGGCCTGCCTGCCGAAGCCACCGATCCGATTTCGTCGAAAAATACCTGTAACGTTAACAAAACACGGTCGGGTGTTTGAGTCATTTTCACAAAAGTTTTTTGACTTTTCGATAATATTTTGGGTGGATATTGGTCAGAAAAGAATGCTCTTTCCGAATATGTAGGTTTCATAACGATTGATCATCGTTTTCAATACGTTTTGGTGTTGTAAAGGACATCGCTCTCCGTGCAAATCAAATTTTCAAATTAATTTTTCAATATTAAAGAAATGGTACGGATCAGCAGTTTTTATTTGCTTTCCTATCACTACACGTACATTTGTCTGCAAAATGATACAAAAACGATTTCATTCCGTCAAGCCGTTTTCCAGCGGCATCGGTTTTCTTCCCACAATGCACGAAATCGGTCATTTTTTCACAACCGGGGGTGCTGTCTTGCACGTGGCGCGTGCTATACTATGAAACCATGTCAATACGCTAGTTCCATCTCTCCTCTATCCAGTGGTGGCAACCCCACCTCGCTACGGCAATCTGTCGCCGAGTTTTGGGCCCGGGAAGTGGGCGCCGCAGGCCGGTTTTCGCCCGATCTTCGATTTGACCGTTTCCCGTGTTAACCCTATGGCGCACGCGAGCGCGTGCCGACGGTGCACCCCTGGTGCGATCACGCCCAAATTTTAATACAAAGGCCGCCCACGCCCACAGATTTGGCATGCCAAATTTCACGTCGATACGCGGCGCCTTTCAGGCGCAATAAGACACATAAGGCATGACGGATCACGCACGCACAGACAACTTATAAATCATAATATAGACTGTATGCCTGGCCTATTCAAATACATTAGCCAGAGGGGTGTGGTAATAACTGGTGTAAGCAAATTGACCACGGTCAAAAATGCATTACCAGAATGCACTTAAGCGAACATTTTGGGATGGTCTCGTTCCTAAGTCGGCTAAGAGCTTCGGTCCAGAAAATAAATTTATCGTTGGCATACAGTAAAATACATACCAAACTCGGCCGGTGATAAATTTTCAAGACCTCAGTCCTTACTGATTTTTGAACTCGGCCTTCGGCCTCGTTCAAAAATCCAGTAAGGACCTCGGTCTTGAAAATTTATTTACACCGGCCTCGTTCAGTATTATATAAAACCTATTCGATACCCATAATGTGATCAACAATTCCGAACATAATTCCCTGCCTGAATTCAATCTTACTCCTCTTCACCACAGCCTCTTCTCCCCTCCCTCTCCTGCCATCCCCCCCCCCCACTCCCCGACGTTCACTCACGTCGAGCGGCCCCTCGGGTTTGCCAGGTTTGTCGGTGACGGTGACCCGCACGGTGACCTGGTCCTTTCCGGAGCTGTTCTCGGCAGTGATGGTGTACTCGCCAGAGTCGGAGCGGCGCGTCTGGCGCAGCGCGAACTTGGTGTTGTAGTCCTTCGAGTCGATCGTCAGCTGCTTAGACGGTCTGAGCGAGATGGTCAGTTGTTCGGTCAGAAGTGGTTATATCAGTTTCAAAATGTTCTTGTTTGTTTGCTTGTTTGTTGACGTTCAAGAGCACCGTCTGGCGTATCATGACTCAACAAGCTGCGCCTAGCTGTGACTTGACAAGGTCGGCACCAAATATGCAAGCATATTTAATGCATGGTAAAGCAAAATGTGCAAGTAATGAGCAATGACACATTATGCGCTATAATTCTGACACAATTTCTGAGTTGCCATGTGTGCGATATATGTATTTTTCCGTATTCGTTCATGAACATCCACAAATAAAACCCACTACGTTGACGTTTTCCTGACAACCGAGAATAAAACGCTGTACTGACCTGAGCTCACTGCCGCTCTTGAACCACTTGGTGGTGGGAGCCGGCTCACCAGACACGTCCACGTCGAACTTGACCGGCGAGCCCTTGGACACCACCACGTCGCGCAGGTTACGGCGGTCGATCTTGGGCGCCACTGAAAAACGACAGGATTAAGACGAAATTAAATAAAAAGGTGGATTGAATGTGGTTAATGACTATGCAACGAGTAATGGCAACTAGACATATCAAATAATTTGCTAAGTTAAGTCAATAAGAAATAAGAATCAAAGCATATCGCAATATCAAAGAATAACAGTATCTATAGGAGTAACTAAGGTTACGTTCTTACTTCTTATGCAGCTTATTTGAAAATTAGTAAGTGACAAGATGCCAGAATATTTCTCAGACTACAACATCCCATTTGCTACAAAAGCCTTCCGTGCCCCGTACTCACGGAACCGGGCCTTGGCGACGATGGATTTGCTGGGCTCGGAGGGTTCCGACTGCCCGGCTCTGTTGAGCGCGATCACGCGGAACTGGTACTCGACGCCCTCGATCAGGTTATGCACGGAACCGGTGCTCTCCGGGCCCTCGAGCTCGCACGCCTTCTCCCACATCATCCTGTCGGGCGGACAAAAGAAATGAAGTAATCAGTTGAATAAGTTCCGATCGGAACTTGTGTTTAGGTTGGTATACATGCAGAAGTTTAAAAGAAGAACTCGTAAGCTGCATAAAATGTCCGGGCTTCGGATACCATAACAAAGCTGAATTTATGCCCCAAACTAAAACAGTGTTTACTGAACTTCTTCGTACCATGGAAACTACCTAATCTCGCGAATAAGATCAGTTGAGCCTGGAGGTGCCTGGATGTTAAATACCAATAGTTACATTCAATTATGAGGCAAGGTCTGTGGAACACGCGGTTGGGACTGACCCGTATCTGTCTCGTTTCTCGATGATATATCCGGTGATGGGCGACCCGCCATCGCTGGCCGGCTCGGCCCAGGTCAGCTCCACGTGAGAGGTGGACCAATCGGTGGCCTCCGGAGCGCCCGGCTTACCCGGGACCACTGCGGACGAACGGAGGCGTCAGGACGAGGGTAACAGAGACTTTCTACTCTCTAGCATTTTAAGTAGTTGCAAATAGGTAAGTTTATCCGGGCTACATTTCAATACAGAGTTTCGACGCTAATAACGGCGACTAAAGTGAAAAGTATTTAGTGGTTGGCTGTCATTTTAGTATGACATCTTATTGTACGCAAAAATCTCACACAAGTGAACGATAAAAAGGTAAGTAATTTAATACATTTCGGCAGCGCAGTTCCACAGTATTTTCGCCCCTGAGTCGACCCTCCCGTTTTCCGTCCCTCGGGTACCCACCGAACGGATCCTTGGCGACGATGGGCGCCAGTGTGACGAGCGGCTCCGACTCGCCCTCCTTGTTGACGGCCTTGACCCGGAACTGGTACTCGTGACCCGGCATCAGGTCCTTGACATCGAACTCGGGCTTGGCAGAGGTGCCGGCCGGGAGCCAGACGCCCACGTCCGGGTCGAACTTTTCGATCACGTATCCCTCGATGGGCTCGCCGCCGTCGTCGGCGGGCGGCTTCCAGTTGAGCTTGCAACCCTCCTTGTGGACATCAGAGACCTCCAGAGGACCCTCCGGAGCCGAAGGCTTGGCTGGAAAAACACGGGCAGGGTGGATCAATGATTGATCATTCCAATACTGGACTGGAGCCACTCTGTGTCCATATTACACGATGCGTTCACTCTACCCCAGCAAATTACCTCCAAATAGCCTTCACCACCCTAGCCATTCCTAAGCCCACCTCTACCCCGGCAGCCCGCTGCGCCACTCACAGATGACGTTATCTGAATGGAGGCCTCGTCCTCCCCTACACACACCTTCCATCCGTCCCGTCGCACCCTGCACCTCGGCAATATCCCAGCCCTCTCCTCCAGCCCCCGCAACCCGCTGCGCCACTCACAGATGACGACGATTTGAATGTAGGCCTCGTCCTCCACCCCATACATCTGCCATCCTGCCCACCAAACCTGCCACCCAGTAACTCATCCGTTCATCTTATGCAGTACCAATGCCAGCGGACAAGTCACTTACAGATGACGACGATCTGAATAAAAGCCTCGTCCTCCCCCCCCCCCCGACCACACACACATCATATAATCCTTCCTGTCACACAGCCACCCAGACCCGGTGGCGAGCCCACCCTCACACCCCGGGGACCGGCTCCGAGACTTACAGATGACGACTATCTGGATGGAGGCCTCGTCCTCGCCGTGCTCGTTGACCGCCTTGATCGTGTACGTGTCCGTGTCCGAACGCTTCGGACGGTCGTTGGTGTACTTGGTCCTGAAACGTAACCAATGCACATTAGCGCCTGTGGCAGGTGGCTCTGCAGTTTTCATAATAAGGGCAAATTATCACATTTATAAAACAGACGATAAAACTTATTTGATGAAAAAAAAACGATAACTGGTCTTAGCCCATGTGCTAAGCGAGAGCTCGATAAAATCGAAAAACAAACCAACTTAATTTATTTCCCTGCATTTAAACTCTGCTTTCCTTTAGACATAATAATTAGTCTGTCATCCCGGCCCCGTTATCTCACACTTTCACAATCTTCAAAGCTGACTGACCTGTACGGCTCGTTTTCGATCTTGTTGCGCGTCGTCTCCTTGATGGGCCGTCCGTTTTTGAGCCAGGTGACCTCCGGGGGCGGCTCGCCCTGTACCTTGACGTCCAGCAGGATCGGCTCGCCCTCCTTCACCGTGATGTTGCGCAGGTTGCGCCGGTCTATCTTCGGGGCCACTGCGCAGAGAAGGAGGTGGTGTGTTAAAAAAGGCAGCTTGTATGTGTACGGAAATGGGCGACCCGTGAAAGTAGAGTTGATACTCATATCATATTTTTGCTTTGTGAAACAGCAAGTATAACTTTTGAGAACGGGCTATGCAGCCTTAGCGTCTGCTTAACCCGCGCTCTGCTGGGGGGGGGGGGGTGTTTGGGGTTCCGGACAAAAAGTAAAATGATAAAAGGTAAAAGGATGATTAGTCAACAGACATTACGTCAAAAGCAAGAAGTCAAAAATCTTAAAAGTCAACAGGTAAAAGGTCAACAAAGAGGAAAGTCAAAAGGCAAAAAGTCAAAAAGGATAAAACGTCAAAAGATAAAAAGTGAAATTGCCAAAAAGTCAATGAACAAAAAGTTAACTAGCATAGAAGTCTAAGGATAAAAAGTCAAATGGACATAAGGTCAAAAGACAAAAAGTAAAAACGGCAAAAAGTCAAATTACCAAAAAGTAAAAAGGACAAAAGTCGAAAGACAAAAAGTGAACAGAAATTAAGTCAAAATCCAAAAAACCAAAAGGACAGAAAGTCAAAAGGACAAAAAGTCAAAAAACAACAAGTCAAACGGGCATGAAGTCAAAATAAAAAGTCAAAAGGTCAAAAAGTCAAAAAGACATAGGTATAGTCAAAGTCAAAAAAGTCAAAAGGACAAAAAATCAAAGGGACAAAAAGTCAAAAGGACAAAAGTGAAGAGGACAAAGGTCAAAAGACGAAAAGTCAACAGGACATAAAGTCAAATTACGAAAAATCCAAAGGAAAAAAGCCAAAATTCAAAAACTCAAAAGGACAAGTAAAAGAGACAAAGTCAATGACACCTGGATCATCAGTCATTACATACATGAGATAACATTTACAAACAGTTGTACACAATTAAGCAGGATGCTGCACAATATAACCTGCATCATTGGACATTGAAGCGAGACTGCCTCCATTGCGCGACTGATGGGGATTCCCATGGCCCGCAACCGCGACTCAGCTGGTCACACGGGCATGCTTGGCTGAAATCTGACACACATCCGTTGACACGTGCTAGGTGGGAGCTCGCTCGCATCGTAAGGTTGTCATGAGGCAGCGTTACATGATCCTTCGAGACAACTGGCTGTCCCAGGCGCAGTTTACCTACTGGAATTATTTCAACAAATATAGTAACCCGGAATGTTATCGATACGAAAGGTTCGCTTGTTCAAATTTCCTATATTGAGTAGGGAGACGTTTCTCATCAATTGTTTCCGTCACGGGTTCTAAAGGCGATTTCACACTTTCATTATAGTTCAAGCGTATTGTATGGTACAATTGGTACAATAGTAAAGCGCGTCGTTTCTTTTAGATAGGTGCAAGTTGGAACGAGAGGCAATTGTGTGATTGTCGGATTGTCCTGCTTTGAAAGGAACGCTCATATCAGCATCAACAGACAACAACCTGTTAATATTCACGGACTGCATACAATTAAGGTGACCTATTTTCATCGAAAGGTACGGACTGCATACAATTAAGGTGACCAATTTTCATCGAAATGTATAGGTCAATTAAGTTATCGAGATGCAATGGCTAAAAACACAATTTTTTAGGACCTCGGAGCTGTGACGTCCAAAGGGAGGTGACAAGTATTGACAAGTAGTGACAAGTACATTGTGGCCACCAGTTACTGTCCCTCTCCTTCATCTTCGCCTCCGCCCTACGTCTCCTTATCGGAACTGCCCCCCCCCCCCCGTCACCAGCAGGCACAGTACGCCAACTTTATATAGATAAGTTCACATTCTCAATATACTTTTTAAAGCAAAGTAAAAATAGGTAGGAGCGTTCTTATCGGTAGTGTCGGGGCACGCACGGGGACGCGCCGAGACGCGCTATGCGGTGGAGTCGGCGCCCAGCGGGCGGCGGCCGGGGATCAGGTGGCCTGGCGCGGGTCAGTCGCCGACCGGAGACGCGGGCTGCGGCGTACTTGTACCGACTTAGTTAACCCTCGCCCGCACATGCCATTGGCATTTTCCCATCCTAGAACGCACATGGGGGGGGGGGGGGTGGTTGCCACCCCCCCGCGCCATTTCGTTCCTGTTGGAGATAGAGCTTAGCAGTAAAGACCAAAAAGATTCTTTGGGAAGAGACGAATCCAATGATACCCAGTTTTACCTTCTCAGGTCAGTCATTGACCTTCCAGGTCAGGTCAAACTAAAAAATGTTGCTGTTTTGGGTCACCGTTGGATATCAAGTGCGCTGCTTGTCAAATACCGATGACGATGCTGTTTTCTGGTGCCAAGCCAGCTAGAACCTCTTTGTCACACTATCCGACCATAATTTTGCTGCTGAGGTCATTTCAGGTCAAGTTAGGTCAACTTTCTGTCTGATGTTGACTTTCTGTCTGTTGACTTAATGTCCTTTGACTTTTTATCCGTTTACTTTTAACGTTTTGACTTTTCATCCGGGAATCGGGTGTTTGAACACCCCCCTTGTGGTTTTTCGCGAATATCTCAAAAACGGCGGCGCGGAGCGCCGCCGTTTTTGGTACACTTTATCATACATCAATTCTACACATGTTGTGAAAATTTCAGACCAAGGTCACTCAAGGTCAGGTCACCAGGTCACTTGAAGTGACCTCACCTCATAAAAAGTTTCAATGTCTGTCATAGCTACACCGATTGACCGATCGCTTTGAAACTTTCAGCGATTGCTAAGAGCAATAGCATGTACAAAATGTATATCTCAGAATTTTGATATCGATGACCTAAGGTCAGGTCAATTTTGCGACCTCCCCATTATAAGTCAATGGGAGAAAATTGAAATGCGCCTCCTTTGGACGAAAGACATTATAAACACTCCCAAACACTGAATTACAAGTGTTTTAGACACACTGAACATGAAAATGGTGTCCGTGACCCCTGTTTATGCCCTGAGGTCATCTTAGGTCACGAATGGTATCTAACAGTTTTTCGCAAATAACTTTTGATAGAGGCATGCTAGAGCGATGAAAACGCCTTAGATGTGTTCAGCTCGACGATACGGATCGACTGATATGCAACATGACCCTTTCCGGTCATGTCATGACCTTGACCTGAGGTCAAATTTTCAAGTTGACCTTTCAAGGTCAAATTATAGTTCATTCGAAGCGTCTTGACGAGAGGAACACGATGCCGGTAAAAGTAAGCTCGTACAATGCTTTGGTCAAAAGTTATTGCAGAAAAACTGTTTCCGAAAAAATCGGCTGTTTTTGCAGTTTTTGCCCCTTGCAGGCAAAACCGTTGACGTTAGGTCAAATCTGAGAGGATTACTCAGAAAGGGCGTTAATAGGGCTATCGAATGCGCTTTTTCGCGGCGCTGTAGCTCTACTGGTTCCCGAGTTATGCGTTGGCTTCTTGGAAATTGTCGACATTCGACCTGGAAATCGGCGAAATTTTGCCTTCAATGACCTCTGGTGACCTGACCTTTGACCTGACCAAAAAATTGACTGAAGTGATTTCCTCATTATTTTTGACGCTCTTTCGAACGCCGCCTTCCGCGTATCGCTACGTGGCACAGGAGCCGAGTTAGAAGGGGGGTGTTCAAACACCCCCCCCCCCCCCCAGCAGGGCGTGGAAATCCAGGACCCCCAGCCGGGCGCGGGTTAAAGTCTATGAAACACATATTAAATTGAAGAGATCACGCGGTTTCCACGCCCAAAAGGGTTGAGATGGGACAATGCACTCACATCTCCTGGGTTTGGCGGTGACGGGTCGGGAGCTAGTCAGTCGTCCTATCGTTGGGATAAGTTAGGGCGGTATATCGTTACTCACGTTTTCTGGGTTTCGCTGTGACGGGTCGGGAGCCGCCGGACGGCTCGCCAGGACCGGCCTCGTTGACGGCCTTCACACGGAACTCGTACGTCTGACCCTCGTCCAGGTCGGGCACGCGGCACGCGCACTCGGGGCCTGCGCAGACGAAAAACGGCCGGTTTGGTCACTAATCAGTATCAGGTGTATCAGTATGGCTTTGTAGGTATGGTCATATCGATAAGGTGAGTTGACAAGGTGAGAAGACCAAACCGATAAACATAGAACGGGCGAAATCGAATAGTATAACCTAGGCTAGCTTCATGAACAACAAACGGCTCTCAAATCGGTATAAATGACTGACGGACCTGCGAGTTCGACCGCCTTCACCCATTTGCCGGTGCCCTTTTCCTTCTTCTCGACAATGTATCCGGTGATGGGGGCGCCGCCGTCGTTCTTGGGCGGCTCCCACTTGAGGTCGACAAAGTCCTTGTCCCAGTCGGTGGGCTCCGGACGGCCAGGGGCGCCCGGCTCGTCTGGGAAGTGACAGAGGAGAACGTGTCAGATCGGGGAGGCGAGAAAGTAGTGCAGAGAGATTACAACGGTTTTAAGAGAGCTTGCTGACTGCATTGAATGGAATGTCATTTATTTCAAAACAGGCGGCAATCGTGGTGAAATTACAGAGTTTCTAAAGATGTTTGCTGCTGTTCATAATCTTTGTCAAGGACATGCTCGGTTACGAGCAGTGACCTACTCGTAAAAGACGAAAGTTTAGAGTTGACGCCTACGATCAAACCCTGACAAACCCAATACAGGTCCTTGAAATCAAGTAACTTAGCATGCAGCTCACCGAAGGGGTTTTTGGCGATGATGGACTTTTCTCCGACGAGCGGCTCCGACTCGCCCTCAGGGTTGACGGCCTTCACACGGAACTTATACTCGTGGCCCGGAGTGAGGTTGTTGATCTCGATCTCGGGTTTGTCCGAACGGCCGGCAGGCATCCAGCGGCCTGAACAGGAGGGGGGGGGGGGGGGGGTCATTTTAGGTGGTGAGCGCAACTAGCGGACTTCAGTCGCAGCATTCATGTAAATTCACGAAGTTTGACGTCATAAATTGGTGATATTCCTATGATTCTGTCATGGCTAGGCAACACCGGATATGATTGAATGGAGAATAAATATGCTAAAAGTACTTTCTTTCTAGTTTGATAGCATCTGGGCAGAAGCACAGCAGGTTTTTACGCAAATAAAAACGATTGACGACACGGGTCGCTGATTTGTTGCATTTGTTGCATCTATGCTGTCTTGACATTTTGTCCGTTTAACAAGATGACGAAAAAACACAAAACAATTGTAAATCCTGGACACTGACCGAGCTCGGGGTCGAACTTCTCCACCAGATATTCGGAGATCGGCACTCCGCCGTCATCCTCCGGCGGGTTCCACTTGAGCTTGCAGCCCTCCTTATGAACGTCGGAGACTTCCAGCGGGCCCTCCGGAGCCGACGGCTTGTCTGGAAGGGAGCAGAGGCAGCGTAAGCGTCGAGCAGGTCACCAAAGATCACACAAGTAGGTAGCACAAATGTATGCGTGGATTACAATGCATAAATGACCTGACAATGAATGTATTTAGCTGCTTATCAATGAAAGCAGCTAAATACCATGGGATATGTAAGCAAAAAAAAAAAAGGATATGTAAGCGATACTGTCTAACAACAAATGACATCGGTGATATCTTAACCGTGCGTCGTTTCTGCCACCACTCACCGAGCACGATGACCTTGACCTGGGCCTCGTCCTTGCCCGAGTCGTTGACAGCCTTGATGGTGTAGGTGCCCGTGTCGCCACGGCTAGTCATGAATACGGACAGCTTGGTGCGGTAGTCCTCTGAGTCAATGGTGCGGTTGTCCCGCGTGCTCAGCTGAGCGCCGTTCAGACTCCAGCTGGTCGTGGGGGCCGGCTCACCCTTCACGCGCACGTCGAACTTGAACGGCGTGCCAGCGTGGATGGTGATGTCGCGCAGGTTGGAGCGGTCGATGTATGGCGCAGCTGCAAAGAGTGAACGTGGAGAGAACGTAATGAAAAGCGTATTATGCTAATCTAATGACGTTGAGCCAGTCGGAAAATATGATGACCAAAAATGAGGGCCAAATGTGATACCAGTGCCCGGCAGTGCCTAATCAACGACAACAAAATAAATTCGCGTTTTTAACAATATCGCCTAAAGGTCGATGAATCATGTTACAAGCGTGAATCGACGATCAATGCTTTTTGTTTTTGAAACATTGGGATCGAACGAGATTCTGAAGAGGAAAGTCATTGTAACGACTAACGAAGAGTCAACACCACAAAAGCTTATCTTTCAGAAGCAGCCCCAAGTATTGCTCGTACCGAATCTGGCCTTGGCGGTCATGGTCTTGGACTCGCCGCTGGGCGCTCCAGGGCCGGCCTTGTTGACGGCCCGCACGCGGAACTTGTACTGCATGCCCTCCACCAGATCGGGCACGCGGCCCTCGCAAACGTCGCCGGGAATCTCAGCCGCCTTCTGCCACTTGGTGCTGAGAAGAGGAGAAAGACCATAAAGTGAGCAAGCCCAAGCGTTAGGCGGTGGCGTTAGGCGTAGTAAGGTGACACATGGTTAGGTATTCATCCATGGCTATTCTATCCACGTGAACCACGGGGAATATCTCGTTTAAAAGCGATATTCAATATCCTACGTCAATCTTACGCTATTCATTTCAGCATCATCAGCAAAAATAGAAACTATCAAACATATCCCTTCGAACTCACTCGTACAACTTTCATTGTCATGTAGGTCAGAGCTGTCAGTCTGCCCACCTGAACTGGTCCTTTTTCTCGATGACATAGCCGACGATGGGCGCCCCGCCGTCGCTCTCCGGGGCCTTCCATTTGAGGTCGGCGTGGTGCTTGTCCCAGTCGTGGATGTCCGGCACGCCCGGCGAACCAGGGGGATCTGAGGGCGCGATGAACCTAGTTAAAAACATTCTAATCGCATTTGATAGTTCCAATTCTGTAACGGAATCATTCAGAGATAAGCGAATTTGGAACATCACTCTTATGTCGGACAAATCAAATCATTAGAGATTCTTTCACTATCCTCTTCCAGCCAAATAAACGACCACCACATTCCCCCGCCCTGTCACCAATCAGCCACCAAAGCAGTACGTCACTCACCGTACGGGTTTTTGGCCAGGGTCGGGGTGGTGGTCTCCAGTGGCTCTCCCTCGCCCTCCGAGTTGACCGCCTTCACGCGGAACAGGTACTCGTGGCCCTCGTTGAGTCCCTCCACCTCGGCCTCCGGCTCCTTGCTGGTGCAGACGGGCACCCAGCGGCCCGTGTCCTTGTCCATCCGTTCCACCACGTAGTGGTCGACCGGCTCGCCGCCGTCGTCCTCGGGCTTCTCCCACTTGAGTTTGCAGCCCTTGGCGGTGACGTCCGAGACGTCCAGAGGACCCTTCGGCTTGCCCGGCTTGGCTGCGGGAGCAGGACGGTAATTTAGACAAAGCCCTTTCATCTGGATACAATTCTTAGGTACAGGAATGCGTGGAAAGTAAGTGAGATAACCAGTGACGGTAAATGAAAAAAAAATGGAAGTGACAAATCTGCAAATACGATCCGCATGTCCCGCTCGGCCTACATCAGCATATGATGAAACGCAAAGCTAGCCAGAATAACCGATAGGCGACGGGGTAAGTCTCGTCGTAAATCTCAAGCTTCATAACCATCCCACACTGACAGCATCCTTCCTCTTCCACCCTTCCCCGTATACCCATCGTCCACCTACCGAGTACGTTGACGTCCAGCTCGGCGACGTCCGTGCCGGACGTGTTGGTGGCCGTGATGACGTACACGCCCGTGTCGGAGCGCTTGGCGCGCTGCAGCGAGAAGAACGAGTGGTACTCCTGGTTGTCGATCGTGAGGCGTTTGTTGGCCGGCACCGGCTGACCGTTCAGAGTCCAGGTGACGGTCGGCGCCGGCTCGCCCTCGATATCGATCTCGACACGCAGCAGCTGACCCGAGCGGACAGTCTTCTTGTCCAGGTTCTTGCGGTCGATGTGAGGCTTGACTGTCGGTAAGAGGCAGAGGAAGTGGGTTAGATAATGTAGAGTTAGTGACATCCTCGATTCGAAGTAACACTGATTTAAGGCACATTTATTTTCGCCAATAATTGACTAAGAATGAATGTGACAAAATGGTGGTCAAGAGCCAAATAACTTGCAAAATAATATGAGCAACGCCAACCCTCGTTGAACCAATCTATTGAATCCTCGTCAGACATTACTACACTACGTGTCTGCAATATGACTATAACGACGTGACTATGACTATGACGTGACTATAACGTGACTATCATACACATTTCAATAGTTCCTCCCTTCAACACCCCGTCACAGGCAGCCACTCACGGAATCTGGGTTTGCAGATGACGGGTTTGGTGGCGTCGGAGGGTTCGGACGGACCGGCCTTATTCACCGCCACCAACCGGAACTCGTACTCGTGACCAGGGATCACGTCCGTGACGTGACCCTCCGTGGCGTCACCCTGAAGATAGGAGGTGCAGATTAGGTGAGAGACGGCAAGAAGACTCGCAAGGAGTTGCCGCTTCGAACGTATTTCTTTTAGCCCCAACAATCTGCCTGCGTGAAAAATATGCAGGATACTGCAAAGTTTAGTTAGTGTAATGGCTAAGTTTCCGAGTGCATTTAAACAAGCCTACGAAAAGGGTGCCAAAGCTGATGCAACATTCCATCCCCATCTTTCTGGTATTTTTCCAATATCCCAACGAAAGTATCCGATTCACCCTTGGGCTAATCGGCGTGTCCGATTATCACTAGAACCAACTACTCCAAGCCATTTTTCGCCCGTACGTACGGGCACGGTGAGGCAGGGTTTCCAGGCGCTGGGCTTCTCCGCCTTGTCGCGCTTCTCCACGATGTACTCGAGGATGGGCGCGCCGCCGTCGTCCGGCGCCTTCCACTTGAGGTCCACGAACTCGCGATCCCAGTTGGTCAGCTGTGGACGCTCCGGCTTGTGCGGCGGGTCTGCGGACGACAGGTCAGTGCGTCACAACACTCCGAGGGTCCAGGTGTTATTTATAGGATTATTTAATGCATATCCAGATGTTATTTACTCATACGCCCTCTTTTGCACCATTTCTTTTATTTTTCGGTCGAATGATTTAACAAACTTCTGACTAGACCCTGTTTAGTGAAGATGTCTGATTAGACGGTCCCAAGTTGTAAGTTTGCAAACAAATTAATTTTTTACCTTTCAGCCTTGCTAATCAAGTCAAATTATCACATTCTTTCACAAGAAACGGCGAGTCAACAATAATATCAAACACCGAAAAATTACGGTGCATTTAAGTTCGCTGAATGAGCTTACCGAACGGATTCTTGGCGAGGATCTCCTTGTCGCATTCGAGCGGTTCGGACTCGCCCTCCTTGTTGACGGCCTTGACGCGGAATTTGTACTTCTTGCCCTCCTGCAGTCCGGTGATATCTGCCTCCGGCTTATCGGAGGTACCACACGGTACCCATTGGCCTGAGGAAGGAGAGGGGTCAGGTCAGGTCAGAGGTAATTCAATGTTTACGATAGGTTTACATGCTGTAATACCAAAGATGCCATTTGTTGATTGAAATAAAATAACAGATCGTCGCCCTGTCACGGAGGCCGTCCTATATCTAAGGCAGAGGTCCCACCAGTAACATGCATAGCGTCTCTTCTCACCGGTGTTGGGGTCGAGTTTCTCGATCTCGTAGTGGCTGATGGGGGTGCCGCCGTCATCCTCTGGCTCTTTCCAGCTGAGGTGGCAGCCGTTGGCCGTCACGTCCGACACCTGAAACACAAAGACGGACGAGCGGTCAGGCCCAAACAGGGGGCTGTCTTGGCACGTCAGCAGTAAAACAAGCTCTCAGCCACGCTGGCTTATTATACCCGGTGAAAGTCTGGGTTCTTCGTACCTCCTAAGCATTGCATGATCTAACCAAATGACACGACAGGGAAGTCATTCATGGTATAAATAAAGGAGCATAAAATTCCCTCTGCGACAGAGGAGGCAGCAGCCGGGTGGCCGGCCGCCGTTTACTCACGTCGAGCGGCCCCTTGGGGTGTTTGGGTTTGCCCAGCACGGTGATGTCCACCTCAGCCACATCCTCTCCAGACGAGTTGCTGGCCGTGATGGTGTATTTGCCAGAGTGCATCCGCTTGGCGCGGAACAACGCGAACTTGGTGTTGTAGTCCATGTTGGTGATGGTTAGCTCGGGACCCGTCTCCACCTCCTGAGGACAGACAGAAGACAAAGGTCGACTCAAAATCGAAGATATTTAGTCCGACGGCGACTGAACGGTGCCTTTTATTGTGCACTCGTAAATAAGCCTTATGTCATGACATGTGAACCATCAAGCTTACAATCGACTGATCTACAATCTACATACTTTTCATGAGTGATGATTGCAACCTCATGAGCGATCATCGAGACACTCAATGCTAAAACGTCTATCGGCCACAACGTTGTAGGTTCCACGCACCGTCCTTAGTACACAAAAATAATGAGGTGTCTGTCCGGCCCTTACCTTGCCCTTGAATGTCCAGGTGACGGTTGGCGGCGGCTCTCCGATAATGTCCACGTCCAGCATGACCTGCTGGTTCACCTTGACCGTGATCGGCGCCAGGTTGTCCCGCACGATACGCGGCTTCACTGTTGGACGGAGAGCAGGGTTAGAAGTTAACGGAAACCTTACAAAAAACACGGCGGATTGGTGGGATATGACATAATGAACAATAGTTTGCAAAACGTGCAGTGCAGTTCTGGTGTAATTACAGACCATGGCCATGTTGCTGCCAATATTTCTTGAATATCATCTGTCATAGCCGGACTAATGAGCAAAAATCTGCTTTCATAAGCATACGCCAAATACCTCAGTTATATTTGAAATTAATATCATTAGGATACAATGCAGAATAACTGAATTTCGTATATTGTCGTTACTCACGGTATCGGGCCTTGGCGGTGTGCATATGGGTCGGCTCGGACGGCTCGCCGGGACCAGCCTTGTTCACCGCACGCACGCGGAACTGGTACTTTTTGCCGGGCGTGAGGTTGGGAATTTTGCCGGTGGTGCCGGGCCCGACCTCGGCTGCCGGCTGGAACTCGGCCGCGCCGTCCGGACGCATCTCGAGGATGTAGCCGGTGATGGGCGCGCCGTTGTCACGCAGCGGCGCCTCCCACTTGAGCTCCACCATGTGCTCGTCCCAGTCGATGATGTCCGGCAGAGACGGAGCGCCCGGCGGGTCTGCGGAATCACGGGGAGCAGTGAACAGAAACCAAACAACAGGACAAGTCGAGGAGGACGTCGGGGCAGCCAAGTGCCACTGTTAGTCGAATGTCGATATTATGGCGCAAACAAATTAACCCGCGCCCCAGTGGCGGTCTCGGCCAACTTCGCCCTAGTGAGGGGGGGCATATGTTACCACCCACCTCTAACTCAAAAACTAAGAGGGCTAGAAAGACGCGGTAAAAAGCAGTCGATAGCTCTCAATGCGTACGTTTGAAAGTATTTCGGTCATTTTTCACCTTAGAGCAATATTAGGGTCACCAGAGGTCATCAAAGGTCAAAATTTGCCAATTGTCATTATATTTTTCAGAAAACATGCCGCTATCTCAGGAACTATGGTAGCTAGAAAAACGCATGATAGAACAATCGATAGCTTTTGAACTCTTCTTTTGAAAAGGTCATTATCAATATTGACCTCAGGTCAACGGTTTAGCCTCCAGAGGGCAAAAACTCCAAAAATAGCTGTTTTTACGAAAAGTGTTTTTGGCCAATAACTTTCGACTACAAAAAGCCACGACATTTCTATTGCCAGAATCGTGTTCCCCTCACCGAGACGCGTCGAATGAACTATAATTTGACCTTGAAAGGTCAACTTGAAAATTTGACCTCAGGTCAAGGTCATGACCTGACCGGGAAAGGTCATGTTGCATATCAGTCGATGCGTCTCAACAAGACAAACACAATGAGACCATCCCCAGCGTTCTATCTCTTTCCAATCGCGAGTTATTGGCAAAAAACTGTTTGTAGCCTCAAATGACCTCGGATGACCTTTCAAGAGGCTATCAGCAAAAATGACACCTTGGTCATCACGAGTGGACTAAATCATTGTGATTCTGAAATATTTGGACTGTTGCTATGCGTACACACGGATCTAGAGGCATTTTCATTTTTCTCCATTGACTTGTAATGGAAAGGTCATGCCACTGACCTGACCTTAGGTCACGGATATAAAAAATCCGAGATATACAAATTGTAGGCACCCATAACAGCATGCAATCCACCAAGTTTCAAACCTTTCTGACAAACACTGCAGGCTGGACATGATTGCAAACTTTTTTTAAGGCTTGGTCAGTTAACTTGACCTGGTGACCTGACCTGACATGACCTGGGGTCAAAAATTTCACACATTATCCAAAATTGATGTACCAAAAGCTACCCCAAGCGGCGCGGCGCTACGCGCCGCGGTTTTTTATTTACACGCAAAAAACGTGACAGGGTGGTAACATATGCCCCCCCCACTGGGGCGAAGGTTAAGTCCATTGTCGATCCTTAAGTCGAGAGAATAACATTTTGTTATCAACTAAATGACAGTACAGCAGTTGTACCAAATGCTCAAGTCGCCAGACCATCAACACCAACCCAGCCCTCCGGTATCCAGCTACGTACCGTACGGGTCCTTGGCCAGCGTCGAGTGGTCGGTATCCAGCGGCTCCGACTCGCCCTCCTCGTTGACGGCCTTGACGCGGAAGTCGTAGCGTTTGCCGGGCTCCAGGCCCTTGACCTCCATTTCCGTGGTATCCCCAGGCACGCGGCCGACGGGCACCCAGCGGCCCGTGGTGGTGTCCATCTTCTCCACCACGAACGCAGCGAGGGGCAGGCCGCCGTCGTCCTTGGGCTGGTTCCAGTTGAGCTTGCAGTGGTCCTTGTGGACGTCCGAGACCTCCAGAGGGCCCTCCGGACGTGCCGGCTTGTCTGTGGGCGTAGCAAATGTGGCCGTTATGAACGCATTTCAATCATGAGTATACTTGTGCCGTGCAGTATGTTTCTATATGGAGGAACCTCTAGAGTATCGTCAAAATGTAGGCCCGACAATTTTCATAAAGGAATAGATGACATAATATTCATCGAGCCAACCTTCATTAATTGGCGGCTAGTCTAGATTCAACTGATTCCATACTATCAAAGTTTACTGTCATTCGAAGTAACTCACCGAGGATGTTGACCTCGAGCTCTGCCTGGTCCTCGCCGGAGTCGTTGACGGCCTTGATGAGGTAGACGCCGCTCTGTTTGCGGGACGTGCTGGTGATCTGCAGGCGGGTGTTGTAGTCCTCGTTCTCGAGCCGGTAGTGGGCGTCCGTGCCCACCTGGCGGCCCTTGAACTCCCAGGTGACAGTTGGCGGCGGCTCGCCCTCCACGTCAATGTCCAGACGGATCGCCTGACCGGCCCGCACCGTCACCGGCTTACACTTCTCGCGGTTGATGTACGGCTTCACTGAAAGGAGACGCAGACAAAAAACGGGGTCAGAGAGGTCACGAAGACGACAAAGGGAACATTCAGCAGCTGACTGTCATGCATCCAGAGATAAATTAAAGGGCAGCTAAGAAAGTTTTCTATTAAGCAAATGCCGAAGGCGGCAGCGACAAAGAATGTGCTCAGATATCAGCGGATGTCACCGAAACTCCTCTCTAAGCCATTACTTGTCCAGTCCAGAGTTCCTGTCACTTTGTTTTTACATTTACGCATCGTAGGGTTTCCAGACCCGCTACTCACGGTATCTAGCCTTCGCGATGTGCGGGGAGGTGGGCTCTCCTGGCTCTCCGGGACCGGCCTTGTTCACCGCGCGCACTCGGAACTGGTACGTGTTGCCCTTGGTCAGGCCCGGCACACGCGCCTCCGGGGCAGGGCCCTGGGAGAGACAGGGTCAGGGTCAGGTTGGGCGAAGTGCTGATGCGCATATAAGGCTTACCTCATCCATGCTAATCCAGTTTCCATTGCTGATCAGATTCTCCTGGCTTGCTAAGCGGACTTTATGTTGCGTGACGTAACATTACACGTACTGTCAGGTACCTTAGAATATGTGGACGTCAGTAAAAACGATTAACTTTTATGATAGTTAGCCTCGGTCTCTCGTACCTTGGTCTCGACGACGGGCTCCCAGGAGGTGCCGAATTTCTCCTTCTGCTCGATGATGTATCCGGTGATGGGCGCTCCGCCGTCGTCCTTGGGCGGCTTCCACTTGAGGTCCACCCGGTCCACGTCCCAGTCGTGGATCTCCGGAACGGACGGAGACCCAGGGATGTCTGAGGGTTAGGAGAACAACGTCAACATTCCGCTGGGCTGGGTAGAGTACAATTTTTGTGCCTCAAATATCAGTCGTTGAAATAATGAATTTATCTTATCGAATCCGTTCTCTATCATGTCGTTGTATCATGCCTTTTATGCAAGAAATCAAAAGCTGGATGCAAGAGTTCAAAAATAATAGCGATAAGCTAACCATGAGACCAAGTGGCGTCTAGAAGTTAGCAGAAAGATATCATATATGTAGAACTACCTGCAAGTCAAATCAATTTCTACAAATGATGTCTGAGAACAAGCTCGCTGGTTTACCCTCCATGACACTAAACGCTGAGTCATTTCCTACCGTAGGGGTTTTTGGCCAGCGTGGCGTGGTCGGTGTCGAGCGGCTCCGAGGTGCCCTCCTCGTTGATGGCCTTGACGCGGAACTGGTACTGCTTTCCCTCCAGCAGTCCGGGTACCTCCATCGAGGTCTCGTGTGGGTCCACGCGGCCCACCGGCACCCAGCGGCCTGCGGAAGGAGAAAGTGCCCATTCGGTCATCGAATAGTCTATACGAATGCAACCTTGAATTGAAGAGATATGGGTGCGTAGCCAATATCATATGGCATACCCCTTACTAAGAAAAGGTTTTGACAAACACTCCCAATGGAGCGAGTCACTCATAACTCAAAGCTATTACAACAAGCCAAAGGGATTGGCAGAAAATTTACGAACGAAAACCGTTGTAAAAGTTTTAGTCAAATGAAATTCGATCCTACTGAAGTTCCCATCGGTTTTTAAGGCGCGGAAGTCATTCGATGCGTCTGCCCTGAAACCTGCACCGACCACAGTCCCCTCTCACACATACCTGGCTGGGTGACGTCCATCTTTTCCACAGCGTAGGCGGTGATGGGAGCGCCGCCGTCGTCCTCTGGTTTCTTCCAGTCGAGCTTGCAGTTCTTGGCCGTCACATCGGACACCTTCAACGGCCCCTTCGGCTTGGAAGGCGCCGCTGCGGAGAAACGATAGCATAGTCAGTATAGCCGTCAGGGGAAAACGAGATAGCGTGACTCATTCGTTATGCTTGACAAGGATATTCCCAAAGAGAGGTGACATTTCATTCTCGTAAATTTTATATAATTATTAATTATTTGACATAGATATCTGAGTATTTGTAATTTAGTACAAGCTTCCATCGCAACATACGGATCACGACGATAAGCAATGAATTCCAATCTGCAATGTAATAACTTTGTTGGAGCCCAAACTGTATCAATTTTATAAATGTTGTACCTATTTCATAATAGTGTGTCTCAGAAAAGCTATAGCGAGTCACTCACAGAGTATGACGACCTCGACCTCTGCCTCGTCCCTGCCGTGCTCGTTCTCGGCCACCACCTTGTAGATGCCCGTGTTCTTCCTCTCGCTGTCCCGGATGGTGAACTTGGTGTTGTACTCGACGTTCACCACCGAGATGTTCAGGGCAGACACCTGAGAACAGGGGTGTGGTGAGTAAATGATGCAAGTGGACGATGTTATGGTACACTATATCGATATATAGGCACCATAATATCCCAGATATATAGGCACCAAAACATTAGCACATCCCACAACTTCGGTATAGCGTATACATGCACCAATTGATTATATGCACTGTAGAATGTGCACCTTCCTTTCCCGTGATCTAACTGGAGATTATGAGGTCATTTCTGATCATGATTCGAGTCTGTTGTCAGTCAACTATTCAGTGTTCAGTTTACAAAAAAAGTTTGAAGTGATGTTCACCGAACACCGATGATTTTTTATAACTGAGCGTTTCAAGTGTCTCATACCGGCTCGTCCTTGATGATCCAGGTGACCTTTGGCGGCGGCTCTCCCTTGATGTTGACGTCGAAGTGGACCTGTTTGCCGGCCTTCACCTTGGTCATCACCAGGTTGGTGCGGTCGATCATCGGTCGCACTGAAAAAGAAAGGAGATACGGTAAGCAAACGTATAAAGACAAGAGAGGGTACGCATCTAATCAGCACAAAATAACAGCAGATACAACGATACAAAATGTAGCTGAAAATACAAGCAAATAAAATTCGATATTGTTACCGGTTGAAAAACAAAACAATTCATTTTCATGATAACGCGACCTACTCGCATTACCTAAAAGCGGCAAAAACAGCCTATCTGTGTTCAAACGTTGTGTAGTAAGCGTCCCTCCCTCTGATGACTTTGATAACATCCGAATCAGCTGCCTCGCGTCGGCGCCCGTGACACTCACGTTTCCTGTGTTTGACGGTGTGGAACTCGGTGGGGTCCGAGGCGGCGCCCGGTCCCGCCTTGTTGACCGCCTTCACACGGAACTGGTACTGGTCACGCTCGATGAGATCGACCACCTTGCCCGTCAGCTGGGTACCCGGCACCTGGTCGACAGAGACAGACATGAGTAGGGCCGGTCAACGACGGTACAGACGGATACAATTAGGGAGAGGGGAAGGTCAGCGACAGTGGCTTATCGGTCTGTCACCGATGGAAGGGAGCTTATTGCAACAAGCCAATAACGGCTAGCATCACCAGCAAATCGTATAGCTGTTGCCGTTGGCCTTCCCGTCATGGATTTGATTTAGTTCTGTAAAACCAAAGGTCTTAATTATGAGCATTGTCAAGGGTAAACATAAAACATCACGAGCAATATGAGCATTTTTAACACAATTTATCGAGTTCTGAGCTATTAGACTACCACGCCCTGACGGCTGACACCCTCCTCTCCGGCTGCTTACCTCGGCGGCTTTCTCCCATTCGCCGAACTTTTTGTTCTTTTTCTCGATGATGTAGCGCTGGATGGGCGCGCCGTTGTCGCTCTTGGGCGCCTCCCACTTGAGGTCCACCGACATGTTGTCGTAATCCTCGATGACAGGCTTTCCAGGAGCATCCGGCGGGTCTGCCGATCGGAAAGGGTGGAACATGTGACCAAAGGTTCGACCACCCGACTGTCCTGCTTTCAACTCCCAACCACTAAACACCGCCTGAATAAACAATAGCACATAAGCGACACAATAGTAACTAATGAGCGGCTAAACTCTATATTAGTTTAGTAAACAATATCGCTGTTACCTGAATTATAATCAGTTACGCTGAATCAGCATCAAATCTGACACTCGGCACAACCTCAATGCCACCCCTCTCCTAGCTGGCACGTACCGTACGGGTTTTTGGCCTTTACGGCCTTCTCTGTCTCCAGAGGCTCCGACTCTCCCTCGTCGTTGACGGCAGCCACGCGGAACTTGTAGTCCTGACCGGGGATGAGGTCGGTGACCTGGAACTCCGGGTGGGCCAGGCCGCCAGGAGCCTTGCCGCAGCGCACCCACCGGCCTGGCGAGAAACGCAGAACAATGGGGTCAGATAGATACGGGCAGGGACACGGGAGCAACCGTTGGAGGACAAATCAGCAAGGTATTATAGCCTAATTACGAGGCCTAATGTATGTCAATTTGGAAAAAAAGCAAATGAGGTAGTACGAGTATATATTATATAAGAATGTCATAACCCATCAATAACATAGCATAAGATCCCGACCCTTCGGTCTTCCCTAATCATTTCTTACCGGTGCCGGTGTCCATCTTTTCGACGACGTACTCCTTGATGGGGGTACCGCCGTCGTCTTCGGGTTTCTCCCACTTCAACAGGCCTCCCTTCTCGTAGACATTCTCCACCTTCAGAGGACCCTTCGGCTTGCTAGGCTTGCCTGAGGAAAAACGATTTTCGGTCAGACCACAAACAGGAATTAATCTGGGGCTTGATGTGGATATGTAATTCCCAAAGAAGAATAAACGAGACAAAAGAGAAACCTGCACCTTGACAAAAGCATAAAGCAAAGGGGTACCTAGCATGTGATCCACTCTTTCATTTCAGAATGACGTAACTGGGGCTCTTTTTCGTTTTTTTTCAATGTTGCTCATTAGCAATGGACTGTGAGCCATAAAAACTGAACACATTACCGTGTTGGGGAAGAACGTCAACCCGACGAAGACATTGTTACGTACCGAGTACTACCAGCTCGCACTGGGCCTCATCCTTTCCGTTCCTATTCTCGGCCTTCAGCGTGTAGATGCCCGAGTCCTTCCTGCTGGCCTTCTCGATGCTGAAGTCCGTGTGGTAGTCCACGTTTTCGATCTGTGGACGAAAGATGACAGCGAAAAGTAAGAGTCATATGCGATTATTCCTGTTGGTGCTGATTACCGTCGCCTGGTAAACGAGATCCTCCTTCGTTTGTTTTAAAGGAAAAGGGCCACCTTCGTGAAATATGAAGATATCGTTGTTTTTCATTTTGACATTATCATTTTTCATTTTCTTTTTAAAACTGGTGCCAGAAGTGCACAATTCGCTAAAAAGTATTTAAAACTATTTAACATATTGGTACTATGTTGATACTCTCTACGGCACCTACTGTATGATGGCATAGCGATGACGTCACACTCAAGCCAATCAGCGTTCAGAAGACAGACTCGTCGGATTGTGTCAGATAAGCTGATTGGTTAAAGCTGAGCTGGTTGGAGCTGATTGGTAAAAAACCAAAGCCTCGCCGCGGGTGGCTGTATTGTCGATAAGAACGCATTCCTGGGATAAGGACGCATTCCTGGCGTATTTTCTTTAAAAATTGCCGATAACTACGAATGGAGGCCGAAATCGGCCGTAAGGAGGTAGACAGATAGGTTTTCGGACACGGGCTACAGGATGGCTATCTCAGTTTCAATCCCCATGTTAAAGGTGGCCCTTTTCCTTTAAATGAAACATTTTTGGCGATGATCGACAATGAATGAATAGCAAAGAAGAAATACAAACAGGAATTCTATCTCCGTCCCTCGTGGTAATGCCATACACTTTCTCCCACGCCCCGGACCGACCTTGATCCTGTCGGAGGGCTGGATCTGGTCGCCGTCCTTGGTGAACCAGCTGAGAGTCGGCGGCGGCTCTCCCCGCACGTTGATGGCGAACTTGTGCGACTTGTTCACCTTGATGGTCACCGTGACCATGTTGGTGCGGTCAATGTGCGGCTTCACTGCGGAACGCAGACGCATAAAATGGGCAACTCATCATGGATAAACACAAAGTTGTGAAAATAGCGTAACGTCACAGAATTGATAACGAGTAATACAGGTTACCGATAAACAGTTTTGGATAAAATGTTGCCTAGCAAAGCGATAAAGGAATTCCTTCGCATCGATCAACCAGGCAGTTTTTCAATCTTCCGTGCCTGCCCTGGCAGACTATAAAAAATGTACGAATAGCTGGCCACATAAATCTAACAAATATCATACGGATCATATACGAATTAGCTACGAATACGACTACATCAGATATGATCACCCGGTCAGCACATGACGTGTCCGCACGTACGATTTCTGTGTTTGCAGAGGTGGTTGCCGGTGGGCTCGGAGGGCTCCGACTTTCCGGCCTTATTGACGGCCCGGACGCGGAACTGGTACGTCATCTGCTCCTTGAGACCGTTCACCTGCACCTCGGGCTTGTCGTCGGGCGTCTTCGTCACCTGAGGTCAGACACAAGGGGGGGGGGGGGGGGGGTCAGTCGTGGTGACGGCACTTTTGAGCGGTTAAGTGGCGGGCTTGCTTCCCTACTAATAAAACGCTAGAGATTCCCTCTTTCCTAAAGACTGTATCGACGGTAGACATATCTCAAACATTTGCGCGAAGTTTGGATCGTATCAATTGGTCTATGCATTTATGTCACACGAAGGGTCCTAACAAACTCGACACAAAACGCGAGTATATATAATGATTAGTAGGGCCATCGGTGTCCGGTGACGATACCCTGCGCCCACCTCTGCCCAGTCGGAGAACTTGTCCTTCATCTCGACCACGTAGTGCAGGATCGGCCGGCCGCCGTCCTTCTCCGGCTTCTCCCACTTGAGCTGCACCATCTTGTTGTCGTAGTCGACAATTTCCGGCTTGCCCGGCTTACCAGGCTCGTCTGAGAAAGGCAACAGGGTTGTCGGCTCCAGCATAAAACGCTTATTATTTGAGAAATAGCCGAGGCACCTGTAGCAGCAAGTGGTCAACGATAATATGAAATCGACATATTAGTTTGGGGGAATATGGACGAGCTGCGATAAAAAAGAAGCAGAAAAATTGTGACATGTTGTCTCTATGCCCAATAAACTTGGATAGTTGCGTCGTGTTGAGCACAGTAAATGTCATCTACTTACCGTACGGGTTCCTGGCCTCGATGGCCTCATCTGTCTCGAGGGGCTCCGATTCGCCCTCCTTGTTGACGGCCCGCACGCGGAATTTGTACTTCTTGCGGGGCGTTAGGCCCTCGATCTTGAACTCGGTCTTATCCGGACCGACCTACGAAAAGGTGAACATGCGGCTGAATGACGGTGTCAAGAATAAATTGCCAGTGCCAATGACACTCCCAACTAAGCTATGTGTTCTTGAAAATAACTGAGATAATATTTGACAACCAAGCATCCAAGCTCTGATGACCAGCATACATCGCGTTAACTATTTTGCAATGCTCGACCAATCCTCTTCAACGTCAAACATTCGTTAAAAACACGACACATCGTCAGTCAAAGAAGCTGGACTCACTCTCCCCGCTACATGTGTACTTCAAAGGCACTCTACTCTCGTCTCTTACCTCTCCGGCGGGCACCCATCGGCCCGTGTCGACGTCCATCTTCTCCACCACGTAGCCCTTGAGGTCGGTGCCGCCGTCGTCCTTTGGCTTGTTCCACTTGCAGAGGGCGCGCGTCTCCCGCACGTCCTCCACAACCAGAGGACCCTCCGGACGGGACGGCTTGCCTGAAAAGGCACAAACGGTGGTTAGGGACCAGGTGGGAGTGTGTGGTAAGTGGTGACGGTCTTTTTGGGAGAGCACGTCGAGTAAGTTCCTCTGAGCTTGGATGGCGCATGGAGAATGGTTACGAACGTGATACTGCAGTAGCGGGAGGCGGTTTTGAAATTCGGACTATTAAGATTGCCAAGAAGACTGCTCACGCTCCAATAACAAAAAGTCTGATTCCACAAAGGCAGTGATGAATAGACAATTGATGGTCTGTACCGGGAAACAGTCACTGTGCGTTGCGGAGCAGCCTAGCGCTGAGGACGAGTCCAAAAGCAATGGCCATTACACTTCTGGTACGCTTGAAATTATCATGCTCATCACGGTTTCCTGATTTCAAATGACTCATCCCGTGCTATAAGTAAATCTAACCCATGCTGATTGGCCGTCTTACCGAGCACGATGACGTCACAGATGCCCTCGCAGGTGCCGGACGAGTTGGAGAGCACCAGCCGGTACTTCCCAGAGTCGGGGCGCTCGCATTTGCGCACGGTAAGCACCGTGTTCCGCTCGTACTGGTCGATGGTGGTCCTGTGGACGGCGGGGCGGGAGGGTCACACACAGAGTTCGGACAGCAGGGTCAGTCGGCGGGGGTGGAGGCGAAGGAAGTGGCAGGGCTGGTGTGACTGCGGTGGAACGGTGGTTGAGGGTGAAGTGACGTGTCGTTGGCGAGCAGGTGCAAGAGAAGTGTGAAGCAGATGTAAATCATCGTGTAAGTTCCAGTGGAGGGAATTATACGAATGTGTATCCCAGACATTATTCTTAAATATAAACGATCTGATTGTTGCAAATGTTGAAGAAAATCCTGCCTAAAGCATGATATATTATTAGCATGATTCATCATTCGCATTAGCATCATTCATCATTAGCATAAGAGTACCTACAGCGTGAACGATATTAAAATTTCCATGTTTCTCTCTGCCTGTAGCGTTCTGTAGTCGGTACCTATTCAAAGGCATGTCTTATTAAAAGGATTTGAATTTTGTCAAAAAAAAAAAAAAAAACGCCGTGCTCAGTCTGAAAGCGAAGGACCAGATAACCGTCTTTCTTTTTTAAAAATGTGGAAATATTCCAACGTATAAAGGCTAAATATCAGGAAAGTCCTCATGTATAGTAGATATAGTCGTGCCCTGGTCCGAATGATTGAGTGGGTTGCATGTAGCCCCTGTGCTCGTTAAGTGGAGCCCCCATTGCGTGATGACACCAGTAACTCACTCGTCCTTGCCCACGCTTGGATTACTTAGCTATGCTCGTTAACTAGTGCATTTTATCTATTTAAAATACACTATTGTAAAATCATTTTAATTTACTACAACGTGCATACAGCAGAAGAACAATTTAGGACAATCGCCATCAGGGCCCGTGAGCAAACCTCCCCGAGTCTTATTTCGAATAATTTTCAAATCTGTAGTTTGATTAAAAATCGGCATAATTCTAAGAAACATGTTATTCCACGTTAAATTTCATGTTCCTTTTATCACGTTAAATTTATTGTTCCTTTCATAAGTTCGAGGGGAAGAACCGTCAGCGCGAGCGTGATGGAAAACTATGCCAATAAATCTAAAAATGACAAGTATATCATTTCAATCTGGCAAAAATAAGATTTGCCAGCATTCTGTAAATAATACAGATATTAGATAGCTCACGGGCCCCGAAAACTGTCTATGAGAATAACTTCTAATAACCTCGTAAAATCGTTGTCATACGTTCAAAAATATTCTCTTTCGAAAGAAAACACAAACGCAATGAAGATTCAGACGCATGCCTGGATGCTTAAAAATAAACTTGGAAAGCAGTATGCAGAAGAAGAGCTGAAAAGTCAAAAGAAATAAAGAGACTCGTCGACAGAAGAAATGCTGAAAGAAGGCTGAAGAAACTGCAACAGAGGAAACCACCTGAAAAGTAGATAAGTGAAAGTAGCGTAAGTAAGCATAGCTAGATTACGAGAAGCCAGCGTGACGAAGGACAGACAGAGGCAAAGGTTTGAGCAGAGTTTAGTGTATTTTGAGTCGGAAGAGCGGTTGGGGGAGGGTGTCATGCCCTTGTTGATTGTTTTCCCATTAATTGTTTTTGCTGATGTGTCGTGGTTACGCCCAGGTGTGGGTAGGTGTGCGGACGCTCGGTGCGTTTGAGGGCGGGGTCAGGGGTAAGTGGCGTTTGCCGTGGCCGCCCCCTAGTACCATAAGAACGACGGACGAGCCTCATCATAAGATTCGGTACATTCACTACGCTGCTAAATTGTCTATCAGCGCCCGTTTGTCTCAGATACCTCGTCCGTGGTTCTTAGTACCAGAGGGCTAAACCCGTGTCTGTAAACCTCACAAGCCGAGTGACTTAGCAGTCGGGAGAGTTGAAACACAGACACGGCGAGACAAGTGTGAAACACATTCGGCATGTGAATAAAGAGTAGAAAGTGAGAGTGAGCAGTTGAGAATAAAGAAAGAGCGATTCTACAGTATCAGAGAATATTTGTTATGTGAAACTAAGCTGAAGATGTTAGTCATGCAGTATTGATGTGGTTAGCCTATTTAGATCAAGCTTTGAATTTTATCGATGCTTGAACTCCAACCTCGAGCATTTATGTACGTAAAGCGATAATGCGACACACACTATAACTACTGCGTTAATGAGCCGTTAGAATGGTTTATGTTAAATGTGGAGAGAGATGAGTGTAAGGAAGAGTCAAACAGCGATGCACTTTCGATTCATATCAGAGATCTATTCGAGTTACAATACGCAATCTACAAAACAGCTAACACCGTACAGATTCGTATCATGTCACCTTCCGAAATCAGCGTCTGGCAGCCTGAAAGAGGGCAGAGTCACTGATCATCACTGGAGCAGCCGGTCACAGCACATGTCTGCACTATATTGTATCGGCTCCATGAAAACAAAACAATACACATTAGTTGGTATCGTAACACGTAATGCGATAGTGCGTATGAAACGTATCGTTGTCATATTGCGTGCCCAGGGTTACATATGAAGGCAGGCTGGCAACTCTGTTGGAAGGTGCCCAGGTACGGGAAGCCAGAAAAAAACCTTTTTCAAGACTATTCGAAGTGCTGTTGGCGAGTTAGTAGATAGTAATAAAGTCGAAATGGCATATAAAAATGCAATATAGGTCGTACCGCAACATAAGCATAAGCATATTTCCATCGAATTTGTGTATGTTTATCTTCTGAGCTTATAAAATGATTTGGTGTCTATGTTTTTGGTCATATACAGGTGATCTCTGCGAGGTAAAAATCCATGTCATGTTTCAAGCAAGCATCTGATCGTTTCCAATCTTCGAGAGATGATTACATAGGAAAAACAGCGAAGTAAAGGAAAGCCACGTTAATGAAGTTCCAGCCCGAATGAAGCCGAATGAAGTTCCAAAGTTATAAACTGTTGGGACCATTTGATGTTTTTATTTCTGACCGACGTTGTCTTCAGGACAACTTTGATCATGTCTAACCCATCCGCCCCCGATTCTTACTTCTCTGTGTCCTCGAAGAGCTCGGTCTGGTTCCTGTACCAGTGCACCTCCGGGTCGGGCTCGCCGCCGTACTGAATGTCCAACACAATCACCTGGTTCTTCTTGATCACCATGTTCTTGAACGCGTCCTTGTTGATGATGTACGGCTTCACTGTGGGGGAGAACATTAAGTGCAAGTTATTTGACATTGCCGGACCGTGGTCGATGGTCCATTGATAAACACACAGCGTTATCGAAGGTTCTGTAGTCCTTTGATTGATTTTTGTCGTTTGTTTTGTTTCGATTTTCTGTAGCCTCGCTCAAAACAACGATTTTCGAGTTTGGTGCCATATTCCGAAATCTGAGCATGCCTAATCTTCACTATCGTTTATGTGACCATATCTAGTTTCCCACTTAATAAAAGCCTTTGTCCTCCTTTCCCATCACAGCACCGACCTCTGTCCTCCTCCCACTCACCGAAGCGGCACTTGGCGATGATGGGTTTGGTGGGGTCGGACGGCTCGCCCTTGCCGCCCTTGTTAACGGCCCGCACGCGGAACTCGTACGTCTTTCCCTCGGTGAGGCCGTCGATGGTGCCGGACTCGACGTTACCAGGGATGTACTTGCCCTCCACCCAGTCGTTGCTGAACTTCTCCTGTGAACGGAGATCAGGCGCAGTTGAGGAATGAGCTGCAGCTTGCAGGAAAAAACAAGGGTCTGTTGATTTTTATTCGCTGATTGTACGGGCAGCAAAATAAGCGATTGCACTTATTGCATCATGCACAAAGATTGTTCAGTGGAAGTTGGAACGAAGCGAAGTTACACCATGCGGGCCATATCTGACCCGCATTTACGAACACAATGCAACATTTTGAGTGAATGTCGACCATCAAGACCTGCCGCCATACAAACGGCAATGCCATGAATCTTCTCCAAATAACTAAGCAGTAATATGGCCTCGTCCCTGACCTTGAACTCGATGACGTATCCGGTGATGGGCGCGCCGCCGTCGTTCTCCGGTTTGGTCCACTTGAGGTCGGCGTGGTCCTTGTCCCAGTCGGTGAGCTCCACGTTACCCGGTTTACCGGGCTCGTCTGTGGACACAGGAATACAGTCAGCGGGAATGATAACGGTTTCACTGATAGGGAGCGGGATGAAACTACTGAAGCAGTTTAGCGGTAATCCAAAGAATCATGAGCATGCATAAACAGCTGAAACAGTTCACATTTGACCGATGCAACGTCAGAAAAGCCGGAGTTCTGTGACTTTCACCACAAATACTTGACAAGAACGAAACAGGTTACCTCGCCCATTCACTGTCTCTCGTTTCATATTTTTTTCCCGGACAGTGTCGGATCAGTCTGCTCACCCCACGGGTCCTTGGCGATGATGTCGTTCTTGGCCACTCCCGGCTGCGACTCGCCGATCTTGCTCACCGCCTTGACGCGGAACTTGTACTTTCTCTTCAGCACCATGTCCTCGCACTTGAACGAGGTGGCGTTCGGGCCGGCCTCGCCCACATTCTCCCAGCCACCTGATGGGATGGAGGGAGGGAAAAGACGATGGTCCGTGATGAGAATAAAACATCGCCTAGCTTGTTTATGCTGGGCTCGCCCTTTACTAGTTCAATGTCTTTGAATGTGATTAGATCGAAAAAGGTCGCTGCTATGCGCCAGACCATAAGCAAAGTAGTTACATCCGTCAACCTGGAAGTCTGACAACACATGACAAAAAAATAACAATTTTGTATATACGCGTGGACCAGCTTGGGACCAACGTCGAACAACCACTGTTCACATTTCATATCTTTTTATATGTAAGTCCTGAGCGCGATCAGCACACGCCCGTACCGATTTTGCCGAGGTCCTGTTTTTCGATGACGTAGCGCTGAATCTCTGATCCGCCGTCCTCGGCCGACTTCTTCCAGTGGATCATGCAGTGTTTGGCAAACACGTCCTTAACCTCGACATCACGCGGAGGCTGGGGCACGTCTGAAAACGGTGCGCACGCGGTGTCAGCCGTCGGGAACGTGGGTTATCTACGGTTAGACAAGCGACAGGAGCGGGAAACTGGTGCGACACTCAGTGGAAAATGGCTGAGAACAGGGATGGGTCATAAGCATACCTGGGGTGGGATCTCGTCCTCTCATGTAGGTTTTGCTGAAATGCATAAGTGCGCTTGCAATCGGGCTTCAGTAATCGTTTCGAGAAATGTTACACACAATTAGAAATGAAAGTCATAGCACTGATGATCAGGATTCGTAGTGAATATATGGAAACGTATCGGTAACGAGGCTGTGTTACGACTCACTCAAGCCACAGTTTATAAAATCGACATTCCTGTCATCTGTTCAGATAAGTGTAATGCATTTAGTGCAGCAAACAGCAAAAAAGTCAACAGCTGCGCCTCTACTTCTGTCCCGTTGACGGGCTCTGGGCTACTGATGCTTAAATATTGAACTACTGATGCCGACAACTTATGAGCAGTGAGATGTATCATGCGTACCGTTTTACCCTCTGCTGCCGGGACTGTTCTGGCGCCTGCAGAAGATATCGATGCAATCCTGAGATGAGGCAGCAGTGGCGGTGTTGGAAAAGCACAGTAAATGCAGATGTCAGTGTACGTACACACAACATAAAATCGCGGGTTTGGGTTACAAAATTGTCATGCGACAAAAGGAAGAATAGCTACTCATTCCGAGTGGGGCAAAATAATACCGTTAAACTCATGCGATGAAAAAGTCGGACAACAGCGAACCAATGAACAAGAAAGTACAGTATTCACAATATGTTAGGCCAGAGCCCGATGTTTGTGGCACGGTGGGGCAGACAACACCGAAAAACAGCGTGAAGTCGTGTGGGACGGCATGACAGGGCCGGCCCGCGGCCTGTCGAAGTGGCCTGGGCCCAGCGGTAGACACCCCGGCAGTCCGCTGCGGGGAGCCGCACCACGTGAGGCCGCACCCAGTCGTTAGCTCGGACCCGCCTCGGATCCCGCGCCCAGTTACCTTGCATGTTGATGTTGACTGTTTTACTGTCCTCGCCCTGGCCGTTGGAGATTTTGATCTCGTAATCGCCAGCCTGGTCGCGGGTGGGTTTCTTGAACGTGTAAATGACGGACTTGTCCTTGATGACGATCTCGACGTCTTGTTTGGAGAGAGGCTTACCTTGACGGCACAGCTTAGCCTCCATCTGTGTCTGCCGCTTGCCGCTCACTGTAAAATGTGCTGGTCAGGGTCTGTGTCCGATGATAACGGGGTGTTCATACGGCAGAGAACGGCTCTACGGGGTAAAAAAAAGTGAAAACATGTGGTCTCGTTGTATGTCAATGCTCAAAACATACAGTTGAATTGAACCATAAAACCGAAAATATATTCATGTTGTTTACAAAACCTCTTGTTGAGTGAACCTCAGTAGGTATGCACAAAATATTCTGAAAAGTTGTGTGTTGTGACTCGTGCACCAACTAATCATGAACACATGAAAAAGTAAATCGCATGTTCTTACCCTTGTACGGCACTTCAAAGACGAGAGGCTTGTTGACAGGACCTGGAGGGAAACAAAACAGAATGGATCAGTTTCTTCTCGGAATCGGAAACAAAAATCATGCGAAGCTTCCCTAAAAACCCATGTCTTCATTTCAGCGAATCATTTGCCACACTTAACCATACAATATATGTATAATTGTGCTGACTTCGCAACTTATCGCTACAACTGTTATCTTACTGTAAACCGTAAAAACCCACGTTTCAATGCGTAATATAAACTTATAGACATAGTTACGTCTACATAAACTTCAAACCCTCACTTTTCGCACAGCTCCAAATTGTCCGCCAGCGACGATCGACTTTCGATTTCACACTCACCGACCACGGGTCCGTCGAACTTGATTTTGGGCTTGGTCTCTCCGCGGATAACGGAGAGGTGGCCCTGCGACTCCAGCTTGCCGGACTTGCAGATGTAGTCACCCTCATCTGTCAGCTTCGCCGAGTTGATGATCAGCTGGTGCTTGCCACCGCCCAGGTTCTTGATCTCAATCCTGAAACGACAGATTCAATTTTTATGTTTCTCTATGAACCAAAACTGATCACAGTTCTTACGCATTTTATCTTGACGTCGATAAGCGTGTCCATGTCTCACGTTTTGCCACGGTATCAAGTAGGATGAATCGATTATTTCTAATTTGCGTCTGCTCGAGGTAACAAAGACGCATGCCTCGTGTACTTTGGTGTTTTATCCTTGCCCTTCCACCCAGTGGCCAGACTTCGAGCCGTTTATCCTGACTGATGGTTACGTACCGTTAGTTCTGATCGGCCGGTTTGTAAATACCATTCGCATTGGCCGATAATTCGGTCGATAGTTACGTACCGTTGCTCCTGGTAGAGTCGTCGGCTACGTGCCGTTCATTCTGGTCTATGGTTAGGCACCTAGTACATATGTCCCGGTCGATGATGTGTTACGCACCGTTCGCCCTGGTCGATGATGTGTTACGCACCGTTCTTCCTGGTCGATGATGTGTTACGCACCGTTCTTCCTGGTCGATGATGTGTTACGCACCGTTCGCCCTGGTCGATGATGTGTTACGCACCGTTCGCCCTGGTCGATGATGTGTTACGTACCGTTCGTCCTGTTCGATGATCTGATACGTACCTTCGTCCTGCTCGATGATCTGTTACGCACCTTCGTCCTGGTCGATGACCGGTTACGTACCGTTCGTCCTGCTCGATGATGTGTTACGTACCGTTCGTCCTGTTCGATGATCTGGTCGCCGAAGAACCACTCGCAGGGCGCCGTGTGGTCGGCCATCTCCACCTCCAGTACCACCTTCTCACGCTCGATGCCCTCCACGTCCGGCAGCAGACCCTTGCTGAACTTGTTCAGGTCTGCGGTGACGGGACAAGCAGACGGTTAGACAGACGCACCTAAGTCACCTAGTCTATTCTACATTACAGCCCACCAGTAGCGGCGGAACCCATTCAATTAAGGGGGGGGGGGGCACTGCCGACTTTTGGACCCATTATTTCCATGCAGCGCCCATGATAGGGCTAATGTTAAAATGCCAAAATCAAAGGGGGGCACGGTGCCCCGGTGCCCTCCCCGTTCCGCCGCCCATGCAGCCCACGCCAGTGGCAAAATAGTCAGACAACCATAGCTTACAGCCTATTACAGCGGCGGGACTGAACGTCAGAAGGCCACGGACGTGTTTTCTCCGTGGGGCGAGCAGTCTTATGGGGACTTCGGTAGAACGTAGGGTTTGGGTATTTGTGTGGTTATAACAGCACCAAAGTGTCACATGGTAGCGGACAGTGTAGAGCTACATTCGAGTGTCGGCGGTTACAACTTACAGCCAACAGTCAACCGGTTCGCACTCACAGTTGACGCTGAGCGGTGCCGAGGTCATATCGTTGTTGGACTTGGCCATGAACTCGCCGGCGTCAACCAGCTTAGCCGACTTGATAATCAGCTGATGCTTCTTGCCGTCGGAGACGATTTTGACGCTGAGATGGAGAAAAGAAGCACTTTAACATCGTATTGCAGTGAAAGAAGGGGAATGCTACCGTAGTTCGCAATAATGCGGCGAATTTGATGCGCCAAAGCGGCAAGAAATTAGCGGGGGCAGCTAAAAAAAAGTTGTCGGTGTTTCTCGACAATCTTCCACTAGATGTCATCTTTGAACCTAAGTAGCACAATAATTTGATCTCACTGATGGTGGCACAAAGCGTAAAGATTGCCTATTTCACGATCGATTCATCGGTGCACGTACTGTTTTCCGTCGGGCTTGATCTCTTGGCCGTCCTTGAACCACTTGACGTCGGCGTCCGGGTAGTCGGTCTCCACCTCCATGATGATCTTGTCCTTCTCAAAGTTGTTCATCGGCTTCAGCTTCTTCTTGAAGCGCACCGGACGGTCTGCAAAGGCAGAGTAGTGAGAGTAAGTCGGAAGGGGAGGGACGTATTGAACTCGCCCAACATGACCTCACGAATGCGAGTGTATAGGACAGAGCGACATCGACATTTATCCTATGTAGGTAAAACAAAGCCAGGGGATTTTGTTTGATTATTATTGGCGCTATCAAAAGCTGTTGTAATTCACGGATTTCAACATTACTACCAGTATAGCGCCTTTTGTGGCGACTAACGGAGCGAGCGAGAGGGTGGGCCTTGCACGTGCGAAATTGCGAGGGGGTACCTCCAACTGACTTGTGCACGGCACCTTACTAACCGGTCTCTAGCGATGTGCCAAATTTGAGCACAATCGGCCCAGCCGTTCTCGAGATCTGGAAGCGGCACCCTGCACGTGCGCACGTGCAAAATGGGTCCCAACTGACTTGTGCACGGCACCCTACTAACTGCTCCGTAACCGTGTACCAAAGTTGAGCGCAATCGGTCCAGCCGTTCTCGAGATCTGGAAACGACCCCTGCACGTGCGCACGTGCAGCAGCACCCCAACTCTGGCACATGGATATGCATTGCCTAGTGGGTGCCTACCTACATGCCAACTCTCAGCGCAATCGGCCCAGTAGTTACCGAGATATTGCAACAATTACAAAAGTGACACCTCTTCGTTTTGCCCGTGGCACGTGCATAAGGGGTCACCCACATGCATCGGGAATAGTGCAATACTTGGTAGAAGGAATGGAGCTACCCTACAAAAATTACCGCATGTAAATCGGTCAAGTGGTTGCTGAGATATAAGCCTCGCAAAAGCGTGACCACGGCCGGCCGGCCGGCCGGCCGCTCATACTCAGAAATTTCCGTTAATCTAAGGAAAGACTACGCTCGCTTCGCTCGCTCCGTAACCATCCTGCAAATACGAAATAAATGTAAACTACGTGTATATGCGTTAGATCGTATTCAAAACTGCAGATCATTGCCAGAGAAAAGATTAGGTTTACCGGCAGCAATTTATCAGCCCCCCATCCCAATAAAACTACTGCCAGCTATCCCCACGACGTCCCGCTGGTGTCTTACCGGTCAGTGACACTGTGCAGTCGGTGCGGTCCTTCTGCCGGAACAGGCGGCAGCTCCAGGCGCCGGCGTCCTTCTTCTTGGCGCCGCGGATCGTCAGCCGGCACGTGCCCAACATGTCCTTGCCGATGGTGTAGTGCTCGCTGTCCTACAGATGGTAGGGTGGATGGGTAGTCACCAGTTGTAGTGGTGTGGGGAGGCAGACATTACAAAAGGAGGATTTTTTCCTTTCTATAGGGGCGGTACTCGATGCAATGGCATTGGCGACAGATGATGATAGCTTCGCGTGTATAATGGTACACAGTTCGAATGTGTAAGACTAGTAGTATAAAGAACATCCAAGATACCACTCATGGGTTCAGATATAAGGCATGAAACAAATCAAGTGCTTCACTGTTAAAAAAAAACACATACAAACGAAGGATGTCTCGGATGAACGTCACCACTGCAGTACTTACATCGACCTGGTTGTCGCCGTGGTACCAGTGCACAATAGCCTTGTGCGAGTTGACCTGGCACTCCAGGGTCACATCCTCCTTATAAAAGCCGTCCACGTGCTTGGGCAGGTCCCGCACGAACTTGAAGTCCGGGTCGGCAGCTAGAAAGAGAATGGGACTCGTTATAGCAAAAATATTTGTTGTTTGGACAATGAAAACGGTAATGACTACACATAGTCGTGACACACAGCTGGGACGAAAAAAATGATGCACGCGATTTGGCATGTGGCAGTCACGTTCTACTTTAAGGCCAACCCCTTTTCGAGGCCCAAAGTTGTAAAAGCCCTATGAAGGATAATCATGAGATGTAGGCAACTACTCTCACTCCACTGAACAGCGTAGGGAGGATCCAGTTTTTTACAGAACATCCTGGCCACTCACGCTCGACAGTCAGGAAGGCCGATGTCTCGACTCCGCCCAGGTTCAGCGTGTATTTGCCCGAGTCCTCCACTCGCGGCTTGTCGATGATCAGGCAGTACGTGTCACCTTCGTCCTTGAACTGGTACTTGTTACCCGGGAAACATTCCTGTGAAAACGGGGAAAGGAGCTCAGTAGCATGTTTGGGTAACGGTTCAGTACAGATGAGTCTCATATGTCCCTCTGAGCGAATAGCGAATAATAGTTCGCGACGTAAGACGGCAGTCGGCATCCTCTTTAGAAAGGGAAGGAGTCTGAACGTGAACCAATGAAAAGAAAAACACTTACGTCTCTCTTGTGCATCCACTTGGGTCGCATCTTGGAGCGCGAGAAGACACACTCGAACTTGGCGAACTTGTCCTTGCCTTCCTTGACAATGACGTCCACCATCGGTTTCAGGAACGTCTCCTTCTTCTGCGATCGGACAAAATAACAGCATTCAAACACTAATCATAACTTCAGACCGAAGCCCAAGTTGTCAGGAGAAGCAGCGGCTATAAGGCGAATAGCAATACTAACACTCGGAGTCAACAACCATCGGTGTGAGAAGTGTGCTAATAATTCGTGCTTTCCGATTGACAATGAAAAGTGACCGGTGTATACCAAGTACCAACTAACCTGTCTAACATGTGCATATTTTGTCAAAATATTAGTATATCTCAACAGGTATTCGATTCACAATTACATATGATAGATGTGTGCGTGAAATTGCATTCCAATAGAGCGATTATCAGCTGTAAGCTGCGTCCGTCGGTTACGTACCCGTTCGACCTTCTTGAGCTGCGGAATCTGCGGCTTCTCGACCTCCTTGAGATCGCCCCAGTCCGGATCACCCTTGTCTTTGTCCCAGGCCTTGTAGCGGCGCTTCTTCAGCATGGCACGGAAGTCCATGCCAGACGAATCTGCACACAGCGACAGAATCCAACACTCAATCCAACCCCTCAATCCAATACTTGGGCGCGAGATGATCCCGATACGCTTAAAGAGACAATAGTAACAATCAGTTCCTTCAAAGGGACACAAACTGGCTACGAAATTACATTTTATCCACATTTTCAGTACTCTTTCGGGGGCAATTGTGATAAATATAATGCTGCTTCAACAAAACCCTAGCACGTAGTCAGTATACCGCATAATGCACCCCTTCAGCTTTGGCAGTAGCCAGTAGCCACCCTGTATTTCGTTCGCCTCCGTCCGTACCGCTGACGAAGACGGTGAACTCTGCGGCGTCCTCGCCGTGCTTGTTCTGCACCACCACCTTGTAGTGACCCTCGTCGCTCGGCTTGGCCTTCCTGATGCACAGCATGATGGTGCTCATGTCGCCGCTGGTGATGAACTTGTAGCGACCGCCCTCGCAGATCTCTTGGATGCCCTGCGGAGGAACAGAAGAGATCTCTCATGTTTGCAACGACATGTCGTATGACGTATGTTATAAGTTAAGACTTGGTCGGATACAGTTTTCAAGAGGAATTTATTGCGTGGTAAATATTCAAGCTGACTGGCAGGTGCAGTTTTTAGCATGGATAGATGGCATATATCTACACGCATCTATACGATCTATACGTTATCTACACGACACGATACAACGCTCAAGCCGTTAACAATACGCACCTTGTAGAATTTGAACGTCGGCGCCGGGTTGCCCTCCACCGTGAGGATGCAGAAGGCGTTCGCATCTGAAATAAAAAAAAACTCAGCCGTCTGCCCAAATCAATAAACATGCATCCAGGTTGTCGATGTCATCTAGCCTATGTCTATGTCATCTAACGACATCTATCCTCTTCCACCATCCCACAGATAGCCATATCTCAGCTAAAAACCACGTTTTGACCCTCGATGCCTCACCCTCGACGACGGTGTAGCTCTCCTCGATGTCGACGATGGACGGCGGGCCCGGCTTTCCGATGGCCTTGAGCGGCGTGGACGGCTTGTCGATGAGTCCCTCGATGTCGGAGACGGAGGGACGGCGCACCTCAGCCGACGGACGGCGCCGGCCCTGCGCGCCCGACCGAGACCGGGGTCAGGCGGGAGGGTGCGGTGGGGGGGGGGCGGTTCGGGTAATCCGGGGGGGGGGGGGGGGGGAGTCACCGAATTAGGGGCAGGCTTGTAAGTCACTGGGCTGTTGAGGATATACCTTGAGCGATATTCATTGTACTCTGCTTTGGAAAAATGAATAAAGGCATGCGTTATGACGGAAACCGTTAGCCTTTTAATATTATGTTCATATAAAATAATACAGGAACACCACTTCTCGTAGGTGCATAATATTTAAATACATTTATGTAAGCTGCGCTGAACAAAAGTTACCTACTTACCATATAATAAGGAAATAACGAATGGATCTTACCAATGCAACTTTGGTCATACAGCACAGGTGGGCTTACGGCACAATGTTTAATCTTGCTGCACAAGATAAAAGACAACACACAAGCTAGACGTAACGGTCCATAACACTACTACAGGAAAGCAACTGACATGAAAAGGGACTCACGTAGGCAGACTAGCGAGATCGATACAAACAACATTCATGCGAAAACATCACGAGAGGCATACATACAGACTAGGCAGAGCAATACGATTACGTTGAAAAACTACGAAAGATTCAAAACACGGTGTTCGAGAAAACGCTTTTAAATATTTCAAGACAAACATCATACTTGCGAAACGAATAGCTATGACAGAGAGCGAAGAACAGCTAAAATAAGGTGCAAACGGCATCAAGGTCTAGCTACATTGACATCGAAAATCTTACGACGAGGGAGCTCTACCATTGGAGCAGAGGCACTCGCCACAGCGTTGCATTTCACCCAATTCATGGCAGACAATGATATGATATACTCAGCTATACTCTGCCAAGTCAATGAAGCTCAAACGATCATCAGCCAGCAACGCTGTGTGACGAGTGACCCTCTGTGCCCAGTATCTGTCAGAGCTAGACGAGCCCCACAGCGCCGCCGGTCCCGAGCTAACCGGTACCGCACCAGGGGCACCGGCGTGCCTCTGGACGGTTGTGGCGGCGAGGGCGGGTAGGACATACAGCGAGCGAGCGGAGAGCAACGGACGGACAGCGTGTGAGACAGCGCGGCGCGGGAGGGGCAGAGCAAGCGGTGTTTACCTGAGCGCCCATCTCGCCGGGACGCAGTTTTCCGGCCTAGTCAAGCAGAGAGGGCTGGTGTCAGAGGCTGGTAGGCGGTCACGGCGGGTCGGCTGGGCGGCACTACAAACCACACCCCCCTGCCCCTGCCCTCCCGACGGACGCCGCCGGCGCCCCTCGCCCGCCCGCGGCACAAATCAGCAGAATTAACCAAGCTGGTGTGTATGTTCACAGAGCGTCAGACAGCATACCAGGCTGGGTGGCAGCCCGAGCCGTCCGCCGCGCCCTGCGGTGTGGCGTCAAACGCAAATCAAACAATACCCCAACAGAACAGAACCATATCGGTGTTGCTAGCAGCGTTACAGATGCATTTATCTTTGTTCAATTGGCACTTGTGATTAAGTTAGCGGTTCAGTGGCGTCGAGAGCGCTCACACGGCGGGTTAGCCCTGGAACGGTTGGTCGGTTATATCACCCGCGCGGAGCGGGTTGGTGTCAGCCTGCGGCGGGCGGGGAGGTGTGAGAGTCCGGCGGAAGGCGGGCCGATCAGTGGGGGTCGGGGGAGGGAGAGCGTCAGGGGGTGGCGACAAGTGAGAGATCAGTTCATTCAGTTGGCGGTAGTTTGAAGTTAGTGGGGTACCGCGCCGATCCCGGGCGACCGGCAGGGCACGAGCGCAATATCACTTTACCTGCTTGCCCCCCTCTAATATTTCGCCGGGTCGGGCTTTTCTGTGCTCCTGAGGACAGAACGAGCCATGCTGAACACACGGCACAGGCGCTGATCCGAGCAGCTAGCCACCGAGGGGACAGCAGACCGACAGAGTCGCCGACAGGTTTCAGTCACAACACTAGAGCGGAGTTACAGTGGAGAGACATGGAAAATGTAGGTATGCAGAGTGTATAAAAAGCGACATAAAGATGTATAGCAACATCTTGAGAAAAGTACATAATGCATAATAATTATGAAGATTTTTGAGAAATTCGAGAATGAGAGCATGCCAAAACGAATATTGAAAGACCAGAACCAGCGATGAATAAAACTAAAATGATCAGAAAAGATGATAACTTTAGAAGTTTTGACGCTGAACAGAACGTTGTGGTTCTTGTTTTACACCACAGAATGCACGCAAAGAGATCAAACATACATATTTCAGCAAAGAGAAAGCGAGAGAACAGCGTCCTCACCGCAAGAGTTGGCTGCGCCTTTCACTAACCGCTCGATATATCCCGACTGGGGTCGTAATGACGGTACAACTTCGTAAATAAATTGTTACAGAACTTACAATTGAGCCTCCGTGTGTGTAAGCCCATGTGCGTGTGCGAGTTTGTGTATGTTGGATGGGTGCACAGATGATAAACACAAGTTAAATACAATGAAATGGACAGAAACTGTGATAAACATTGTACACTATAGGGTTCTATAGGGCTCTAAATGGGAACATCGAAATCCTAGACACACATAGAATATCCCTAGAATCAAAATACAAACGAATAACAAACAGTGCATGACCTTCTTGCAAACTGACAGAAACAGTGTATATGTACCACTACATTGTTAAAAACTATGTAACTGCAGGCAAACAACAGGAATGGTGCAAAACTGGCGACCAAGTACATGTAACGTGCTAGGTGACAAAATTGCAGGGACTCTGCGGTAAAATATACCATGAACAAGCATAAAGTTGCACAACAAGTAAAATGTAAACGTAAGACATGGGACACCGGACAGGAATCGGATTAGCTTTGTAAAGGTCCAGGATTAGACGAAATCGATGCGATAAAAATCCTTCAATACCCATATCATTCATCGGCTTTGGAGAAGGACGAGTTTAAGGGGCTGCTCCACTTGACAAACCATCTTGCTGGACTGTCCAAATGTGCCATGGTCGCATCGATCCCACTGGCCTTCTCGTCCAAATGACTCTAAACCCCTAGCATTACCTATTTGATATTACCCATAAAGCAACTCGGAGTAATGACCATTGAGTAGTGAATACTTTGCATCATCACAATTTGACGATTCAGTATGCTACGTAACAAGACGATATTTTGTGACGCAATATGCTCGTCTTATGTAATAGGCATATGTTTTACTATGTAAGTACCTGATAATATTTTTCAATAATATTCCGCGTGATATCGAAGCACGCCGCCGTTCACAAAGGCCGACCCTAAAACGGCTGATAGGGCTGATGGACATGTATGAATAAGGGAGCTGATTTACGCTGAGGGGAGGTGATGGGGGCCGAGGCGACGATAATTTGCGCCCACGTGAGCTGATGTATGTATGTATGTACGTTGAGTCATAGTATGTTGAGCTGAGCTGGTGGACGCGCACGTACGCAGAGTGGAAGTGATGGGCGCTGAGGGGGCTGAGGGAGGCCGAGGGGATGCTGATTTCCGCCCATGTGAGCTGATTTGTTCTGAGCTGAGCTGGTGGGCACTGATGGGATTTAATGGGGGCCTGATTGGACTCACGTCGTCGGCGATGATGATTGATGCGCGGCGCGGCTGCTCCTCAGGCGGTATGAGCGAGCCGCGCCGGCTGCCCGGCTGGCCCGGCAGCAGGCTCGACTTGCGCTGCTGCTCCTGCTGCTCCTGAGCGATCAGGATCTCCGGGTTGGGGCCGCCCTGCAGCCGCCGACGGCCACAAACACGGGCACAGGGAGACGCAGAGAGAGAGAGATAGGGGGTGGAGAGAGGGCACTCCGTGAGTCAGGTGCAGTGTACAGAGACGGCACACCGGCCGGTACACGCAGAGAGATAGGACACAGCTTCATATACAACGTGTAACATAATATGCAGTAGAAATGGACACAGGAGCGTATTCACAAAAGTTCCATACAATAAGAAACGCAGAGCATGTCACATTCTAACATCGCTATATCGTGAAATCAGCGGGACATGCTACTTTGAACAATTAGGTGAACACATAAGCACAATAAAATACAATGACAGAGAGAGACTACTGTGCACGAACATATTACTTTCTTTTCGTTCACCTTCATTCCACCATGCAATGATACCACCTCGCATACCTAAAGAAAAATACAGGCCAACCTGGTCGTATACAGCCGACACTATACGCTAAGATTGCACCAAAAACAAATGCGAGCAATGCTTTTTTATAGCTGGCCACGTTAAGGACAGTCCGTGATGCAATTACCTTTTATCTGTGGATCGGTATTCAGTAGGTATTCTTTAGGCATGCTACATACCTTCAGCGGCTCTGCAGTTCGTTTCCACGGAAAGACGTCCAACCGCTTCTGCATTTTTGGAAATAACCTTCTACGATTTATGCTATTTTTAAAATTTCACTTAATATTTATGGCTCGGCAATCGGAATTGGAGTCACTGTAGCTTACCTTAGGAATGGGATGTAGGACGAGGAAGGGGATACTTAGCCATATCAGCAAGTGTTGTGTGCTGCGATCAGCCGGTCCGGCCGGGAGCGGTGTGCCGCTGCGCCGCCGCGCACAGGTGTCATGCGGTACAGTCTACCTCCACAGGCATTAGTCGCCGTCATGTCAATTTCAGACTAAAACCATTTCTTGCTAATGCAAAAATGTACCGTAAATGTGACTCTCAGGAACTTAGCATTGTTTTTTTATGAAAGATTGATGATTTATATTTTATATGGATATCTTATATATTTTATATGCATATACAAAAAACGGTAATGTGAGACACCGACTCGCCTTAAAAAATTGGTGACCGACTCTCTTCATTTGTAGGTCTGAAATTGACATGTTGAATTGCAATCACGTCCACGTTTTACTTTTATATGAAACATGCTCTTTTGAATCTAGTCATTAGCAATATCAAAAGTACATTTTCCAGTATGCCGTTAACCATATTCCATAAGTCAGTCGCTTTATTTCCATTTTCCTTTCATCGCTAAGCAAAAGGCAACGCTTGCGCATGCAGCTTGGCACAGTAAAGCCATGCAATGCCCAAGCATACACACTCACCAGAAATACAGCTGTACACAATGCCTACGCTACAAAAAGCTACATCGAACACGGAAAATGTACTGCCATCGAACAAATATATCTTGCAAACTATGTACACATCGGCGCTTTCTGGTGTTGGTATCCGTAGTCGATCGGTTGGATAATGAGTCGTGTGTTGGTGTGTGTGTCGTGTGCTCATGCGGCCTTTTTACGACATTCTCATCTAGTGTCCGTCGTATGCTCCCGTGGGACATGTCTTCGTAGTGGAACAAACGGATCGTGCCCAACATATAAAAAAGAATCTCCGTCCTGTCTTCATGCTGAGTATGTACAACAATGGTTGGAGCCGGAGATGTCTCACATGATATTGGTTGAGGTGTTTTCACAACATGGAGATACGTAGAGCCATTCACTATTCTAATACACTGAGAGCTTACTGGTGATAGTATTCTTTGAGGCTTACCTCGTCGACTGAGGGACGTCCTTTCTGTCGTGTGAAAAGAAAAACAGGCATTAGACTGAGCATTATTGAACACAGTGCAGTGTAAGAGTAAGCAATATTTAGCAATCGATTTAAATTGTGTTGTCTTGATACACGATTGCGCGATTTAAAGAAATACAGGTTCACTCAATAACACAATAAAGGCACACGGAGAACGAAACTTCGGGAACTCAAGGTGTAACGAATGCACGCACACATGCACGAAATAATTATTTAAGAGAGAAAGGGGAGTATAATAAATAATTTGTACAAATTTATGAATAATATGTGGGAAAAATAAAAGTGATATGACAATAATCGAACTGAAAGAACATAAATTCAACAAGTAGTGCAGCTAACGTCAACAGCCAGCCACTAATTGAAACAGAATGCAAACGCAATAAACAAGAGCATCGCTGAAACTGAGAGAGCACATAACTGAAGAGAAGCTGTCACGGGGGTAGGCCGGACGGACGAAAGAGGCGCCACTCGACGGAGGCCGGCGGGGGCCGCGTTACCCGCCAGTCACCCGGTGTGTGTGTGCGTGTGTGTGATGAGTTCAGAGCTGTGACCTCCTCTGGTCCGCTCGTTTAGTCCATCATCCGGCGCGGTCAGGCAGTTTATCGTCACCAACACCACCGGCTACGCCTGTTACCTTCTTCCCACCATCGCGTGACTTCTGGCGCGAGCCATCGGTGCCATTTCTCGGCTCTTTTTCCTCCTCTGCTTTGAGACTCATCCACCAGGGCTCCTCTTCGTCCATATCGTCGCCGGCGGTCCACTGGAACTGGTGCGGCTTCCGGTACTCCTCCAGCAGCTGTTCCAGCGGCTCGATCGAGACGGGTGTGTCCCAGTCGGCCCGCTCCATCGTGTGTTGCTCCGGCTCGTCGTCCTCGATACTGACCGTCACCTCGGGGGCGGTCGGAGCGCTCCGAGCGTCATCGGCGGGCCCCTGAGTCGGCGCCGCCCCCGTCAGACCGAGGCCACAGCCGCCGGGGGACCCGGAGGGTGGGACTTCCCAACAGTGTGTATAGAACTCATCGGTATGGTTGGATTTGAATGAAGGGGCGGGTGTAGTTATATGGTAGCTTCGGTAGCCGTGATATTAATATAGTTGAATAATAGGTATATGGTTATAAATGAAATGCGCCTTTTTACTATTTAACTTTTGTCTGCTTGCTTTTGAAAATTTATTTCATAATGTGTTACCAGCCTTCATTGGGCTACAGCTTAGTGCTTTGAAAATTAAGCACCGCTGTGCTAAAAAGCTAATGATTATTGAAACCGCGCATGTATCGCGTTATTGAAATTCACTGGAATGATTTAACCATTCCGTATCTACTGGAAGGCTTCTAAAGAAAATATGTTTCGCAAAAATTGTGTGTTTATCAACGTCAAATTATTTAATCGAGTCTTTTGGTTTGCGTTAATTTACTGTGTAAAACAAACTACGCCTACACGAACTGAAATAGCTACGGAAGTACTGATGTAACTACTGAACCGAAATAAAGCAATGAAATAATAAACTGAAAGATACTAATATGTGCCATGGTGTGCCGGCTGTGTCTGCTGTAGATCACAGTTCCGTATATTCGACGTCGTTGTATTGCCGATTTGTTGCTAGTTTGAAAACGGCCGTGGGAAAATGTGGGTTTACCGTGTCAGAGTGGAGAATGTCGTGTCGTCTTCTCGCCGATCCGTATCGTTTCAGCTGTCACGCTATTTACACGGAGTCTTCGCGGTCTTCCGTTTAGCGCCCGACCTTTCTGGCGTGGCGTATGGGGCCGGTCGCGGCGCAAACCAACACGGACAGAGACAAACCATAGAACCAGAGCGGACTCGACACAAGCCTGACACGTATGTACAGCGCCGGCGCCGGCCACGCGGCCCGACCGTTACCTGAATGCTCGCGCGCGGTTTCGGCGAGGCAGCGCCATCAGTTCCCTGGAGAGAGAGCACGGGTTATAAGTCAGCCCTGCGGCGGCCGGGCGGGCGGGCAGGCAGTGCAGAGTGCAGCAGTGCAGTGCAGTGCAGCGCGACGTGCGGCGGCGCGGAGCAGACGTGCGGTGACGCGGCGCGGCCGGCCGGCCACCCTGTGCCATACCCAGCAGTGCAACACGTCCTCGTGGATGGAGCTGCGCCGGCGACCGGTCGGGCGCGGGATCGGCTCGACCGGGCGCAGCTTCAGGTGCGAGAAGTCCTCCTCCTCCTTGGGGATGGGCATCGGCCGCCCGGTGATCTCCTCTCGCGAGAGGCGCCGGCCGGACCGCTGGACGGGAACAGCGCGCGCACGGTGAGAGCAGCGCGCGGCTGGCAGCGACCGCGAGCACCGCCGCAAAGGGGACACAGAAGCCACAGAGCCCCGAGGTACGACAGAGGGCACATGCAGGGCACTATCTGCCACGACGGAGGTACCAGAGAGCACAGACAGACGCGCCGAGCTACAGGGACGGGTGGGACGGATCCACTGTCTTTAGAACCCAATCGTAAAGCCAGTGTTAGGTGTAAGCGAATCAGGTAACACAAACCGGTCTGTACTATTTGCTGTTGAAAAGATGTGTGTAAGACCTGAGCGTAAATGATAATTTAAAACAGAAGTATGTGATTGTCAATGTGCTGTTTCGGTGTGAATTTGGGTGTTTATAGTAAAGAGACATGGGCCACGGGTGGTCATTACGATGAAATATTTTGACACGCCTATGAAGTAGGTACGTTAGTACTAAATAATGTTTCAGAGTATAGTATGATTTAAACAATGTTATAGTGGATATTTTATATAATGTCATGTCTTCACGTATGCTATTCTTATGAAATGTATGCTTATTGCATGCTTGTGCGGTGTTTAAAACACCATTGTTTATGTTTGGGAAATGGGAGGTGTGTGACATTTTGAACATGTTTGTCATACCATGGCATGGAAATTCGCAAATACACTTCACCCCACATGCATTCGACTGAGCTGCAAATACGAAGCAGAGACGCAACTACTACACATACTAACAATTATACAATTAGTCAATGGAGACGAGATGGCGGTATCGCTGTAACACGCGAGGACTCACTCTATCCTCGATAAGCGGGTATCAGAGTGTGGAAATGTTTATATACACAGAGCCCGGTTCAGGGGTACACCGAGCCGCTAGGGACAGCGCTAACCGCCGACACGGGGCAGGTCACGTACCGGCTTCGGCTCGTCCTCTGGCCTGAGCAGGTCGTCCTGAAACGGTGACGGCTTCCGTCAGTATCCGTTGTCGGAGTCAAATGTCAGCGAAAGTCTCACCTTGAGGAGACATTATATTCATAATGAGGTAAATTTAGTGACTAACGATACAATGATGAGCAAAACGTCAAACGGAAAGCGTAAGTCATTTGTAAATAAGATGATCGTTACTCTCGGTTGCATAAAATAAAAATAAAATAGGTACCGAATTACAACGTACATACATTCATTTTAATCAAGAGGTATTTAAAGACGCAACATTACGATACACCTATGGAGCAAAAAAAAAATATCCATAATGTTTAAAATTGCCTGAGCAAGTACCTAATCTATGTTTTAGCTCCTATAAAGTTTTTTCATCTGGCTGGCTCCCTCCTTTAATGTGGTACGCTCCGGTCTCGGAATTGGAATTAAAATCCATTAACGCATGATTCTACATTCGTTCGTTTCTTATTAAACCATACGTTCTCCTATCGCGGTGATAAAGGGTCCAGGACAGATCGTTTCGCACAGATCGTTTCGCGTGCTCTTTCGATAGTTACCGGCTCGTGGAGAACAGGCTCCTCGATCTTGGGCGTCTCCCATCTGGAGTGGTGGTGTTTTGACTTCTGTACAGAGACACGGTGATCGTTACAGTAACTACCGAGACGGACCACAACCGGGGCATGCCAGCGAACTACCCAGCACACGCCAGTAACGAAATCTATACGGAAAAACACAGTGTAGATGTATGTGTGTAAAACATTGATATGTGTGTGAGTTGTCATGCTGTATGTCATATGCGAGTTATGATGATGGGAAAGTTAGGCAAGCAAGCGGACACAGCGTCACATGCAGTTGGGACCAGAGGTTTATTAAAGGTAATTGTACTGGAGACAAGGTGTCGGATTCACGATGAATCTTTTAATGCCGTTTAATCAAAGTAGGGGGACTGTCGATGACTTCCAAGGCAAAATAAAAAGTTTTGTGTTCAGTTGTTACAGGTTAATACCATCAAAAGATCATATGCAGTATGCCAACGTCCACAAAAAGACAAAAAAGTTCGGTTTCAGAACAACGCAATATATACAGCGAAAACACATGTGAGCTATTAGTGCAAAGAAGTAGGCAAATCGTGAAAAAGTAACCTGGTTTCGCCTGCGGAAGAACGGCTTGATCCAGAAAGGACAATGGGGATCGATAAATCCCACTGAACACAAAAATACGCTTTTTCGCATAATTTCGCAAACAGTTCGGGAATTGCTTGCACCCCGTCCGTTCGGGAGGGTTTAGGGGTTGTTGGAAAATAAAAGTACATAAAAATACATTAAATAAAAACGAGGTGATGTGGTTAAGAAGTTTATGGGAAGATTGATTTTAAATTGTTTTCATGGTGCGTAAAGGAAACAAGGAAAACTGAGCACAGTTGCCAAAATAGCGAAACAGCAAACGTAATGCTTGAGCGGGATGCACAGAATGACAGAATGATGAAGCGACTGTTAAACAAAGAGTAGCGTATGGTGTAATGTCATATTGTACGAGTATCAACATGCGTGACTACCGACATGAGTGTATACCGTTTGCGATCGACAGTGTACACGGATGGCACGCCGTGCTGCTCTGATGAGGTACGGCTCTCGCGAGATTAAGCGGTAGGTTTTGCACTTTTACATTTCCGGTTATATCTCAGAAACTAATCGATCTACGATGAAGCCATTTTACACGATCATGGCCGGCTTGTGAACCAACAAGTCGATCGCATCTTCAACACTTTAAAGCTTAAGACGACGAAGATATGGCCTGACGTACACTTAATTTTCTAGGTGCAAAACCTACCGCTAAAACTCGCGAGACCTGACGCTACATCCTCTATCGACACTGTAGTGTTTGGGCGTCTCGGTCCAGGGACCGCGTGCCGCCCGGCCGTGCCGAGTACCCCGCGGGCGGGGAGGGTGGGATCTCACCTCGGGGCCGTCCGTTTTCTTCAGTTTCACCATGGCGTCCTCCTCCTTCTTCTTTTCGGGAGCGGCTTTCTGTCAGCACAGCAGGGTGTCAGACAAAGAACTGGATAAAAATCGACGGCAAAATAACGCATGCTGGACAATGTAGCGTTGAAGTTGTGCAATATGTTGTATATATGTAGGTACTCGCAATGTTGATTTCATATCGAAATGTCATTGGACATGCAATGTTGGAAAAGCGTGAAGTTGCTTCTGTTGAAAAGTGAAGAATGAGAACCAGCTCAGATTCAGAATATGTCTTAGCGATGAGCATCGGCATAGGGGCCACGTTTTATGGTACACAGCAGGAAAACGCACAGGTTATTGTTCGTTGTAGCATTGTTGTAGGTATCAGGCAAATGAAAATAATAAGAAGCAGAGCGTAATTAAGCATTATTGGTGGGCATGCGAACATAATGAATGTTTTTCATGTTATATGTCATCGAGTCATAAACATAAATAGCAGCAATTAACATAATGAAACGACCAAATCCATATTTCCACACTTGACCAACATAAGCTGTAACCTGCCACGATTTTAGTCACATGGCGAAGGCTTAGTCATCAACATAATGTTCTTTGGCCTGATTATAGTAGGAGTCTAACACCCAGTTAAATTCATTTATATCTAATCACTTATGAGTCATATGGTTCACAAGTCATATGGGGGGAGGGGGGGGGGAGTCCACCGAATGGTCACAGCATGCAGACATCTCGGGCATGCACACACAAATGTGAGTGTGACAAAGTACCTTTTCCTTTTTCCTGGCCATCAGCGCCGCCCGCTGCTCGGCTAAAATCTGTGCAGGTGTTTTGTTCTCTACGGCTACTGGTGCCGGCTAAAACGGATGCATGTGTGCAGAGTGAGAGGCATGCAATCAGATTACAGGAGAGAGTGTCCTTCTGACAGCAGGCCGCAGAATGAAGTCATCATAGGCTCGGTGTGGGCGGGCAGAGCATGTCGGAAAAATCGAGCTACTGTGTCAAATGCACACACAAAGACAGTGTGGTGGGCAATAGTTCATGTTGAAATGTCATAAAAGACGTACCCTTACTGCTTCACGCTTTAAAAGCAAAAACTGCATATATAACTTTCGGTTATCGTCAAGCTTGGCTTAAATATTTTCAGGAAAGGATTGGCTAATTATTGCTAAAGATTACTGTAAAATAAGTTACATTTCGTGGTGAACTGTCCTCTTGCATGACTCGGCTATCAAATAGGTTATCAATGTTGCACAGATCGCCAAGCTAGAAGCAGTGAGGGTAGGGGAGAGTGGGGTAAGATGCCCAGGGTGGGAAAGACGCCCCACCCCCTCTAGCGGGGAAACAAAGAATCGAACCTGGAAATTAATGTTCTTAGCGTAAAGCAGAAGCCTGCCTTGTTAACTGCACAAAAGCTCAGTTGGGTCACGGCTGGCTGGTGATTACATGTTTTTTATTTGCTGCTTTCAAAAAATATTTTGGCGTCAAAACATTGTAAATATCAAAAAAGGTAGATAATTTTTGCGTCCCTTGCTATAGTCGTGATACATTAACATGCGTGTACTGTGTCCCAAACAGTTTGTTTCAGGGTGTAGTTTTATGGCTAACAAATTGTGCTGATTTAATGTTACTTCGGTACTTTGGGGTAAGATGCCCCCTGTCCTGATGGGGAAAGACGCCCCCCTAAATCCGTAGGCTGTCCTTCAAGCAGCCCGTCAAATCATTTATTACATACTTGTGATGAGAGACAAAAGCCGATCTGGGACTATTGAGAGTCCGGTACGGTCGGGTGCTCCCCATGTCGGTCTCTCGGCCCACACAGCGACTTTTTGGGCGGCATCTGACTCTGAGAGCCCTCACGACGGCCTCTGTGGCCCAATTATTGGTTCTAGGGCCCCTCACGACATCCTTTGAGGGCTCCCACGTTGGCTCCACGGGCCGCGCTGGCATCTGAGGTCCCCACGATGGGCTCGAGGGTCCTCAAGCATCATGAAGACCTATAAGGGCCCACAGTGGTCTCCGAACGCCACCACGGAGGCTTGTTTGGCCACGCTGGACTATGATGGCCCTAACGATGACCTCTGAAGCCCCTTACGACTACTTTTGAGGGCCCTTACGATGACGTTTGATGTCTACTGCAGGCTCGAAGGGACTACTGATTCGTTCAGGCGATTCACGTGCCTATTTATGTCACTTTTAGTGCAGGGGGCATCTTACCCAGCGTCAGGGGGCGTCTTTTCCACCCTGTGGGGTAAGATGCCCCCTTTCACTTCTTCAGGAAAATGCTTAATAGCAAAAAAAGTTATCATATTTCAGGCACGAAAGTGTGATATTTTTGGAGAAAAATGATGTCGGCTTCCGTTGAAACTCCAAGTTTTGGCTTTCCGATCGTCATTTTCGAATAATATATGACATAGTCAAACCCTGGGCATCTTTCCCCACTCTCCCCTACGCATGAAGTTTACGACGCATGTATGCAAGCACAGTATGTACATACAATCCAGCTAGCTACTCGTATATTGTATATTTGAATTGTTTACGCATGAATACTGGTAGCATGTATGAATACTGTATAGATATGTGAAGCATGCATGTCATTGCAATATGTATGACAAATGTTTAAATAGTTAGCATTCCTCATGACATCGCGAAATACGTTTATCTACTGGATAAGTCCAACTGCGTTTATATACAGATCGCATTTTCTGTTTTGAAGTAAGCTGAATTGTGTAAAAACATAAGCGGTTTAAATGGGAATAACTACAAATGCAGATTACTTGCGAATGCGTTTTTTGTGGTAAAATCAAACCACTTCTACTTCATAAGTGGTTGTTTTCAGATGTAATTAACAAACATTACCAAAAAGAAGATAGCCTTATAATACGAAAGGAGCGTCGCCTATCATCGACAACATTACCCGCAGACCAAACCATTCTCAATTTTTCTTTATTAAAAGCTTACTTCAAGACAGATTGAACGGCATGGTGCTCGACAGTGAACAATGAACATTGTGATTCTCACCCTCTTTGGTTTCGGTTTCTGGGCGGGCGCGTCAGTCTTTCCAGTCTTGCCAGCCTTGGCGTCATCAGTCTAAATAAACAGAAGAAATGTCAGCTGGACATCACACTACATGGTGGCTACTGCTAGACAAGTCATAGCTGTTTAGAAAATTTTCACTGTAGGTACCAGACAACCAAAAATGTCGCGATTAATGTTTTGTTTTTATTGCAAATCTCTCGCTGCCAGAGAACCTTGTCGGAACAGCAAAAGGGGGCGCGATACCATTTGCCATTGGGAAATCCCGGAGACGGGAGAACTTTGCAAACACGGCAACATAATAACACTAGCAGTTGCTTGCGAGGAACATCGCAAGCAACTGCTAGTGTTACTGCTGGTTGAAGAAGCTACACATATTGGTCCTGAGTAAGGAGATGTTTTTGTCTGTTTGCTTTGGTAAGCACTAAGCCTATACCGCATTATAGGTCAATTTTGGGCAGCGATATAATATTGGAAGCCAGGATCATAAGTGAAGTGATATTCATTTGGTTGAAGTACACCTGGCAGTGGTCTATGACTTGACCGTTCATCAAATGAGCCTTACCTGCAGATGCTTACATATTTCATTTGCGTGAATACCTTTGCCAGTGTTCCTTTCAACAATGCTGAACAGACAAAGTGGGCAGCGACAATTGACAAAGGAATTCATGTATGTACCTGTGCGTGTAGTGCACAGATAATTCCACACTCACTGATAAATAACTGCTTATCAAAAGCCGTTGACGAAAGCATCATCACACACAGAAGAGCCCAAACATAAAATAGTGATAGTCCCACTCGAAGAAAGCATGGCACGGGTATAGCAGGTCAAAGGTTATGATGCAGGAAGGTGGTTTGGTGGTAACTCGGCCGCTGCCAGGTCAGGTCAGGTCAGGTCCCCGGTGTGGTAGGGTCGCGGCGGCGGCGGCGGGCGCGGCGGCCTGTAGCGCGCGGCGCAGAGGACGGCCGAGTACCTGTCCGTTGGCGTTCTGCTGCTGGAGCCAGGGCGGCGCGCCGCCGAGCAGCCGCAGCGGACTGGAGCGCTCACCGACGCCGCGACCGCGCCGCCGCCACGGCCCCGAGCCCGGCCGCCACTGCTGCTCCTCGGGGCACTCCTCGGCGGCCGGCGGCCTCTCCTGGGCGCGCGCCCGCCTCCCGGCAGCGCGCGCCTTTCGGTCGCGGCTGTCGGGCGCGCGCGGCCGGCCCCTGGCCTTCTGACCCTCAGTCCGCGCCGCCTTCCCCTCAGCGAGCGGCGCGGAGCGCAGTCCCCGGGCGGCGGCGTCGGGGGTGGCAAGCAGCTGTGCGAGCAACAAACCGCGAGTCAGCAACGACACACCAAGCGGCAGCCAGGGGACGAGCGCGCGCGGCACCACCGCCTAACAGCCTTCGCCGTCTACAAAAAGCGGGCGTGCTCCAGAGTCAAAATGTGCTGTGTGAGAGAGTGAAGAGAGAAAGATGACCGGCAAAAGTAAGGCCGTGCCAAAAATGAGACAAAGCCACCATGCTGTGTAGGGTGAGGTGGGGCGAAAGCTCATGGACAGCACGTAAATGTGGGGGTCGTTAGGTGCGTGATAGTTTGTTTACAGTGTGACGAGGACAACTGGTCTGTCTGTCTGTAAGTGCACCGGATCCGGGGACAGAATCACACCCCCAAAAGAAAAGAATGGTAACAGCACGCCTGTTTTTTCCGCCTGGATGGGGAGTTCACCTTTGAGACTGACATTTCCGAGACCCCATCTGTCGCATCAACACCTTCCGGCTCTTGAATTTTGGGTGTGATGCTAGGTTTCTAACAAAACGGGCAAAGCACGCGTCGGTCAGCTGGGGAAAGGCAAAAGCAGCACGGCGAAACAGGGTCGAGCACGCTTCCGCTGACGGCAAAAAGAAAATCACAAAAACGTACACATGAGACGAGTTTGCCACAAAATGGACGTGGGGATGCATTTAGACACTTGAATGGAAATGTAATATGTAGTCAAATGGCGTCGCTAACACAGTGAGACATGTATAATCAAAACAACACATTGTGCGAGCGAGCATACATGTTGGAAACATTGCGCAGCTATCATTCATTACACCGTAAAAACTAAAAACACGAGTCACTAGGCAAAAGCTACAGTTCTATCTTTGCTATTACTAGCATTCGTATCAAAGCGTTGCCAAAGGATTTTAATGCAATTTTAGATCAGTGAGCCAGCCCACAAAATAATTAATTTTATAGGATAGCATTGATTAAATCAGCATAATGATTACGCAGACTGCGTTTGACAAGGCGGCCTCGTACCTTAGTCTTGCCCGGCTGATCAGGCTTGTCCTGGACGGATTCCTTGGGAGTGCCGTTAACACCCGGTTTCTGGTTGGGCTGCATGCAGACCACACACAACAGCGTGAGAGTTGGAATCGAATGCAGCGTCGTATCTGGTGGCTACAGACACGCTAATCCGCATTCCCTATACATATAGCTCCTCTATCGGTTATTAACTGTGCTATCGATGATAAGAGCACAATCTGATCTAAGCTAAACATAGGACGTGGGCAGTGACCATTCCACACAACGAATTGGGGTACTTGAAACTGATCGCACTGGGTGGGTCCCGAGGGCGTGCGGGGTTAGAGTTCTCTGCCAGCGGACAAGGCATCGGTCCGCCAGTCCGACCCACTTTCGCTCCACATTTCTTCCTTATATTCCTTCGCGCATAGCGCAGACCCCGCCATCTGTTTCAGTTGTCTGCACAAAGTTTAATTGGGAACGAAGTAAACATCAGGCTGCGATGTTATTTGGGGAGAGTGTGGAATGTTTCCATGACCATAATAAGTTCACATACGAATAGCTGACCATTGGCCATCCAAAATGGACGATAAGTACGCATTAAAAAAGTTAGTCCGTTACTCGATTACGGTTAAATCAAAGACGTTGGACCTCACTTATAATACACGGTACGGTGTTATCAAGAGCCAGAACATCACCGCACCAATGATTTAGACACAACCACAGAGTATAGCGACATTCAATATATGGTACAGGACATTGTATGACGTTGCATGTAAAAATAACGTCTTCAATAAGCCACGCTTTAAAATAAATGAGAACGAATATGTACAGCGTCACATCCAGAAGAGTGACGCCACTGAATAGCGGACGACCTACTACTGATTATGTACAAGCTTCCTAGTGGATTACCGACGGTATTGCAGTGCGAGTATCGGTTAGAAATTGCGTTGTTTGTGTACGCTGCGTGCCGCAAACCAAAGACGACAAAGCTGCTCTCCTCACCGACACGGCTCGCGGAGATGGACCGGATTCCTCCCCACTCTCCTCTGCATAGTCCTCCGGGGACCCGCGCGTCGGTTCCGGGGACTTCTTTCTTGATGGCTTCTTGGTGTCGAGGGCGTTACCGGACTCAGGAGACTTCGAGTCGGGTGCCGGTGCCCGTTTACCCTTCGGTGTCTTGGTGTCTTTAGAGGGCTGTTGGTCATCTTTGCCAGGCTTGTCCTTGGGGTGATGGTCCTTTTCCTCCGGCAAGTTTGCGTCCGGACCCTTCTTACCGTGTGGTGTTTTCTTATCGTCTGGCTTCTTAGAGTCTACGTCTTTGCCCTTTGGTTTAGCGGTCTTGATGTCACTCTCATCAGAAGAAACGTCTTCTGGTTTCTTTACAGTTTCGCCTACTTTTGTTTTCTTTTCTGCGGCTTGTTTTTGATCGATTGTTTTCTGTTCTTCTCCTTTCGGCTTGCCCTCTTCAGGTTTGGATGTTGATTTTGGAGACTGCCCAACAGCAAATCCGCATAATTAAATCAAGATGCCTAATGTTTGTTTTCTGGTAGGTATGCTACAAGAGTGAATGTAACTGAACATGACTACAATGAACATAATGACGTCGTTCAAACATTGGTCATGCGGCACAACTACATATTCCACCGCCCGATCTACCGTGAAGTTCGACGGATGTTTATTTTACTATCAACCATGCAGGACATGCTGACCCGGGACGGGCAATGGAACTAGTGATGTCAATTACGGAAAATCGGAATACCGATACCAAAGCAAATACCAAACCTCTTATACATTAGTGTGGGCTTATGATACCAACAAAATACCAAATACAATACGATTGAAATACCAAATACCAAGTTGGTATCGGTTTGGTATCGGTATACCAAAAAGTTGGTATCCGATTGACGTCTCTAAATGGAACCCTGACGGCTGACACACATCTTTCATGTTAAAGGATATCGAGGATATCGATCACACATCCCCTATTTAGGATATCAAGGAGGGGTTGCCACAATGCGACACAATTTTATTCATGAAACATAGCTATCTGAGCCAGACAATGCATCTGTCGCCCCGTCCGTACCGGAGTGGGTAGAGCGTCCGAAATAATATGTTAAGGATGAACTTTAGTAAGTATCTATGACGAAACTCACCTTCTCTTCCACTATCTCCACCTTCGACTCTTTTCTCTCTTCTTTCTTTTCTTCCTTCTTCTCTACTTTTTCTTCTTTTGTTTCTTCCTTCTCTTTTTTCTTTGGCTTCATTTTGTCCTCGTCAAGCTCCTGTGAATTGTGCGGAAAATGTGCAATACATATTTGAGGCATATCCAAATGATTGTCAAGCACGATGCTCGTTTCCGTGTTCAACTTATAGGCGTAACTGATTATAACCAGCTAACAATGACGGATGACATGAGTTATTAATAATATTTTGTGTCAATGACGTCACGATAATATGTTTTGTCTCATTAAAGCAATAGCGAATCATCCAATAGCTACTAAAATCAACCGATTCTAAAAGAAATTCTGCAAATTATGCACAAATAAATAGTACTTACGAGCTTCTCCATCTTCTTTTTCTCTGAAAACAAAAATAAGCCCATTACACAATGAGTTGACAAACTAGGGTTTGCATTCAAAGTGAAAACACTTGTCATCGGATTGGAAACGATTGATGAAAATAATTTATGAGACACTGGACATTAAAAAAAAAAACAAACAAAAAGGTTACGATTGTTTTCAACAAGAGTATCCCTAAGAAATCGCCGAACTAAATGCTCAATGCGGCCTACGTGGTCCCGACTCGCCTAATCGTCGTACAACGACCTACCGTTGACGGTGAGCTGACACGAGGTCTCGGACGAGCCGAAGTCGTTCCGTACCACCAGTTTGTACACACCGGATGCCGACTGTTTCACAGAGGACAGCGACATCCGGATGTTCTGGCCGTCGAAACTCGTAAACACATCGGGAGTCTCGCGGAGAATGGCGTTGTTTCTGGAAGTGAGCACGTCTTTCAATTGTAAAAGAAATTCGTTTTCTTAACTGAAAATGCGGACTTCGCGATACTCGAAAATAAAGAGAAGCGATCAAAATGAGAGGCAAAACAAAATAGAATGAAGATGTTCCTGAACTAAAAAAGAAAGCGGAATTTAAGAGGTGGAGTCCTATTCCATTGTTCCATTCCATAAAAAGTGGTCTTATTCTTTTGCGATACAGTTATGCGATATGGGGCTAGGTGTATATCCAAACTTAAACGCAAGCCCATGGTAACCGTCGAACAACACCCTGACAAAACGCACTCCCTGTCTCTGGCTGCCATCAGCGTCTGCTTTCCCTCACTCACTTGTACCAGATGCACATGGTGTTGTTGTCGGGTTTGACGAGCCGACAGGAGAAGTCGGCCGAGCCGCCCTCCTCGACCGTCATCGGAGACAGCTGCGAGGCCAGCCGCGGCGCCTCGCCCTTGGGCTTCTCCTTCTCAAATACCTCTGTGACGGTGACTGCCTGCGACTTCACCTCGCCCTTCTCGTTTTTGGCCACCAGCTGGTACTGGCCGCGGTCGCTCTCCGTGGCTTCCTCGATCTCCAGTTTCACCGCGTACTCGCCCTGTGAGACGTCGACACGGACTTCAGATGATTGAGAGGGACAATGACGAGTGGCGTGAGGATGGTGACTAGTGAGTTCGACAGGCTTTCAATTGGATTACGCACAGACTTCTCTCTCTATATATAGAGAAGTCTGTGGATTACGTAATGACACACACTGTGTAGGCATCATAATCCTGGTCAATGCTAGTTCCTCGAGGTAACAAAATTGCATAACATAAATTCGACCGCCAAATTAAAACAAAGCGGCCACGTGATTATCTAAGAAGTAAGAAATGAATGCAACCAATTGGTTATTTGGCCAGCCTGTTCCCGTCAGCAATTGCAACAATTACTAGTGAACGTTTCCTTTGCAGTCCGCCAGTAAATGAAAAGACCCATATAGGCAGTCTTAGATCCGAAATCATTCACCTGTGGAACCTGCTGGGTGACCTCTGTCCCTCACCTGGGAGACCTGCTGGAGGACCTCTGTCCCTCACCTGTGAGACCTGCTGGAGGACCTCTGTCCCTCACCTGTGAGACCTGCTGGAGGACCTCTGTCCCTCACCTGTGAGACCTGCTGCATGGCCTCTATTCACCTGTGAGACCTGCTGGAGGACCTCTGTCCCTCACCTGTGAGACCTGCTGGATGACCACGTTGTGGCGGCTGTCCATGGCCACCTGGCGCTGCTCGTGCAGCCAACGCACGTTCGGCTCGTTGACGCACGTGATGCGCGTCTCGATGACGACCACACGCCGCTCGCGCACCACCACGACGCGCGGCTGCTGACGCACCTCGGGCACCACTGGGTGACGGAGAGAAGGGTATCACCGTATTCACTATTCACCACTGAATGACGGAGCGTATCAATGAAAAACGTACCCCTGGCACTTAGCAGGAATCTGCAGAAAGGTGCATTATTTGGGGCCGATGTAGTATACCAATGCTGAGTGTCGAAAAAAATCTGAGAAAGCACAGGAAAATAAGTTTATCTTGAATTTTGAGATTATCAAGTTATATGTATGGCAACATAAGTACTCGTATGGAATATGACAAAAAATAAGAGGACAAAGGCGTCCGCAGTGCCTTACATCATACCTCAGCCATAAGCCCAACCCAAGCCACTTTGACCCACGGCGCCACAATATTGTCCCTCTCCACATCCCACTCTCGGGCTGGGATGTCTGCCAAACCGCGACGGAATCGTCACCGCGGGACGACCGGATGGCCTCCCGACAGAACTCTGGGGCTGACGCAACCCAGCCAGAACTGAACCGGGGACGAGTGCCATCCGCGACGAGCAGAGTCAATAAACCAGGCCAGTTCCAGACAGGACCATGAACGTTCAGTGCTAACTCATCTTATGATGCTTCGGAGTTGAAAGAGGGTGATAAATGGAAGCATTTGATTGGTGGGCTAAGTTTGATGGCAGTTTCATGATTTGATGATGGGTTGGTGGTGTGATCTTACCTTCAATGTTGAGCGTGAGATTGGCGTTAATGTCGCCAGCCTCGTTCTTGATATTGCACTTGTACAGACCAGCATCCTCCGGACGCGGTTCCTGGAAATTGGTCGCTCGTCATAAACTGCAGACTGTCACTTTAAACCACTTTGAGTCATCAACTATGGCATACTGCTTTACGAATGAGGCTTGCTATTTGAGCGCGTTGTTTGTCAAGCCGAAATACTGATCAAACTCGCGTAGTTTCCAAGGGATATAAGGAACGAAACCCACGGAGGAAATCAGTGCTTGAAAGTGTTAGATTCTAATGACTAAAGTTGAGCTACCATGCACGTGCAAAATGTAGCGCTACGACCATCCACTTGTTCACCTCTCCCCCACCCCTACCGACCACTGTCTGCCAGCCGCCAGACACCACGGTCACCAATACCATCCCGTCACCATCGTCACCATTACGACCCGAGTCAGCAGCGGCGACACAGCTCCTCACTCAGCACCGTACCCGGATGCGCAGCTGCAGCGTGTGGATGCCGGCCCGCTCCGTCTGCGAGATGACCACCCGGCTGTCGGCGATCACCGGCCGGCCGTGCCACCAGGCCGCGCTGACAGCGCCCTCCGAGCGCACCCGCACCTCCATCACCACCGAACGGTCCGCCTCCGAGCGGATCACCGGAGCGCCCACAAACGACGGCGGCAGCACCTTCGGCTTCGGCTTCTCCTCCGTCTTCTCCTTCTTCTCTTTCTTCTCTTTCTTGTCCGTTTCGTCGTGTTTCTCCTCCTCTGGCTCGGCCAGGTTCAGAGCGAGAGAGGCGTGCGTGGCACCGTGCTCGTTTTTGACGTCACACCGGTACGAGCCACCGTCGGCAGCCTTCGGCTCCTGGTGACGTCATTCATGACGTCATAATCCCGTCACAGATGACGCCACAATAGGGACATGCGGACCATCTACGTAAATGTACTGGCAATCATGCGGACGTGTACGCTATCAAAAATACCAAACGACTAACGACAACAGACTAGACCAAATATTGTGTCAGAATGTATTACGTGCTATAAAAAATATCACGGACAAGACACTTATAGACGTAAGCTGAGAAAGATGTGAAGTTCTTGAACAATGCATAGAGACTGTGTAAAGATACCATGCATACGATCACAAAGACTGGAATGACGGTGTTATGTCTGAAATGCCGTTGGTAGCGGAAAGTGTGCTGGATTCTTTGAATAAAAATGCAGCTCTCCCAGAAAAAAATGTACCACGGAATGGACACTTTCCGGTCACCAACGGCTTCATCATCTACCCATCTCTCGATCATATTCCGCAAGATCTCAACGTTCACCCATCCCCAGACGTCCTCCATCAGTCCACCCACCTTCAGTTCCAGGACGATCTCATACTCGTCATCCTTGACAGCCGTCACACGCATGCTGATGCGACTAGAGACGCGCACTGTCTCTGTGCCGCGGCTCCAGGCAACTTCTGGCTTTGAGGAGGAGCGAACACGGCACTTCATCGTGACCAGAGAGCCCGTGGCATTAGCAATGATCTGGGGTTTCTCGGTGAAAGACGGCGCCTTGCCGGACGGGGCCTTCTCCTCTTCCGGCGCTGTGACGGAGAAGAAGAAAGGTCAGAGGTGGAACGAGGCGAAAGTCGCTTAGTTCGACATATAAGTCGCAACGTTCTTTCGTAATGGTTTCCGGCTAATGCAGAACTGTGAACTGAATATCAATGTGGGGTATTGATGATAATATAAGGCAAGCACTATGTAATTTTATCAGGACGTAAAGCAGATGTTCTATCCCATAGCTCGGATCTCACTGAGGGCCATGAAGCTAAGCCATTATCGCTAGCCTTGCCCCTGACTCACCCTGGAAGTTGAGCGCGATGTTGGCGTTGCTCTCGCCGAACGAGTTGCGCGCGTTGCAGCGGTAGTTGCCGCCGTCCTCGTGAGTCGGAGACGCCACCGTCAGGGTCAGCAGGTAGGTGTTCTTGGCCGTCTCCTTGCTGGCTATCCTCAGCCGTGGCGAGGCGGTAATGGCCTGGGTGCCGTGGTACCAGGTGATCTCCGACATGGGGTTGGATTCCATCACACACGACATCACCAGGTCGTCGCCGTGCTGGCGGATCGTCGGCTTCTTGGGGAACCGAGGCGGAAAGCCGCCCGCGGACGAGCTGGGGACAGACACATGAGGGGTGTTATTTTCAAGAAATGAAGCAGTTAACGGTCGTAAAAGTAACAAAATGAATGAATGAATTTAACTAAAACCAACAAAGAACAAAACATCAACAATTTACATGGACAACGAAACAGTGACGCACTGTGCAACACCAAAATATAAGATAGCCAACAGTGACGAGATTTAGATGGGACACCTAGATATATGTACAGCCCTCTGCAAACTGCGTGGTAGGTATTCTTTTTTCGACAAAAACGAGCATAACGCGAATACTATGCTATTGGTCATTCGGAAATCGTGACAGCAAGACGCGCGAGACTCCGCACCTTAAATTGACATCATCGCAGTATTCATTTTCCATCTAGTTCGGCAACAAAACCCAAAAGTTTATATTTGCCCCCAAAACAAACTTTTGCATTTTGTTGCCACACAAGGCGTTTACCTTGTTAAGTGATAGACCTAATCGAAGGAGTGGAGCATGGCGCATCTATTTGCAGTGAGTTCTGACCGACTGATAGCATAGCCTTTGAGTTATTATCGGTTTTGTCGAATAAAGAATACCTACCACGCAGTCTGCTGAGGGCTGTACACCAGGCATTGAATCACACCAAACGGCACCATCACTGCCGGAAAATCGTACCTGTTTTCCTCCTCCTCCTCTCCACCAGCGATGTTCAGGTTGATACTGGCTGTGCTCTCCCCGCTCTTGTTCTTCGCCACAGCCTTGTAGATGCCGCCGTCCGACGCCTGAACGTTCATTATTTGCAGCGACGCCTTGTAGTTCATTTTGGAAACTTCTACAATGCTCATTTTATACCGGCTAGATTCTGTTACTACTGTGGTTCCATTGAACCTGTGGAGAGAATACATTCAGTATCACCTGTTGGTATCAATAATCGGTGGTGATTTTTGTCCAAGGTTACTTTAGATAAAACGGGAAGTCATTCATCAATTGGAGGGTCACATGTCATTCATTGGGTCATGGAGGGTCACATGTCATTTACCAGATCAGGCGGGTCCAATAGGTATCAATCAACAGAGCACAGGGGTCACGCACGGGAGTTCACCCACCAGGTCACAAGGTCAGAAGGGGTTTGTCACCAAGTCAGGGAGTTCAGAGGGTCACAGATCACTCACCAGGTCACGGAGGGTCACAGGTCACTCACCAGGTCAGAGAGGTCACACGCCACTCACCAGGTCAGAGAGGTCACACGCCACTCACCAGGTCATGAAGGGTCACCGGAGGTCACTCACCAGGTCATGACGGGCTGTGGAAGGTCACCACTCACCAGGTCATGGCGGGCTGCGGATCGCCGCTCAGTCGCACCTCGAAGGTCACCGAGGAGCCGTCGGGCGCCTGCTTGATGACCGGTCGTCCGGTGAACGAGGGCCGGCCAGGGTCGGCCGGCGCCTCCGGCTCCTCAGCTGCGGAGCGGGAAACAGAGAGGGATGTTCATGGCGATGGACATGGTGATGCGAGTACAGTCACGTAGAATGGTGAGCACTGAGCAAATAACAGAGGTCTCGAGTCTCGACCTTGGACAATGTCACGGCGACACATAAAACCCCGAGACACCGTCAAACAATGGAAATTATGAGATACTCTCATATCAAGGACATCACCTCAAAACGAAGGCGTTACTAAGAAGAGAAACGGCCAGAATGGAGGAAGGAAGGTCCACACTCCACACACAGTTCGGCGCAAGTTTTCACGGTCTGCATATTGTGTTTCATCAGTCCCCCCCCCCCCCCCCCCAGTTACCAGGGCAGCTCGATCACGGGCGAGCGTTGCGGAACAGCATCAAATTCAGGCGCAACATCAGCAGAACCACCTGCTGGCTGCATTTGAAACAATTAAGCACTGCGGCACAGTATCAACTTCAGGCGCAGTACTGGCAGCCATCTGTTGGTTAGTTTTGAAACAACCGAGCATTGCGGTACGGTATCCAATTCAGGCACAGTACTGGCAGATCCATCTGTTGGCTAGTTTTGAAACAACCGAGCACTGCGGCACAGTATCGAGTTCAGGCGCAGTACTGGCAGAGCCATCTGCTGACCAGTTTTGAAACAACAGCACTGCGGCACAGTATCGAGTTCAGGCGCAGTGCTGGCAGAGCCCTCTGTTGGCTGCTTTTGAAACATCTAAGCACTGCGGCACAGTATCGAGTTCAGGCGAAGTCCTGGCAGAGCCATCTGTTGACCAGTTTTGAAACAACTAAGCACAGCGGTACAGTATCAAATTCAGGCGCAGTGCTGGCAGAGCCATCTGTTGCTGAGTTTTACGGCAGTCGAGTTTTGCGGTGCAGTAGGTAGTTGTTCAGTCGCGTGGCTGACTGCGATCGGCTTTGTGACTTCGTCATCTATTGGTTGGTCGGCTTTGCAACTACAAGCGTGAAGCGTCACTATATGACATGCTGAACTGCGTGATAAATTGGTAGTCGCATCACAATGAATCACGCTTGTGTGCGATGTTTAGTTGATATCGTGGGTACGTAACTTCTTCAGGCATACCGGCTTGATGTGCTCATTTTGGTCGAAGGCTGTAAATGAAGAAAGTGCGCTGCTCCCAAGTCTTTTGGCGTGATGAGGAAGCATCCGTTGGCCCAGCAGTGCGCACTGGATATATCCATGTATCACACCTTCAAAGTCTTAACCAGCAGGTGTATTACTCTCCCTTACTCGTGTCTGCTCTTGCTGTGTTTTACCACACACATCTCCCCACTCCGTCTCGACTCCCCGGCGCCGCGCTGAAGTGACGCACCATCCAGCTGACCCCATTCAGTCGCCGCCGCCCCCGGCGGGCCGCCCCGCTCCGCCTGGAGCCGTGCCACCAGAGCCGACATTTGGCTCCGAGCGAGCCGTGACGACACAGCCAGCCGCGCCGGCCCAATATCGTCCGCCGACGAGCCGATCAGAAGTGGGCGAAACGGCCGTCCAAACGGGTGGCCTGCGCCGAACGGAGGCGCCCGCCACAGAACGGCCCGTGACGGTGAAGGCCGTGCTTTTTACACGGATGCCGAAGGGTGTTCGAACAGCCAACGAGACGTTCGCGGTTGTCAGGAAAAGAACACAGGTCGATTGACTCACGCTCGAAGCGCGGGTGGTGTCTTTAACAATGGATGGTGTGGTCTACAACTACACAAATTCATGGTTTCACATTAGACTTAATATGCTTGAGCTATTTGGCACCAAGAGTGCTTAAATAGGGCATCTGACTCGTAACATTTCCACCCACACAATCGATTCCTTGAAAGCACATCCAAACGAATCCAACTTGTTGGTCCGCCCACGCTCGCTCTGGGAGGAGCCAATGATTCCTCGTAGACCGTAGTTCTCGCCCCGAGCCAGCCGCGCCATGTCCGGTGCACAGCTCGTGCACACATTCCCCATAACGTCACGGGTCTTCGAACCCGGTGCTTCTGGGAACGGGTCGCCCCGTCGGAATGTTCTCCCGTGTGTGCCCACAGTTCACCCGCTGACCTTCAGGCGGCTGACTGCGGGCCGAAAATAGGCGGTCCGGGCCGCGCCGCCGGCAGCCACCCCATGGGGTCCCGGTAAATAAACAGCGTCCGGCGCGCCCGACCATAGAGACACACCGGCAGAGATGGGGTCGGGTCGGGAGAGACAGGAGGCGAGTGTTGAGACAGGGTAAGCCAGTGGAGGATAGGGGAAAAGGGTGCATGAGGATGGTGAGGGTTCAGACAGGGCCCGGTAGAGATGAACAGGGAGGTTGGACAGGTGGTGTGGTAGAAAGTCACGAAAGTCGGTGGGTGGGAAGAGGGCATTGGACCACGTTCGACACCCCTAGCAGACTGGTTGGCTGAATCATTCTTCCTCGGAATTCGGAGCTGGGAAAGGTCCGTGGTATCAGACGTGTGAACACCGTCTAGCACATACTTTGTACCCAGAAACGCCATAGCGCCAAAAAGCTCGCAGGAGTGGAGAACAGATGGGAGATGTGAAGGTGAAATTCTAACGCAGAAGCAAAGTTTAATGCACAAATGAGCCGTTTCTAATCTATGGAATTGCTTTCATTTTACGGATATGCTTATTGCTTGCACAAAACGCATTTTGACCTGCAAAACCAAACCGCAAGTCTCCTATTCTCCACTCCTGCGTGCACACTCCACACACAAACACAATTCACGGACCCAGCAGTCCCTGGACCTCGCCTGTCCGCACTGACCGTCAAAGTTGAGGCTGATGGCGGCGCTGCTCTCGCCGAGCTCGTTCTGCGCGGTGACCTTGTACTTGCCGGCGTCTTGGGCGGTCACGTCGCTGATCTCCAGGGTCGCCGTGTACGCGTTGCCGTCCTTCAGAACCGTCATCTGGCGGCGATGACAGCCGGTCGGGCGTCAGCGTCACGGCTGTGACAGGGGGTGACGGCGCCGCGGCCGAGCGCGCATACCCGGCCGGCCGCGGCGGTCAGCTCCATTACGGCCATTAGTGCGACCTGTCAGCCGCGTCGTTAGCCGTATGATGTCAACTGGGGTGGGCCAAATAGCGCGAGAGCGATACCAGAGTGACAACTAAAAACAAAATGAGAGCCCAGAACGGGTCTGCAATACTATCAGGGAATAAATTAAAGCTGAAAAAATCTCACAATATTCGGGAGGCATTTTATTCAGATAAGGTGTCACATGGACTAAATATTACCAGCTGGCATGACACTTTCCATAGAAACACCAATATCTAAATTTCCAGAATGATTTCTGAAAATTAAGGGCGATGCTGGTGGCGTGCCAAGTCTGTTACGTGGTTCGTACCCATCGAGTATCTACTGTCTGTCAACAACACTGCAGAAAGAGTGTCGGATTTCAATTTTCTATTGAAGTCACCTCTCATTTCAAATGCTAGCCCCGCCTCAGGTATGCAGTGAATCTATATCTCCTGCAGTTATCAGAATCCTGCGAGGTGCGGCGGCCGCGGTGCGCCGGCTGGCAGCGGTGGATGCCGACATCAGCTGGTCACCGGCCGGCCAAATGACCTCCTCGCTCAGAGCCCAGTGGCCGTCCCTAACCAGCCAGTCGGCCAGGAATGTCATTAGCAGGCCATTGAGGCCCGGCAGGCTGGCAGCGCGGCCGGAGGCACCCGCTCGGTCCCGCCCGCACCGCTCACAACTGTCACCCGACGGCAGCTAGAAACGGGGGCCGCTGCGATGGGACGTTCTCCGACAGCAATGGAGAAATCGGTAGACACTGTGCAGTGACTTATCCTTCAGGGTATGAGCACGAGCACGGAATATATAGTCTACGACATGGAATGGACAAAACGAATTTTTCCTGTAACTGCTGTGTTTTTGGCTACCTGGCAATTTGGGTGTGCTGCTGTGGTTTTGGCACTTCCGTGCTGATGGACGAGATGAGTTTTATCTAATTAAATTACTTATTGTTGAATAACGTTAGACGTTGTTTTCAGCATAGTACACATTACAAGAGTGAAAAGAAATAACCTCATGCTTAATCGAAATAAAAATTATTAATCCAAAAAATATTTTCGTGAATGTCACTTCGGTCGGTGACATTCACGACACGGAGGATGCGAAACACTTTGCTTAGCTTTCCCATCAATTCTGCATGTTAATCTACTGACGAAATGACATTCACGAGAATATGTTCTGGATTAACAATTTTCATTTCAATTTAATGAGCGTGAGGTTATTTTTTCACTCTCATAAATTAAATTACTATTATAAAACTCTAAAACTATGCATGGATGTATGTGAGTCTGTCTCTGTTGGCGGGTTGTTGCTCCGAAACTGTGCGAGTTGCGCCGGTGAAATTTTTAGACAAAGTCAAAAGTCTGCAAAAATTGTTTGTATTACAATTTGGAGCGCTCACGATGCTCCAAACGTGGCCGAAAGACTCATCACCGTCCGGCCGCCCGGTCCTCCCCAGCAGGTGGTAGCCAGCTGGTCAGGCTGCGCCGTCCCGGCTGACAGTGGCAATTCCGCCAGTGCGCTAGTTCGGCGTCTTCCCGTAGGCCTCCCGCGCATGACCGGCCGGACCTCCACCGCTCGACAATTGGGTACGGTAGGATAACACCTTAAGCTGCCCGCTGATGTCTGAGCAGTCGTCTGCCGTAGGTATGACCTATTAGTCACCGGTCCGGTGCTGCAGCTTTGCTAGTTTCTTCGTCGCCGCAGTCTTGGGGCGCTGAATCGTCTTGGTAGCTTTTCTTTTCACCAAGTTTTTGCACATGCGGTGCAGCTCCATACGCATGTATGTTGCCGCCATGATGCTTAGCACTGCAGGATGGCACATCTCCTGCGCTAGCTGCCGGGCCTCTTTTGTTTCCAGTGCACAGCTGACCAGCCGTTTGCAGATCTGTGCTTCGTGAAAAAAGTGTTCAGCTTGAGCTCGGAACTGTTGATGGCACGCTATAATAAATGCGTCGCAGTCTTCTGTAGGGCGCAGGAGGCTACCTACGTCGGTAGTACTGATGGATGTATACGACTGTAAGGCCGTAAATATCTCTGAATCAACCAGAGGCATCGCTTCCTGTTTGATCACTACTGCCCTGCACCTGTCGCAGCTGATGCGGGCAGTGCGAAGGAGGTAGCCACAGACGTAAGTTAATACGTTGCGGGTTTCCATTTCCACTGGTTAGTTCCCCGCTGCTCCGGACGGTGCGTTAGGGGACGGGCGCGGTGACGCTGTCACTGGCTGCTCGTTGGTTTCCATCGTCACCTGCCTCAAGACCGCGAGCAGCCTGTCTCCGTCGTCAGCGCAGTTTGAAGTTGCTGGTACCAACAGGAGGTCATTCAGGGACGCGTGCTTATACAGATGTCGAAAGTGGATAGGATCTGGGTTGTCCGTCCCCCCACCTCGCTGCCGCACGATGCCAAAAAAGTTTTCCAGCGCGTCTTGGTTCAGGTGGCGTGTGCACAAAAATGTGCATCCAGCGGCCTGACACAATTTCCATACTTCTTGAACCCCTTTAATCGTCTGTATCAGACCACGCACGGAATCGATGCTGGCGCCGTCTCCGACCGTCCACCGCCGAAGCCAAGCTTCGCCGTCTACGAGAATTTTGATGTGTTCTTCTGCTGTCACTGGGTGGATGCTCGAAATCGCACGACGCATAGAACAGGTGTTGAACCGGGTAGAAGAGTTCAGGACATCTAGCAGGTTGTTGAGGCGCAGCAGGAAAGTAGCAGTCGGGAGTGATGATCGCGGGAGTTTGTTGAAGGTTGCATACATAGTAATCGCTGCTGATACTGTTCTGCTCATAACTTGTACGGCGTAGCGATTAGCGAACCTTCATCTTCTCGAAGCTGTTGGGTCTGATATGTCGTTCAGTTAGTTTCGGTGCAGCCCGTGGAAAAGAAGCGGAGTCAACCTCAAATAGTGCTTCCAGATATCTCCACGAAGATAGCTCACCGTCAACTTCAATGTCGTGTTTCATGAGGGCGTTTCGAAGACATTTGAAAAGGTGCGGCACGTCATACAAAGCGATAATATTTCGCCCATCTACCGTGAAGACGCCGCTATCGGCAGCTCCGAGCAACCTGTAGGTGGACTGATTGTTCGTGCCCATGTCACACGTTGTTGCCAGCACCGTCAGTCCAGCCTCAGTCACACGACGGATGCACTGTACCAGCAGCTGCTGCTGCACGGTGGCTTTGGTGGTTCCAGCGCTCAGGAAGAATCCCAACGGCTGCTTCCAGCGTTTGGTGATGCCCCGCACCATCATAACCAGCGCATGGTCAGCACAGGCGTTCGAGCGGCCGAGGGGGCCGTGATCAGCGAAGCCCTCTATTATGTCGTCACTACGCTGGTAGGCGAGCCGAGCCTTCAGGTGAATTTCGTCGAAGGCAATGACGCACAGTTTGTCCTGGTCACTGCTGCCGGCGAACTTCTCCTTGATGAGGGCGAGGATGGCGTCGTGGAAGCCGGGTCGCATCTGGATCTTTTCCATTTTTCTGCGCAAAGTTCGGGGATGTGGGAGGACGTAGCGCTTTTGAAGAAACCGGTAGGACCTAGGACCTTGAAAATAGAGTGCAAGTGCACGGGTCTCTTCCTCTCCGGTGTACCGCCGCAAATCAGGTTTACCCGGACGTCGAGCCATGAGGTCAGGGAATGCTGGATGCGGGATTGCTCTCAGTAGTTCCTTGTTCTTCTCCTCCAGCATTTGCAGTTTTTCTTTTGGCGGTAGAAGCGAACCTTCCATTTTGTGGCCAGCTTTGGTTGACTCCTGGCAATCGCATCTGTGGAAGAGAATAAAAACTAGTCACGACGATTGTTATGTACAGTCAGTCGCAAATATACCCTTAGGTCACAACCGTTGTCAGAAGAACAATGCTGGTGCAAATTTCAAATGATTATCACTATTGAATGAATCATCATGGGCTATTTCAAATAGCATATTTTAATGCAAACTCGGGCTGAAAGTCTAAAAAATGTGCTGAAGGCGAGGGCCGGATGGGTAAAAGCAAAAAAAAAAAAAAAAACGATTGTCTGTTAACCCGCGCGTAACTGGGGGAGTAAATGAACCCCCTCGATAATTTTTGCAATAACTTAGGAAATACATATATCAGATGTGGACCTGCGACTTTCATTGCCTTATCCTGCATCAATTCTACGTCTTCTGACAACTACTTTCAAGAAAATGACTTTTTAATGACGGTATGTTACGTGATTTCTGGTGAAAAGCGGCCTCTGTGATCTTTTGTGACCCGTCCCTGACTTTGACCCTGCTCAAAATCACAATTTCAACTTTGCAATGGTTGAACAAATTCAAAATTAGTTGCAACTCAAAACTTTTTTGTTACAAGTATGGCCTTGGTCCATCATAACAAATGCTCCCGTTTTGACCCTTTAACTGCCCGTGATGTCATAGTTGAATTTTACAATACTTCTTAACGCCATAAGGGTATTTTTTATAAATTTAGCTCGAATGTTTGAATGGGCGGATTGACAGAGACGGAGCCCACGCTAAGCAGAGCTTGTTGCGTAGACCCCGATCCCTACCGTCCGATCCCGCAATATCGGGTAACGGGAGAATTTAGATGCCAAAGTTTCACGTGCCCTTCAAAGCCGGACACGGCCTGTCCCACTCAACTGACTTCAACTGGCTGCGGCTGCTCCCACCAACTGCAGACCATCCCAGTATGGAGTGTCAACTATCGAGCGCCGGAGCGACTCGAACCCGGGCTCTCATTACCGGGAGTTCAGCGCTCTACCAACTACGGGACAGGCTTAGTTGTCCAGTTGTAATCTAATTGAGAGCTTTTGATTGCCGCCTTCTGCGACTCTCTGCGACCAATGATTTTAAGATCAATAATGTTACGACCAATCGACCAATGGTTCCGAATCTAACGGCTTTCAAACTGCAGGGCATGCTTCGGCCCTGTCCCTTACCTACCAGTGAAATGCGCGCGATCTTGCTCGACAGCGTCAGCTGGTACCGCGGTCGCCGCATCGACGGGTCTGGCTGGCCCCTTCGTCGGTGTCGCGAAGGGAGGCTGGTGTGCCTGGACCGAACCTGACAAAGGCAAAACACGTGTCTGCATGTCGTAGACTATATATTCCGTGGTTATAGCTAAACCGACAAAACGATCGCCTCATGGAAACTTAACGATCGATAACAGTAGCAGTACAGGTATGCATATAGGTAGTAGGCATACCTAGTCCTTAACACGTCTCACCAAAAATCCATTAAAGTGGATTTAAGCCGCTGTTATGAAAGTTGGCGGTCATGGTTCACAAGAATGAAAGCTAGGCATTTCGTACGAATAGAAAAAAATGTCCTGGCTTCGCAGCAAACATCTTACCCGAAGCGAGGATGGCAGTGGCGGTGCTGGAGGTGGAAGTGGCAGGCGCGGCGCTGGGAGAGGCCGCAGTCCCATTCCGCAGCTTGTCACTGGTGCCAGCAGCGGCAGGGCACTGGGGCTCCTCCGGAGGTGGTGCGGCCACTCCAGCGTCCCAAATGGGAGACATCTCCACCGCCGGCTCGGTAGCAGTACCAGCAGCGGCGCCCTGCGGCCCTTCCAACAGTGCCGGGGCCACACAGGAGGCCGATGCCGGTGCCGTCTGCACCCCGGACCGTTCGTTGGCGATGGCGGCGACGGCGACAGCAGCTAGCATCTCCAGCGGCGACAGATTAACGCCCGCCTCAGAGGCTGCCAATATGTCAGCAGCAGCCGTCGCTCTAAGCGGCGCTTGCGATTCGCAGTCTGCATTAAGGTTTTCTGGACGTCCAGGGCGGCCCACCCCGGCCACGGGCAGCCACGGATGTTTTCGTTGGCAGTGCCGTGCCGCATTAGCTGCGCTAAACCACTCTTTACAAATTTTACAGTAACGCGTTTTAATTTTCATTCTAATTTTAGACCAATGTTAAAACGGTAATGCAACGAATATGTATGAATGCTGTAGTAACAATCTGTGCTAAACTTCCCAACAAAATATACGGTTACCATTTCAAAGTCACAGACCACAGTCACAACTTCATTTGGTCACGACGAAGATGAATCATTCAATCAACATTCAATGATGATTGTTAAGAAAATCTATATGAAAAATTTATATGAAAATTTATATGAAAATGTAAACCCACGTGGAAAAAAATTCATCCGCATCCTTCACTAATAGGGATATTCATCCGGCAAATCCTTGATTTTTGGTTACACACGTGGCAATGCTAATCGAAGCTCCTGTCCATTCCATGTCGTAGACTACATATTCCGTGGTATGAGACTGGTCATTAGTTTATTTGGAAAAATCGCTCCCCCTAAGGATCACTGCGATATTACCAAACTTCAGACGCATAAAAATGCAGATGCTAGTGCTGAGCCAGTCCGATTTTCTTACTGAAGACACTCATCAGAGTGAAAAATTGGGGTAAAATTGAGGGCTATGACTTTTTGCTATTAGGCATCCACTTGCCTCTGTAGTTTCCGAACACGTTTTTTTTTTACATTTCCAGCAAAACTGACTAAGCCAACAGACATCCCTCTCTCTCAACCGCCACGAGCCATGCCCGCGTCGTGTTGACAAATCTCACATTGCGGTCCCAATTGATGGCGTTCCCTGCATCCAAACACGAGTTCACAGCTCAGAAACTGATGATCAACGGCAAATAGCGAAGAGATGGATCGCCATAATCATTTCATCACCAACAGCCGAGCTAAATTATTCTTCACTCGTGCTGTCGACCATCCGCACTTGGGCCGAGCCACATGACCCTCTGCCCCACCCCACCCCGCGCCCTCCCCACCGCGACTCCGACCCAGAACGGGCGGACTGTCACCCACCACTGCCTCCAGACACGACCGTCCTATTGTTGGTATACACAAGTCACACCTGCCTGCCGCACCGCGACCCGGCCGGACATGCCAGACAGTGTTTGGAGCAGGGGCGAGTATAAATAGACGGCCCACCTGGCAATGGCATCTGGTTAACCCGACAGCTGAATGTAAACAAAACGGGTAGCTGTGTTCAAGGAGGGAATGCCTATCGGTATTTTGGCAGTTATTGCTTATTGCAAAAAGCAGCGATTGAAGTGTTGTTTGCCGGGTACATACATTGATGTCACTTGGATTATATGAATATGACTGGATCACATGTTTCCGCCTCAATTGGTCCGCTTATTACATTTATAATTTACACTTTTTGCAAGCAAGAGCGAAAGCTAGGCTATCCGAAGCACAACTTCTTTGTCATGACGCTGGGCCATTATGATGGGATGATGATGCTAGCGAGTACCGGTTTATACCGAAATGCTGTCAAGGACGAACTTGCAGTGAAATGATACGGCCTCCTAGCTTCGGGGCTAGGTTAGAAATAGAGAACCCGTGTTTGTCACGGCAGGTTAGACGACAGCATTCTGTGGTTTGTGGCAGCGATTGAATGTCGGAGACCGATTTTATCGGGCATTTGCATTTATATAATAGAAGGACAAAGGTAAACCGAAACTTCCCGGTTGAAGTTCATCACCGACAAATCTTGCACTAGGCCCTGCTGTACCTGCAGGCATGCGTCCGCTATTGAATGCTTGATTGCTGAGCACTCATTGTTTTGAAAATCGAAAAAAGAAACAAAACAAAATATCTGGTATCCAGAGCACCTAAAAATGAAAAATTTGAATAATACTAAAATTAACACAATAGCAGTTTTTCTTCTGTGAGCTCATCAGCCCGCACATCCTGTCGATGCTACCGCAAACACGAGTACCTACCTAAGCTAAACTGAAGTAGGTACGAGTATGTCACAACTCATATCTGACCAAAATTTAAAGTTTTTGACAGCTGGAATGAGGTCAAGGTCACGTCAAGAAAATCGGTTTTAACCCTCGCCCATGTAGGGGGGGGGGGGTTGGTGCAACCCCCCCCTAAGGTTTTCGGAAATAGTGCAAAAACGGCGGCGCGCAGCGCCGCCAAATTTTGGGTACCTTATGGGGCAAACCTTGCGCATCTTTTGATAAAAAAATTTGACCGGGTCATGTCAGGTCACGGAGTTATGACGTCACAAAGGGAACAGCCTCCGGCCGGATTTTCACAAACTGAGTGCCAACGCCCGAGGTTTCCTGCCGGTGGTACGGACATCGGTTGATGGATCGTGATGAAACTTCCCATGCATGTTGGGGCAAGTATTGGCTATCATATGGTATAAGAAACTTGACCGGGTCAGGTCAGGTCACGGAGCTATGACGTCACAAGAGGAACAGCGTCCGGTACTATTTTTGAAAAGCGCCCGAACCACTATTTTGCTAATTCTTGTCACCTCAATGGGAATATGCAGCAATATTAGCTTCTATAGGGAGCAAATGGACATCCCAAATCCAAAAATACAATCAGATTTCAAAAATTTAAATTTTGATTTTTCGAATTTCTGCCGCCGACTGTGACCTTGCCGACTTCCGGCGCTCCCAACGCGCCATTTTTAGAGCTAGGGAAACGAAATACATACCAAACGATAGAAAATTGATCAAGGAACACGATAGTGAAGGTTTCAAGTCGATATCTCCCACCGTTTTGCCGCAATCGCCGCGGAAAATTTGAAAAAGTCTATTTTTCCGAAAATTTGACCTTTGACCGGTCAAAAGTAGGTCAAATGTTGACCTAGGACCAAAAAATATACCACCAATCGCGAGATCTCGGCGAGAGCAATCCGTTGGTCTTTTCCGCTAAGCTCTACGACGCTCCGTTTTCAAACGCCAAGGGGGGGGGCGCACCAACCCCCCCCCCCCTGCATGGGCGAAGGTGGCAGATCGGCGTTTACGGGCGAGGGTTAAGAGCTCCTTTAACAAGGCACGAACTTGTTAAATCAAACATCGTTAACTATGTCAAATCAACGTCGTTCGCCATTCCCACTATCTGTCTTGCGATGACCAACATCGATGATTACAATCTACTGTTTTTGCTTCTCAATAAAACCGCCATATAGCCGGCATAGGCCGACACAGTTACATTGCTCTTGAGTAAGCATATACTATTACAAATCGAATGGCAGCAAGACGCCCTTCGGGCGCCGAAAGGGCAAATGCTATAATGGGCCCTGCACGTAAGCACGTGCAAATTGAGACCCTAACTTTACTGTGTGGGCCATCCTAAATGTTCTGTAGCGTTGTGCCAGTCTCACGGGCAGTCGGCTCACGGACGTTCCTGAGATGCAGAAACGTCCTCTCGGACATGCGCACGCGCAGCAAAAGCCAAACCATGATTGTGTGCCAAGTTTTAGCGCATTTGGGCGCAGCCACTGTTAAGTTATTGCAAGCGGAAAGTGACATTAATTAAAGTATACTTAAGTTTCCTGCTTATATTTATTTTGCTCATTTGTAGCTGCCAAACAGCTTCGATAATGTGCATGAGATGGTCGATTTTAAACAGCCCTTATCATGCCTGCTGTGGATGTCGGAAGTAAATTCCGATAGGTCCATAGTGCTGGACGGCCCCAACGTCCCTTCTGTCCGCACCACTCCATGTCCCATCACACCCCATAGCCGCCCAGTGTGTTTGACGCGTGTCGGGCGCAGGTCACTGACCTTGTGCCGGGCGGAGTCCTGCACCTGAACTCCGCCGCAGTACCATGACAGCGTGGGGCGCGGCTCGGCCACCACACGGCACTCGAACGTCAGCCGAGAGCCGTCCGGGGCCTGCTGGATCGACGGCTTCTTGGCGAACGTGGGCGCCAGCCCGCCGGACCTGCGGTAGACAGACAGGTCAGACAGATCCACAGAGGTAGACTGACGACAGACCGACAGCCCGCCGGACCTGCGGGGCACAGACAGGTCAGACAGATCCACAGAGGTAGACTGACGACAGACCGACAGGCCGCCGGACCTGCGGGGCACAGACAGGTCAGACAGACAGTCTGCCGGATCTGCAGTAGACAGACACGTCACAGACAGGTCAGACAGAAACACAGAAACGTCACAGACAGGCCATAAATATGCCACATTACATAGGTAGAATCTACCGGACCAGGGGCACACAGTCAGACATGTCCCAGACAAGCCAGACACGCACAAACAGGCATAATTAACGTTCAAGACAGGCCAGGGAAGCTCAGGTCATACATACAGACAGACAGACATAAATAGAGAAGGCAGTCGTCTGCACCCATGGGATACAGACACACCCAAGACACGTCTGACGTCCGGTCACGGATATGCGCTCGCCACCGCCAGTCAGAGTCTGCCGGGCCTAGGGAACACAAACGCTTGTCCAGACAGGACTTAGTCTAGCCTCGGGATACAGTGACATCTCAAACCAGGCAAGGCAGGTGCTGGAAGGACATATAAGGTAGTCCGTTGGATGGGGTACGCAGACACCATTGATACCGATTTAAAAACAACTTACTTTCATATCGACCTAATAAAAAAAGAAGTCTAGAAGCTAGAGCTAAAATGCACAATTTTGTACCATCACAAGCAATTTTGAAACGGGTCAAGAAATATTTTCCAGGGTAAGCATTCAGCAATATATAGGAAAAATTTGGCTTGCAAAGGTGCTGTGCCTATCTCTCCTATCTCCGCAATTCAAAGGAGGCACGGGATGTTAACGCCACATTACTCCAGCGCCAAATCAAGCCTCACCGCATATGCTCATAAAACATTTGTCTGGTGGAACTGCTCCGCCAAGTGTTTTACCTTTTATCAGACATCAAAGAGCAGAATTATCTTAGCAGTTTGTGCACGCTCTTAACTTCCATTGCATCAGTCAGAAACATTAATGAATGTGGAGACCCTATCCCTCTGCTCTCGAGCAGTCCACAGCCTGGTCGGCTGTTCCACCTGTGTGCATTGTATTTACAGCACATACTCTCTCGAGTGTTTTAGCGTTGAGTCAGTCACTCTCTCCACAAATTTTAGGTTAGACCGATTCCCCTGGCTTAAATCCCGAATCACTGTCAAACGGGTGCCAGAGGTCAGGATTCTTGGGTAAATTTGGCAGCAGTACCCATCCAAAGAATTTCACAAACTCGAGGACTTTTTACCGGAGGACCGAGGACTGCCCCTGACCGGACATCAGCTGACCGATGGCCTCTTGAAAGGACGCGACACTGACTCAAAGGTCGACGGAACAGGCCTGGGTGGCCTCCCAAGGCCCGCCACTTTGTAGCGTGGCTGCTCCAAGGAATGTGGTTCTCACTTTTTTGTAATGAAGTAGGTTGGGATGAATCGTTGTTGTTTTTAAGACCTACAGGAATGGATTATACTGTAGAGATGGGATGGGTACAGATGTCATGGACTCATGAGAGCTGTACGCATATTAAAATTCATATAAATTAGTAAACACAGAGGTCTATGTAAACACATTTCTGCGCAGTAAGTAGTTCAGCTACTGTTGAAAATCCCGATGTTGTTTTCCTGACAGTACCAGATTCTTTCAGACATGTAACCAAAACAAGTGGCCTTTTACGTTTTCATGCAATAGCGTAATTATTCTGTCAATCTTTCACAAGCTACCCTGGCACTGAATTCCACCATACATGGTGGCCTGAAGCCATTCCCGGTCAGCTGTATCGCGTTTCCGATCGGCGGCAGCGGCGCAGTATTGCGCAAACGGTGACTGGCCGGCCGGCGGTTCTGGGTGGTGTCTGGAGCACGGCTGGCCGGCCGGAGATAATTCGGGACTGGACTGGGCGGCCGTCCAACGGGCCGCCGCGCCGGCCGAACGGTGCCGGGTCAGCCGGAGACCGCGTAACAGCCCGGTGGGCTGTGCGGTACCGAGGCGTGATGGAGCGGAATGGGCCGCTCATACTGTCTTTTTGCGCTCAGCGGAGTGGGTTTGCTGTTTGCTTGTGTCGCATTTTGTTGGGTTGTGTGGCACTGGACAGCACTGTACCATCTCGTGTCGTGTTACGTTCTGCAGATGCCGTGGCAGTGGCCGGGGTACAGGTCTCGCGGGTTTTAACGGTAGGTTTTGCACCTAGAAAATTTAGTGTACTTCATGCTATATCTTCGTCGTCTTAAGCTTTCAAGTGTTGAAGATGCGATCGACTGGTTGGGTAACAAGCCGGCCATGATCGTGTAAAATGGCTTCATCGTAGATCGATTAGTTTCTGAGATATAACCGGAAATGTAAAAGTGCAAAACCTACCGCTTAATCTCGCGGGACCTGTATATACGTCGGGCCGGGTGGTCCGTCTGGTATACGGTGTCGTGTTGGAGCGAAATGAGCCACTGATACCAACTATGACTCGAATTGTACCGGAGTGTAGCGCGCTATGTGTTATTGCAGCGGTACCGGATTGAACCATACCATATTGTGCCGTGCTACATGGTGATCAAGTAGTCTGTCATTGCGTAGGGTTGCTGAGCTTCCACAAGACGCTGAATGGAGGTCAGCAGAACATCACACAGCATATTGACATTAAAGCATCAACACCTATTGTTGACGTTAACGCATTAAATGGTCACATATATCATACGTATCACATCAGTGCACTGAGCAAAGTTAAACACACGCGAAAGAAGTGGAATAAGTTTAACACAGGCTCGCAAACGAAGTTCGGAAGTCCGGAAGTCCGAAAGCCCGGAAAATTTTGGCGCCTCTTTTGGATGCCGTCTAACGCGCGCTGTGATTAGCGGACAATCAGCCAATCACCGCAGGCATGACTCCTCGTTGATTGGTCAGATAGGGTCGTGCAGATATGGCCTTAAATCGTGTTCAGTGGTGGGCAGATGGGCGAAGATGCGTCTTGTCGCTGAATGCCTGCGCGCGGTGACTGAGTGCGGCTTGAACGACGCCAGAGTGGCAGCACGATGTGGCGTTTCTCGGCGAATGGTTCAGCAGGTAAAGGCTTATTCCGACTCGGGAATTCCCTAGAAAATATACTCAGGCCGGTACGGCCACGGTAGGTCAAAACTGCCGAGAAAAAAGCAGCATTTCACTGGCATTCGAAGAAAACCCAAGGGTCTGATGGACAGAAATGTTCCATCATCTTCGTCAACGTTCAATGAATGCATAACAGGCTGGTCTACTAATTACTATGGGCTACTGGGCAGGCACATCAGCCCGAGAGTCAAGATACCATGGCCGGTGAGCCATTTCGCATGTCAAGAGCACGTAACCCCGTCCAACAACGCCGCTGCCGTCCAAGCCAAACTGACAGAGCTCAGCGGGCCAGATCACCTGTGGCGGCATGAAATTAGGCGTCTTATTCTGCCGACCTCATCCCGCTCGACTAAGGCGTGCTGAGTGTCTTGCAGAATAAGGTCTAGGCCATCTCTCATCCCAACTTGGAGTCGCTGAAGGCTCGCATCATGAGGACAGCATGGGGAGGATCTACGTAGAAATGGAATACATCCTCAAGACCCGCAGGCGCTTCCGCCCCGCGTCGAGGCCGTCGTCGGCGCAGACGACGGTGGTAACAATGAATAAACAATTAGCGAAAGGTTGTCCTTGATGTTCCTGGTCATTGCTTTAATCTATTGTCACCTATGTATGAACCAAAGGCATTTGTTAAAAAAACAAAATGTTGAAAAGCGCCAGGACTTCCCGGACACCCTGTATGTAAACTAAAGAAAGTCGAGGCCCTTGCTTAGCAATATGCTTCCGATTTTACCCCTTTCCTGGGTATAAATATTTTCTGCGTTCCACGAGCTCCTCAGCTGGTTCAAATATTGCCCTATCGGTGTTCATCGTTAGCACTAATCACCGCCAAACTCCAGACCAAGCTGACGACTTCACATCGCTTCCCTAAACTCTAGACCAAGCTGACGACTTTACATCGCTTCCTATAAACTGTCTGGGAACAGATTCAGAGAACCAGAAAGGCAGCGGAGGCGATACTGACCAGCCATTCTAGCTAACTTAGCAAACTATCAAAGAAAGATATTTTCTGCAAAACGGGAAATCAGTTTCCTTTTTATAATTTTTGTTAAGTTTGACTTCGACGGATTGAGAGAATAGTCCACCCTTGTCAGGATCTTTCTGTGCAGACCCGACCCACCATAAGGTCGGACAATGCCGATATAGTGAGGCGTAGATTTGTATGACAAGGCTATGCTAAGGGTAGCGATGCTCTTAAATCCCGCATGCGGTCCTTCACGTTCTACTGCAGCCGCCCCTTTTGGGCAGCCGCAATCGGTTGGGGCTGCTCCCGCCTAAGGCAAGCAATCCCACCTAGTTTTCTCGTTAATCTCGTTAGTTTTCTCGAGCGACGGAGAGACTCGAGCTCGGACTATCACCACTGAATGCCCCGCCAACAGAAGTCTGAAACACAGAACGGCTTCACTTGAAAAATCGGTACGGGAAAATAATTTGACATTACTGCTTAGCCTAATAAGCACACAGTTTACTTTGTTGTGATGCTGTTACTTACGACGCTCAACGTCGGACGGTTTGGACGAGGATATATGAACCTTAGTTCTTTCTTTTTCAAACGCAGGTGCTGTTTTCATATGAAATGAACAAAAATGGCAATCCAAGCAACAACTTCTGACGGCAGGAGCTTCTCGAGCAAAAGACGCCGCAAGAGCATCCGACATAAACGACCATAACCGACAATAGCAAAATTAATGGGCCACTAGCGATGTAAGTTCTGGATCATTGTTCTGCCCATCAATGTTTTCCTGCCCATTGTGTCTGGCAACACCAGAAAAGACATTGTAAAATCCAATCCACCAAACACAATTGAAGTTCCTAAGAGTCTTGGACAGAATTGCTGGTCACCGCTAGCTATTTTATGTATTTGCTGTCGACAGAAGCGATAATGATTTCTGCCCCGAAACGACTGCATTAGTAACAATACTCATGTGCATCTTCTTGTGACCTACAACAGTGGCAAAATTTTAGAGTGCACCAGTTATCGCAACAGGCCAAAGTTTAACACGGCCTATTGACTCAGGCGGCCCATACGCGTTGACAAGGTCATGTCCGCACTCCAAACGACAAGCCCAACTTGAATGTGACAAACCGTAACCGTGGACGTGCACGTGTGGCAGGATCATTGCAAATATTTTAGGTGGGCCTCTCCCAGGGCTCTAAATTATCACCTAAACATAGCTTTTATGGAACAATGATGGCTCATTGTGTGGCTAGCCGGAAATGGTGCCATAAGTTACATCATTAGCAGTGTCTCTAAAATAAGTAGGCGTGTTTTATTTCCATTTTTGAAAGTGCTTGCATCATCTTCGCGACAGTTTATGAATAAAATGCTTGAAACCTGGACACTAATGTTTGATGCATGACGATGGGGGTGACTTAATAAACTGCGATCAAAGTGATAGATTCTGGCCATTTTCAAACGGATGGTTGTGCTTAGTATTATGCAGCTTTTAGACTGCACATTGCACAGGCTGTAGCTATGCTGTAAATACAATATTTAGGCATAGTAGCACTATGTAGTATGTATGCGTGAACAATCAATTGGACAATCATAGTTGCCGCCTGCCGGTATTTCCAGGGATCCGTTGCGTTCGAGCCGCAGAAGCTGACCGGTTGGTAGACACGGGCCCGCTCACACCCGTCTCGGGTCCTCGGTGACGCCATTTAGGGCGGTCGTCCAGCGCCATTTTGACGACCACCGGACCATACCATTGGTCCGTCTCCACTGCCACTCTCCCCTCACAGCAGCACCGCGGCCGGCCATCGGATCACATTTCACTGCCGGTCCGGCCCGGCCCGGTCCAGCCGGGCGCAGCGCGGCGCGGAACGACACGGGACGACGCGGGACACTTACATGTTCTCCACGGAGGCCGGCATGGCGCCGGCGGCTCCGCTCTGCTTCTGTATGCGGCGCGCCGGGGCCCGGCGGAGGCTCACTCGCTCGTGCTGTGCTCGCTGCGCAGACGATCGGCGGCGGGCCGGAGGCGAACGCACGCGTCCGGCTGGTGTGGGGCGGCGCGGCGCGGCGCCGGAGGTCACCACTCGTCACCCACCGACTGACTGCGGCCCGGCCCGGCCGGCTCCGCCGCCGCCGCCCCCCGACCGGCCGGCCGCAGGTATTTATAAATTAGATACATGCTTCCAGGCGTCTGTGCCAAATGGTGCCATAAGCCGGCCGGAGCGGCGCGCGGCCCGTCCAGAGCGCGGAGAAACGATGGCCCGCTGGTCGGCGCGGCTGTTACGCGGCGTGTCGGGACAGACTGATTACCGATAGAAAGGAAATGTTCCGTGGTAATCATCGGTACCCCCGCAAAAAGGGAGCAGGTCGGGTAACGGCAGCAGCAGGCAAATGATGAGTTGCACCCGTTTTGGGTCGACATTGCACGCTGATGTATCCCGAGAGGAGCATTTGAAACATTCGCTCTTCGAACGCGTCCGAAATTGACGAAGCGTTGCTGTTTTCTTCGCAAATAATAATGGTGCTGGCAATTTTATTGCTTGCCTATAGGCCTGTTCCAGCGCCTCCAGAAACCTCCGGAAACCTCCAAAAAGCTCTAGAATCATCCAGGGAGCGTTCCAGCGCTTCCAGAAAGCTCTTGCCAAAGCTCGAGACCTCCAGTAGCCTCCAGTAAGTTGCGAGGTCCACATTTCACTGGAGGTCACTGGAGGCTATGGTCTACAATTATGGCGCACATGTGACAATTACGAATGTAAACAAAGGACTTTTGACCGTTAATTTCACAATTTGAATGTAGCTAAGTAAATAACATTATTGAAATTTTAAAATTTTCTTACTAAAATCAAAACAAATTTTGTTTTCCAAGAGCAAGCTATCATCATTCTTTTGATATCCCTTACACCAATCTCCAGAGGTATCCAGATTGCGTTCCTGCGCCTCCAGTAAAACGTCTAGTAGAGTCTCCAGTCACGAATTTTTACGGGAGGCGCTGGAACAGGCCCTATACCTACGGTTACACAGCAGCGCATCCCGAGAGTTTTTGGACTCTGCCGTGACTGACGAGCACACGCGCAGCGTCCAACGCCTCCTTTCCCAAAAAATTATCCCAATTAAAACTCCTCACATTTTAATTCATTATGCACTTCTGTACAGTTTGAAATAAACTTGTCCTTTTCAAAGTAGTTTTCTAGTTTTTCTATTCTAGAAATGAAATAGCAGATTTTCATCGACTTCGGGCGCCGCGGAGGCATTCTGCCCTGATTCCCCCTCCGGATCCAACAGATACCATCTCATGGTGTGAAAATATTTTTAGGCACTCAATCATCATCAAAAGTTAATATCAATAATCTAGAGTAAATAAATGGAATGTCTTCCAATGTGTATTCAAGCTCAACACAGTGCCTTAGTATGCAGTTCGATATCGAATTTCTTACTGCTCATTCTCCATCAGGAATTGTATGCAACAATCGAAGTCCGCGAGTACTTAGAGTCACAAACGTAAAACGAGTGTAAAAAGTCAGCATACGCTGCATTCAGGTTACCAGTCTCAAGTGGCCCTAAGCGCGATCACATCTGGCCGCAGTTTGTCCTTTTCAAAAGAAAATAACGAACGGCAAGGTGGCTCAAAATACCACCACTTCATCGATAGGCTTATTGGTCATCAGACTAATGACATTGATGAGCAAGTGTTTAAAAACAATTAAAATCAGAAAGTACCTATAGCCTAAATTTCTATAATTTCTGTGTAGTTATTTATTTCCTAAAACCCATGAGCAATGGTATTTATTCGTATTGTTCGATCCCATGTTTCTGCACAGAGGTGGCTTCAGGATATCTAGCGATGGCCGCTGCGTTGGAGATGTAACCACATATTTATTATCTTGTTTTGAAAACATCCATGCATCCACCCCTTCATCAATCACGAAGGACTATTCATGAAGCGTACTTTTCGGACCTAAATTGATCAAAGCACTGAAATATACAATGCATGACTCGCAGCCTGTCCCGTAGCTCAGTTGGTAGAGCGCTGGACTCCCGGTGTTGGGTTCGAGTCGCTCCGGCGCTCGATATTTGAGACTCCTGACGGGGATGGTCTGCGGTTGGTGGGAGCAGCCGCAAACAGTTAAAAGTCAGTTGAGTGGGACAGGCCGTGTCCGGCTTTGAAGGGCACGTTAAACTTTGGCATCTAAATTCTCCCGTTACCCGGAATTGCGCAATGGGACGGTAGGGGTTGGGGTCTACGCAACAAGCTCTGCTTAGCGTAGGCTCCGGCTCTGTCAATCCGTCCATTCAAACATTCGAACTAAATTTATAAAAAATGACATCCATATCGGTTAAAAATGAAATGTTCTTGTTTAGTGATCAAGCTTTCGGGATATAACGTAGCTCCAGACACCAGAATCAGCTTAGGACCCATCCCTAAGTACTGTCAGTGTCCACACGCGTTCTGAGCCCTGTCTGTCGCCGTGCTGCCGTCATCACCTCCCGTGGTCCGACAAATGTCCACCATTCATTTCGGCAACAAACGCCAACGGCGCGTGGCGACAGGACGCTGAATTATACACATCGGACCACCCGGAATTAATGGCACACGTCACAACAAACATCAGTCACAGAGATTGTCGTATCTGCGCTAAATGTTACATGCACTCAAGCAATAATCACACTTGTGTACATTAGAGAAATGTGTGACTGTTAACCCTACTCTGAGTTTAGCTGGTCAGGTCAGATCAGGTCACTGGAGAGCTCAAAGAAGTAATGTTGCTTTTAGCTCTATTCTGTCACTCGTTGTTTGTAAAGGACGCAGCCAGACTGAACAGAAACAAGAAGAATGTCCTGACTTTTGGGTGAATCTGAAACCTAACATATTTTGCCCCTATGGCGAAAAGGTTGGTTTACTTACAAGAAAAAGAAAGTGTATTTGTAAGCAATACGAGCATTGTATATGTGGCGCATAAGCTGGTAGTGGTGTTACTCTGAACTTATCACGGAGCGAGCGAAGCGAGCGAAGTCTTTCGTAGATTAGCGGAAATTTCTGAGTATGAGCGGCCGGCCGTGCGGACGTTTTTGCGAGGCTTATTGCTCAGCAACCACTTGACCGATTTACAAGCGGAATTTTTTTTAGAGTAGCTTTATTCCTTCTACCAAGTATTGGACTATTCCCGATGCATGTAGATTGTAGGTGACCCCTAATGCACGTGTCACGTGCAAAACGAAGAGGTGTCAGCTTTGTAACAATTGCAGTATCTCGGTAACTACTGGGCCGATTGCGCTGAAAGATGGCATGTAGGTAGGCACACACTAGGCAATGCATATCCACATGTGCCACAGTTGGGGTGCTGCTGCACGTGCGCACGTGCAAGGGTCGATTCCAGATCTCGAGAACGGCTGACCCGATTGCGCTGAAATTTCGTACATGGTTAGGGACCGTGCAAAAGTCAGTTGTGACCCATTTTGCACGTCCACACGTGCAGGGTGCCGCTTCCAGACCTCGAGAGCGGCTGAGCCGATTGCGCTCAAAGTTGGTACACGGTTAGGGTTAGGTTTGTAGGGTCCCGTGCAAAAATCACTTGGGACCCATTTTGCACGTGCGCACGTGCATGGTGTCGCTTCCAGACCTCGAGAACGGATGGGCCGATCGTGCTCAAATTTGGCACATCGCTCGAGACCGGTTAGTAGGGTGCCGTGCACATTTGCACAAGTCAGTTAGAAGTACCCCCTTGCAATTCCGCCCGTGCAAGGTTCACCCTCTCCCTCGCTCCGTTTGTCGCCCCAAAAGGCATTTTACTGGTTATTTACCTAGTATTTGATATTACCCATCAAATAAGACTTTAAATATTGTACTATAATATAACCACCAAAATACCAAGGTGAACGAAGATATAAACATTTCTACTTACACATGACGTATTACGTAATTGTCAAAAGATTCTGGCAAGGCAATTCGATAAAGCAATTGGGTAGAGATATCACCAATAAATCGTCCGTCTCTCGAGCAAGTAGAGCATCTACGGTGGGGTTAAATAAGCAGCGATCGGAGCCCAGTGGCAGTATTCAGTTCTGACGGGACCTGACCAAACAAACAGTCGCTTTACGGCCGCGACACAGGGCATCAATCATCGGCGGCAAAACAGTGGGCGAGCGGCCGGCGAGAGCGGTCCGCCTGTCGATCCGTCCGGGGCACATCGTTAGTTTGCTCTTTTGACGGCCGTCCAAATACTTGGCTAATGGATCCAACACATTGCGCAGCGGCGCAAACGTTTTGACTTGCGTCTGGGGGGATATTTTCTCTTTTACACTGATAAAGGTCACTAAAGCTGCCCCAAAAGAAAATATCCGATGCTATGCAGAAAGGTTTATAATAGTTATTTTGCAATCATGTGAACAGTTTTCAATCTCACTGACGTGCTGTAACGAGACTCACTGGAAGAGTTTGAGCGCCCTTCCCTTTCCATTACACTTTATTCTCAAACAGGTTATGCAAGCGGCACGCAGCAAGGTAAGGTAGTCAACAGTGACCCACGTGTACGCACAACTGTCATTTTAAGGTTGCACTAAGCATAAGGCATTAAGCATTCCCAGGGGTCGCCGATGGAGCAGGCTTGTGACTTTTGCCAACATCCTCCACAAGCGCCGTACCGCGAGCATTTCACATTTCGAATGAGAATGATCAGACAGAAAAGTGTCGTAATGAAAAGCCTGCATCACTTGGGCAGCTTCAAATTTCGATAATTCGCTGTAACCTAGCAGGCGGATAGCTGAGTAACTGGAATATGGTGCAGTTATTTGGCGCCACCAAACACCGCTCCCCAACGCTCTTACTCAACCGGCACCGTTCTGATCCAGAGCTTGGCAACGGCCCGACCAGAAACACAATCAGCAAATGCTGTTTGTTTGAACCAGAACAACACCAATCACCTTGCTTTCGTTGGCATACCGCAGTGCAGCGTTCTAAGAATCAATGTGGCTGGCATTGCTGAGCGGTTTTACTTTAATCCAAGCTATAACACCAGCCTGAGTAGCCAATTTTGATAATGATGATTAATACAAAAATGCTCCACTTGCTATTTTCACATGTTGATCCAAAAGAAAGAGCATTCCCATAGATGTTTTTTTTAATGGCCGTTAACACACAAAAGGGACGAAGCCCGTTTTGGCAGCACTTAAGGAA